GTGTAGCAGAGCAAAATATGAATGGTACCCAGGCTGGGTCTATGTGGTTTTTACCACTTTGTCTTGTGCAGGTTACCTGCAGAAAGTATTTCAAGTGTAAGAATTAGGAGAGTAGAAACAGAAAGACACTCCTACACCAAACCCGGACACCAGTTCACAACACCAATGCTCTAACAATTCAGCTAAAAGGTCTAGACCCATCGGCCGGGTCAGTTGGTAGTGTCTATAAACCCCCCACTGTTACACGAGCCCTAAGTATCCATTTTCTTCCCTCTCATAGCAACGGTGCCTTCAAGATCATGGCAGGACCGTTTGGTAGATGCATACATTGTACTGCAAAATTTTGATACTGGGGATATAAAGTGATTTACAGAATACAGTTAATTGGCTATCATCTCAATCCAACATACTTGTCCTTGGTGCTGATTGGCTATCATCTCAATCCAACATACTTGTCCTTGGTGCTGATTGGCTATCATCTCAATCCAACATACTTGTCCTTGGTGCTGATTGGCTCAATAATTATCTCAATCCAACATACTTGTCCTTGGTGCTGATTGGCTATCATCTCAATCCAACATACTTGTCCTTGGTGCTGATTGGCTATTATCTCAATCCAACATACTTGTCCTTGGTGCTGATTGGCTATCATCTCAATCCAACATACTTGTCCTTGGTGCTAATTGGCTATCATCTCAATCCAACATACTTTCTTCCCTCCCATAGCAACGGTGCGTTTAAGGCCATGGCTGGACCGTTTGGCCTGCACACCAGCATGTTCCTCCCCACGCTACGGGGACAGGCAACGGACGAACAGAAGGACAAGTGGCTCAAGATGGCGGAGAACTATGCCATCATCGGGACGTACGCACAGACAGAGATGGGCCACGGTGAGACAATTATGTAACCCAACACCAGTTACCATGGTGACAGACATCTGGTCCTGGTCTTTGGCATGACATGGAAGAAGAAGAAGAGGAAGAAGCTGAGCTATTGACTTTATTATGTTTACTGAAGGAAAACATACTGTTTTTGCTCAGTTTCTTCTTCCATTCCAAACAAATGAGGTCAATGGCCAGGACCAGACGTCTGTCACCATGGTAACTGGTGTTGGGTTACATCATGTTGCAATTTTATAGCAGGAGGGATTTAGACTCCTGTCACCACATATGTGAATGTTTGAGTAAGAATTAACAGAGCAGACCATATGCGGAGGTAAACATTATGCATTTGCTTTGCAAATGTTACCTTTTTAGTTTTACTAAATATCACAAAAGATAATCATAACGTCTACCAGTGTTCGATAGCCAGGGTCCATCTTTCTGTTGTATGACAGAATTTTGCTGCTCATGACGGACAAAAATTTTCCTATCATGTTGAAATATTATTATTTTATTCCTCCATATTATCAGGAACTTTTCTCCGAGGCCTGGAAACGACGGCGACCTATGACCCCCATACCCAGGAGTTTGACCTCCACACCCCGACCCCTACAGGGACAAAATGGTGGCCCGGCTGCTGTAAGTTTTTGGCAAAGCCTCGGGGATGGAGCCTTTTATTTATAGTTTGGTTTATTGCAAGTGAACAACTGGCAGTCAACAGGCTGAATTGTGTGTTCTTACTCACACTCACTGTCCGGTATATCGTCTGTTGTTCCCCATCTTCCGAGGGTTAGACGTGCTTGCACTGCAATACTGAGACTTGTCTCTGTCCTGTGGGTTGATCTTGTATACATACATAGGAAAATAAAACTACAAGTTGCACAATGATAGTATCTAAATTTACACAATGTAACTATGACCAACACATTCAGTTGTTGACTTATTAGTCAATATCTATGATTCTATGGTAATAAAAACTTGGGCAATAAAATCATTAACAATATTACAGTCATAGACGTAGAAATACATCTTATCTAAAGAAATTGCAGGCTGGCTAGAACACTGTGTCCACAGCATCCACTGCAAGATATATCCCAACCATGTGAAAACTTCTAAAATTCTGAAAGTTTTTGTCTTTGATTTTTCCAGTGGGGAAGACGTCCAACTACTGTGTCCTGATGGCCCAGCTGTACATCCACGGCAAGTCTTATGGACCTCATCCCTTCATGGTGCAAATTCGCAGTCTAGAGGACCACAAGCCTCTTCCTGGTAGGTTAATGAAGATAATAGGTTAGTGAGTATGAGTTAATAGGTTAGTGAGTATGAGCAGTTAATAGGTTAGTGAGTATGAGTGTCTTACAGCCCCCACCCCCTCATGGTACAGATTTGCAGTATGAACAACACAAGCCTTTATCTGGTAGGTTAATGAAGTTAATAGGTTAGTGAGTGTGAGTTAATAGGTTAGTGGATATTGCATACTGAAATTGCATGGAATGTCATTTTATTACAATTGTATGAATCCCATTGCAGAAGGAAGGAATCCTATATGAAAACTTTCATGAAGTACTGTAATTCACTTTATGTTCACTGTAGCAAAATTTCACGGTCTGAGAAAAATGGGGATGTTCACTGTACTATACATTCACGGTGGTGGCAGGTGCAGGAAAAAGAAGGTTCAGGAATTACCTGTTGACTGTAATGATAAGTTCACGGTACAGAAGTGACAGTGAAAACAGTGAACATAAAAGTACAGTGAACAAATCAGGAATTACAGTATGTTTTTTTCCTTAAGTTAAAGCCATAAAAATGTTAATTCCACAGTAACTGTAACGATCATCTTAAATCCGTTGTTGAACACTAGGGGTGACGGTAGGTGACATCGGCCCCAAATTTGGGTATGCAGGAAATGACAACGGCTTTCTACGCTTCGACCATGTCAGAATTCCAAGAGACAACATGCTTATGAAGTACTCAAGGGTAAGTTTTCTGTTCCAATACTACAACTTACAGTAACTGTAACAGAGTAAAGAGACTCTTTTTACACAACCAAGTGTTTTATTCACAGCCGACATTTCGGTGACCGTCTGTCACCTTCCTCAGGGCAATTCTGACTAGTTCACATTGCACTGCAGCACAGGTGTCGCTGCTGTAGATGCATTCCCAAACGTACAATATTTACATATCTACACAAATGCGTGATTACAGGGAAATGTATCTACAATGCGATGCAGTTGCTGGGAACCAGTCAGAATTGCCCTGAGGAAGGTGACAGACAGTCACCAAAACGTTGGCTGAATAAAACACTTGTTTGTGTCTCTTTATTCAGGAACTTACCAACCTGATAAACTATTCACGGAGAGGAGTAACTGTAACAATGATGAATGGTACATACTGGAAGATACTCTCCAAGCAGATTTTAAGATTTAGACTTTCTCTGGCTACAAGACCATGTTGACACCTGTACCCAGAAATCCAGATTACTATGGGCCTGGCCGATTCTAGCTAGAAGGCTGGATACTGTATGTTTCAGGGGGCTAGTTGTTAGCGAGACAACTAGAATCGGCCAGGCTGGCGTTTATCTGGATTCAGGGTATGACACCCGTTTACCCTCCAAGCAGAGGTTGATGGGGGAAAATACGTACCTTTTTATATATGGTCACTACACCCACCTTGAGTGGCGTATTGGACCCTCTCTGGCCAATGACTACTGCCTGGACTGTCTTTTTGCCACCCTAGGATCTGCTTGGAGATTAACCTGTTGACTTGTGGCGTCTGTGTGGTGTAGTGGCGTCTGTGTGGTGTAGTGGATAGAGTGTCCGACTGTCAAGCAAGAAGACCCAGGTTCAATCCCCATGGTTGGACCCACACATTCACCCAGACGTTATGCCCTTGGGAAAGGCACTTAACACGCCTTTCCCCCCTCAGTTTAATAGAGGGTTCCTGGGCCCTACTAGGGTTTGGGTTGGCGTTAGGAAGAGCATCCAGCCGTAAAAATCTTGCTTAAAAAAAAAGACTTGTACCTGGTGCAAGCACGTCTAACCCCCGGTTGGGGAAAAATGACGTTAAATTCGGTTTAAAACAAAAAAACTTGTGTCCCTCCAGGTTGAGCCAGACGGCACCTATGTAAAACCTCCCAGCTCCAAACTGGCGTACGGGACCATGGTGCAGGTCAGGTCCTTCATCGTCAGCGAAGCCGCAGAGTCCCTCGCCAAGGCTGTTACCATAGCAACTCGCTACAGCTGTGTGCGGAGACAGTCGGAGATGAAACCAGGGTAAGTAGAACACTGTCATCTGTATCTGTATCTGTATAACCACCCTTCAGCGTAACACACCAGCTTCACAGGCGCGGCAGCAGCTGGCTACATTAGACTGAACGACTTTTAATACCTAGCCCTTGGACATCTAACTCTAGACATTGTTTAAGGCTATCTAATGGCAATGCCCCTACTGTACTTGGTGACAGTGAGTTATCGTTACCTTTGCAGAAGGATTTTTTAACGTATCGTTTTTGCTCTGTTTCTTCTCCCTTTTCTTCTTCTTCTCCAAACAAATAAGGTCAATGACCTGAACCACATGTCTGTCACCATGGTAACTTGCTAGTGTTGGGTTACACTATGTTGCAATTTTATAGCAGGAGGGATTTAGACTCCCGTCACCATATATATATGAATGTGTTTGAGTAAGAATTGACAGAGCAGACCATACATGTATGCGGAGGTAAACATTATGCATTTGCTTTGCAATTGTTACCTTTCTAGTTCAAATTTTACTAGTTGATTTACTTATTAATTTTACACGTTTCCAGCCACCCTGAGCCCCAGGTGTTGGACTATGTAACCCAGCAGTACAAGTTGTTCCCGTACCTGGCTGCTGCCTACGCCTTCATGTTCGCTGCCCGCGCTATGGTGTCTGTTTACTTCAGGTCCATGGAGCGGATCACCCGTGGCGACATCACCGTTCTACCAGAGGTATAAATACCATCCACCTTCGTCGTGGAACAGTGATTTTTGTTAGAATGTAAAATAACTTATCTATGCACGATCAAGAAAAATGTTGTTACAGTTACTGTATCAGTTTTCAATGCCACCAAAAAGTCCTGGCGACATGTAGTGTAGTTTTTATTGTCAGAGACACATGTTTTCTGCAAAATTTTGAAGTGAGCACTGCACTACCAGGGTTTAGAAGCATTGTTGTTTGCGAGGCACGTTTGGGCAAAACTGTGGCCACATAATTTACAGAGGCCAACACTTGACGATGCCCGATGGCAATGTTTTCTTCATTTTGCAGTGCAAATCTTTGGTGGTTTAGAACAGAAAGGGAATGCGACGATTGTTTTTTTAAAACATTCAGTTTTTGGGGGGCTTGAACCTAAACATTTTTACCTGACCAGAACTAGTTCCAGCAAACCGGTACACGGCACTATTTGTGGCTGACTGTTTCTTCTCGTCAGCTTTGTAGTGAGTTGAATCAACCCTATCCCATACCAAACTGTTATCTGTGGGCTGAGGCAAGACGTGTTTGTTAGCTTTGCAACTATTACCTTTCTATTCACGTTTTGACGTTTGTGCCTCGTTGTTTTTCTTCCCTCCAGCTCCATGCTCTGTCCTCCGGCCTGAAGTCTCTGTCCTCCTGGGTGATGAATGCTGGGATTGAGGAGTGTCGCATGGCGTGCGGCGGGCACGGTTACTCGCACGCCAGCGGGATCCCCAGTATCTACGCGGAACACACCCCCGCCGCTACGTACGAGGGAGAGAACACCGTACTCATGCTGCAGACTGCAAGGTCAGTCAAGGTCATGGGGTTGTCCTTACTGGTACAGGGCTCAAAAATGAAATTCATTTTTTGGAATAGGTCCACTGGCCTAAGAAGATCCTCACACTGAATAAGGAAGGCCCAAACCCTCGTGGTCCACCAAATGAAATTTTTTGACCTCCACCACTTGAACCTACTTAATGTCAACCCACAATATAGAGGCAAGTGGCGGGCTGCCATCAAGCCTCAGTATTGCAGTGCAAGCACGTCTAACCCTCGGAAGACGGGGAACAACAGACGATAAACCGGATAGTGAGTGTGAGTGAGGTGCACCCAACTTAAAAAAATTGAAAATTGAAGTAGAATGTCAGCAAAAACTAGTTAAACCAAAACTAAACTAAAAAAAAACAACCTCCTAATACAGATGCCATGCTATTCTCCCCCTGCAGGTACCTGATGAAGAGTTATAGCCAGTCTGTGCAGGGAGAGAAGCTGGCTGGTTCTGTGGCGTACCTGGCAGGGGTACAGCCGGTCCCTGTGGCTGGGAGAACCAGGGATGTCCTGGACCTTCAGGTACTGATCGAGGCCTACCAGCACAGGGCAGCCAGGTACGAATTGTGAATTCGTAACATGTAACACTTAGACTGTCAAGTAATGTAAAACATCACTTCTGTTAGTGTTTTCCCTATACTGCTAGCTCAGAACCAGTATACTGCATTCAGAATTTAGGATACAAAATGTATGTCCATCTTTGTTTTCTTGCAGTTTTTGATGATGATGATCCTTGTTTTTCTAGATAATTCTGCTACTATTTGTGAAACTTGGCTGACTTTCAGGCTGAGTGACGTTAATTTTCCACGTTAGCATTGTCTATGAATGCTGACTGGTATGAATTCTTTTCAGGCTGGTTCACGAGGCCGCCTTGCAGCTCAGAAAGGAACAGCAGGCAGGGAAGGACCAACCTGATGCCTGGAACGCCACATCTGTGGACCTGGTCAAGGCAGCCACGGTAAGAGAGCTTTAGCTTGTCTGTTAGAGTTAAATACTGCATTTTTCCTTTCACGCATTAACTTGACTGAACCACTATTTAGGGGGAATGGAAGTTTATTCACATACAAATGACTGACGGTGACAGTGACCCGAAATAGAACATGCATTCTGTTCCAATGACCATGGGTGACCCCGAATGGAACATACATACTGGTGATACCAAATGGAACATGCGTTCTGTTCCAGTTACTGCCAAAGTTTTTCATGTTACTAGAATTCGAATACACAGCGGTTATTGGAATCAACCATGATTTCTGACACCATACATTAACCCTATATTATCTAAATGTTCCCCAGGCCCACAGCCAGTACTTTGTGGTGAAGAACTTCCGGCTTGCTGACCCCAAATGGAACATGCGTTCTGTTCCAATCCGTTTTCATGTTGCACAGTCAGGTCCTGGAGTTGTTTCACTTATTGGTCAGTTTCTATAACAATCTCATAAATGACTAGTTAACCCTATATTATGTAATGCTCCCCAGGCCCACAGCCAGTACTTTGTGGTGAAGAACTTTGCTGCCCGGCTTGCTGACCCCGCGGTGGACAGCTCTGTGCGTGCTGTCCTCACCAGCCTGTGTCAGCTGCACGCTCTACATGGGGTGGTGAACAACTCTGGCGACTTTCTGGAGGTAACTAAAAACTTTGTTCTTCAAAGTCTAAGTCTTCTGGTCATTATGTTTACCTTCGTAGAAGGAAAATGTATTACTTTTGCTCTGTTTCTTCCTCTTCTTCTTCTCCAAACAAATAAAGTTAATTATGACCTACATGTAGACTAGACATCTATAATGCTTGTTTATTATTGGTAGGCTCCAGATTCTAGCTTTAATTCAAAATCCCCAAAACTAAAGAGATGTCTCACATAGCTTAAAATGCTTTGGGCTGTTTCAAATGCTTCAAGTATGAAATAATGGTGAAAATAATGCGCTAGAAATGTCAGTAAATGTCAATCAGAAGTCGGGGAACAACAGGCGATAAACCGGATAGTGAGTGAGTATCAGACAGATTTCATTATTTAGACAATTGTTTTGTTCTGCTGCTCTGAAATTGGATGCCTGGAAGTGCATGTCTAAATACCCTTACCAAAGTGGTGCTCAGTGCCGCATAGGTACAGCATTGATGCTGCACTAGCCTGGCATTTTCAGCAGCCATTAATGCCACCTCAGTCCAGATCCCTAGGCAATTGGGCACTAGTGCTGCACGAATGTGTTGATCATTTATCATCATTTATCATTTCGGGCTCCTCAATGTCTTCACAGGATGGCTACATGACCGGCACAGACATCCGCCAGGCCAGACGCCACATCAACGCCCTCATGGCCAAACTCCGTCCTGACGCCGTGGCTCTTGTCGACGCGTTCGACTACCCGGACGGGATCCTGAACTCCATACTGGGGCGCTACGATGGGAACGTCTACGAACACCTGCTGGAGTGGGCCAAGGCTTCTCCTCTCAACAAAACTGATGTAAGGCCACATACTGACTAAAACCTGGTTACCAAAGCTATTTTAGCTGCCAGAGGCTTAGCAGCTAAAGTAGGTTACAGACTACTATACATGTACAAAGATTTCAAATCTTTTGGGCAATGAAACAGCACCATGACAAGTAAATGTGTGGCGTAACGGCAGAGTGCTCAACTCAGAACCAAGAGGTCCCGGGTTTGAGTCCTGACATGACACAGATCTTGGGAAAGGCACTTAACACGACTTTCCTCACTTAACTCAAGAGAAAATGAGTATTGTCTGTCCTGTATTTGTTTCTATGTGCGGGACACAACATCAGCAACAGCTGCCTGTGCCCCACGTGTATTGTATTGTTACAATTTCAATAAATCAAATCAAGTCAAATCAAATATAGGGACAATTATTTGGCGAATTATATTTCTTCTCTCAACAGCATACCTTCATACACATTCATACACATATATTATTATATCTTGTGACTTACATTTTGCAATACCTGTTTATCTCAGGTGCACCAGTCCTACCACAAGTACCTGAAGCCCTTCCTGCAAGCCAACAGGGCCAAGCTGTGACGACGTCAATCGAACCACTGCATTGATAGATGGAAAAACTGTAACAACTCTGAAGAGAAGGGACTTTCTTCAACTGTTGGGGCCAAAATATGAGCATTTTGGATTTGATTCAGATCCTGATATGTTTTTTTTTTTTTGCAAATAAAAAAAAAAGAAGCAGGCGGATCCAAGAACCAACAAATTAAATTGGTGTGGCCTAAAGGTTCATATATGGAGTTCATGACATTTTCCCTATCCCTGACTCAAATGTTGTGGGAAAAATAAGACATTGGTCAGTGTCAAAGCAATATGCTATTAAGTCATGAGGTGATGTATAGAATATTTAATTGTATAATAATTAAATGTACGTGCAGTTGCCATACCTTGTACGTTAGTACTTCAATGGACACTCTGAAATTCTATGCAGTATTTCTAACAAGGAATGTGTATAAATAAATATATATATATATAATATTTTAAAATTTGAATATACTACGTGAAAGTAAAATGTAATGTAAAACTTACTGAATAGCTAAATATAATTAAAATATTTCTAATCAATTGGGCTTACTGTCGGTCTTTCAATGACTCTTCCAATCCTAATTGAAGGAGAATTGTTTTCACACAGACTGCTTGCAATTCTCCCGCCTTCTGCTTGGGTGCGCAACTTGGTCCGACCGGTTTTTCCACCCTGAACCAGACCGGGCTGTTTTTTCCGCCATGTAGACCGGACCGGCTTTTCCACCAACCCCTCGATTCACCGCCCCGCCCCCTTTCGCTCGCGAGACTTTCCTAGTGGGGTCATTGTCCTAGCGGCCGCGACCTTTGACCAGATCATTCTCTAAACATGAGAGAAGTAGAGTAGACCTTCATATAACGTTGTCCAAACATGACTGAGGTCGTTGTCCTAGCGACTATGAGTCTGACCCTTCGAACATGAGTAGAACGTAAAAATGGCGACCAGGATGAACCCAGATTTGAAGAAAGAAAGAGAAAGCGCCAGTTTCGACCCGGAGAAGATCACAAACTTCCTGTATGGAGGCCCGGAGAAGCTCAGAAGGAAGAGGGAGTTAGGTGAGATTATAGTTTTGAAAGATATTCATTTGCTAGTCATCAACAGCTAATAAGAGACAAAGCTTTGTTGTAGATTTGTGAACTTTTTTGTTATCTGTAACCGTGTAACGTTACTTTGAGAGGCCTAACCGTTACAGTTAGGCTTTCTTCACATTCTCAATATTTTAGTGCGTTTTCTTCAGCAACAGGCTGATAAACATTAATAAATTGTTTTTGCTACAATTCCTCTTGTTCTCCAAACCAAAAAGCTCAATGACCTGACGTCTGTTACCATGGTAACTGGTGTTGAGTTACATCATGTTGTAATTTTATAGCAGGAGGGATTTAGACTCCTGTCAACATATAACGTTATATGAATGTGTTTGAGTAATTTGCAGAGCAGACCATATGCGAAGGTAAACATTATGTATTTGTTTTGCAAATGTTACCTTGAATCTTAGTAGTTCAAGCTACCTTGTTTCCCAGAGTCCCTTGCCCTGAATGACCCTGACTTCCAACATGAAGACTTGAACTTCATGTCACGAGAACAGCAGTATGAGACCCAGCTGAAGAAGGGGATCGCGATGATCACAAAGATGAAGGAACTCAACATCACCGATTTTTGGGACCAGTACTACTACACCACGTGCGTCTTTCGTTATATGATATGGCAGTTTGTTTTGTATTTTGCTGGGCTGGATAGTGAGTGTGTGAGTGAGTGGCTACTCTCTCTTTGCAGCCAAAGGCTGAATTTTGAGGAGCTCACAATTTATTGGGGCCTATGGTTTACGTTTGAACCACTCATACTGGGAAGGTCCCCTACTCTTTTCGATAAGCATGGTGGGGCTTCTTTAACGTACGTGGGGTGTGAGGGACGTCCCTAACCGAAGCTAGGTACTCATTTTCACCTGAGTGAAGTGAGAAAAGTAGTGTAAAGTGCCTTTCCTAAGGGCACAAGATCAGTGACATAGCAGGATTCGAGTCCTTTTGGTTGGGGAGGGAAAAGGCGGTAAAGGGAGTCAGGGATAGGCAGCCGTCTTTCCATAGAGGATTACAACCATCTGATGTCTTGTTTTTCAGTGCGGTTCTTGTGTCTGATGGCTACCCCATGAGTGTCCATGAGAGGATGTTTCTCCCCACCCTGCGTGGACAGGCTACGGAACAACAGAAGGAAAAGTGGCTGAAGATGGCAGAGAACTACGCCATCGTTGGCACGTACGCGCAGACGGAGATAGGACATGGTAAGACTACCCTGGGTGCCATCCTCTGTAGTTTCCACCCGCTCCCTAATGTCGCTAGGCACCACGATATTAGGGAGCGGGCAGAAACTACGGAGGATGGCACCCAGACTATGGTAAGACTGTGATCCTCCAAGGAAGAAAGGAGGAAGATTGGAGGATAATGTATTATGGACAGGCACAAAACTAGCTGGAATGTTAAGAACAGAAAACAGAGAAAAGTGAAGGAAACTGCTCATAATGCATTGTTGTCAGATCTTCTGTGCAGGGTGCCCCAACAGTCAAATAATTAGACTAAAGGCTCATAAAATTATATAAGATGGGAAGACCTAATATAGAAGAAGAAGACCTTGTACATAATATAAAAGATAATGATTGATCTCTTCTAGAAGTAATCTTTTGAGAAGTATAGATGTTAGGAAAACTTTTTATCCATCACTTTATTCTCTACAATCTTACTTGCATCTGCTTTTTTTTTTCAGGAACCTTTGTTAGAGGCCTGGAAACAACAGCGACCTTTGACCCAAAGACCCAGGAATTCATCCTCAACACTCCGACTCTCTCAGCATCCAAGTGGTGGCCGGGGGGAAGTGAGTTTTTATGTTTACCGAAGGAAAACATATTGTTTTTGCTCCATTTCTTCTTCCTCTTCTTCTGTTCCAAACACTAACCTTTGACCTGGCCAATGGCCTCTTTTGTTGACGTCTGTCACCATAGTAACTGGTGTTGGGTTACATAATGTTGCAATTTCATAGTAGGCATTTAGGCTCCTGTCACCATTATACATGTACATGTACATGTATATGAATGTGTTTGAGTAAGAATTAACAGAGCAGACCATGTCCAAAGGTAAACATTATGCATTTGCTTTGCAAATGTTACTTTTCTAGTATTATATAGTCTTTCCACATACAAGATTGGGTGGCATTGATGACCATGGTCATGGGTTTGATTCCTGTGACCGTCATTTTTTGCAAGACAATGTGTCCTTCACCAGGGAAAGGCACTTTTCACAACTTTCATCCAGCCTGCAAAAGGCTACACGACTACACTTTACCTTTTTATACGCGATATTTGTCATGAGAGGTATCAAAGTAAGATTTTAAAGGTCACTATATAAAGCAAGGAAAGGAGTATCTGTAGTTCGCGTTAGCCTAACAAGGCTGACACTCTGGCTATTAGTTCACGTAACTTTAAAGTCTTTTTTACATGTTTGTGTAACTTAAAGTCTTTGTGAGTAGGAAACAATTGACAGTCCAACCATATACTTTTCCCCTTTGTATCAGTCCTGTAGCTTTGGCTACTATCTATACTATCTAAGATGTTGCATACAAAATCCTAAGTTGTACATTTGAAGAATTGAACATTTGGCAATGTGTCCACACAGTGGGGAAGACGTCCAACTATGTCGTCCTGATGGCCCAGTTGTACATCCGCGGCAAGTCGTACGGCGTTCATCCCTTCATGCTGCAGATTCGCAGTCTGGAGGACCACAAGCCTATGCCTGGTAGGTTTTTGTTGCGAACCTTCCATATGACCATTAACAGCACAGGGCTCAAAATGCTGGGTGCATGCGCACCAAAGTTGGAGCTGTGAACCCAATTTTTTTTCTGTAGGTACACTGCACTGATGCACCAAAATATTTATGTTTACCAAAGGAAAACATATTGTTTTTGCTCAATTTCTTCTTCTTCCCCTCCAAACACTGACCTGGTCAATGTCCTGAGCCAAACCATCTGTCACCATGGTAACTGGTGTTGGGTTACAAACTGTTGCAATTTTCTAGTAGGAGGGATTTAGACTCCTGTGTGAATATGTGTGAATGTGTTTGAGTAAGAATTAACAGAGCAGACTATATGTGAAGGTATTTAACATTATGAATTTGCTTTGCAACTGTTGCCTTTCTAGTTGTATGTATTTTTGTACATACTAAATATATACATGTAAGTTGTATACAAGGAAGACACTGACTATAGTTGCTTGTTATTCTGCTGTTTTCAGGAGTGACTGTTGGTGACATCGGCCCCAAGTTTGGTTATGACTTCATGGACAACGGCTTCCTGGCACTCAACAATGTCAGGATCCCGAGAGAGAACATGCTCAAGAAGTATTCAAGGGTTAGTTTCTCAGTAAAATGTTGAACTTTATTCCAACACACAGGTTAAACAGAGGTCAAATTTTCAACGACCACTGTGGCCTTCATCAGGATAATTAATGACCAATCACTTCAAAATGTAATTTTGCGAGAGTTACTGGTACAGTCATATATTAAGCAACTGTGCTTCTATACCTTACTCAATAAATATATGTGAATAAAAAAAATTGAGCTTTGCCTTTTGCCTTTGTCTTGAGCAACCACCCCCAGTCACCAACAATTTTTTCCCTGACTGTACATGATTTTAGCTTGGTTAACAGACCTATTACAGCTCTAGAGCCCTACATTCTCTCCGCAAAGTACCAAACCTATTATAGCTCCCGAGTCCTACATCCTCTCCCCAAATAGAGAATGTAGGACTCGGGAGCTATAATAGGTTTGGTAACCAGGCTATATGATTTTGCCTGTGTTTCAGGTTGAGCCGGATGGCACGTACGTGAAGCCGCCCAGTACCAAGCTGACCTACGGTACCATGGTGCTGGTGAGAGCTGGCATCGTCATGAGCTCCAGCAGGGTCCTGGCCAGGGCTGTTACCATAGCAACTCGCTACAGCTGTGTGCGCCGTCAGTCCGAGATGAAACCAGGGTGGGCTTCTGTCACGGTTCTTTGAAGTCAATGACAGAAATGTACATCAAATTACTAGGAACATAACATTTGCAAAACAAATGCATATGTTTACCTTCACATATGGTTTGCTCTGTTAATTCTTACTCAAACACATTCATATATATGGTGACAGGAGTCTAAATCCCTCCTGCTACAAAATTGCAACATGTTGTAACCCAACACTAGTTACCATGGTGAGAGACAGTCTGGTTCAGTCAGGTCAGAGGTCCCTGGAGAAGAAGAAGAACATAGAAAAACAGTATAATTATGTTTTCCTTCAGATAAAATAATGGAGCGGGTGGGCAAAAAACAACAACAAAAAACAGCCTAGGCATCCTATTATGGCCCAAAATGGTACGCTAGGAGCCATGAAGTCAACACACCAGGCTGGTTCAAAATTTAAACAATGAATTTTGAACTTTTAATGATACCATTGCATTGAAAGATGGAATAACTGTAACAACTAGGAAGAAAAGGACTGTTTTCAACTGTTCAGGGCAAAATATGAGTATTTTGCAGCAGTTGATTCTGAATTTTTATTTTTATTTGCAAATCAGAAAAAAATGAAGCGGGCGAATCCGTTAACCAAGAAATTAAATTGGTGTGGCCTAAACATAATTATATATGCATTTCCTTTGCAAATTTTACCTTCTAACTTCAATGTTATTTCACGTTTCCAGCCACCCAGAGCCCCAGGTGTTGGACTATGTAACCCAGCAGTACAAGTTGTTCCCAAACCTGGCTGCTGCCTATGCCTTCTGGCTGACTGGACAAACCATGATGTCGGTTTACAACAAGTCCTCCAGCCAGATCGAAAAGGGAGACATCAGTGTCCTACCTGAGGTAATTAAAAAAAACGTGGTACTACATTATAGGCCTAAAAAATAATATTTGCAAAGCAAATGCATAATGTTACCTTAGCATATGGTCTGCTGGTTAATTCTTACTCAAACATATATGGTCAGACAGGAGTATAAATCCCTCCTGCTATAAAATTGCAACATGATGTACATGTAACCCAACATCATGGTGACAGGCATCTAGTTCAGGTCATTGACCTTATTGGTTTGGAGAAGAAGAAGAGGAAACAGAGCAAAAACAATATGTTTTCCATAATTATTCAACTGTTTAAGTTGTTTATATATTGCATACAGCATTGTCTGCTTCATCCCTGGGTATCCTTATCATTGATTTTATACCCTAAATCCTATTTTCCAGCTTCATGCCCTTTCTGCTGGTCTGAAGGCTCTGTCGTCAGCGAGGGCAGATGTTGGAATGGAGGAGTGTCGTCTGGCGTGTGGGGGACATGGGTACTCTCACGCCAGTGGGCTGCCCCGTCTGTACACCAACAGTACTCCCGCCGCAACTGCCGAAGGGGAACATGTCGTCCTGATGCTTCAAACTGCAAGGTCTGTCATTACCTTCGTCAAGAAGGTTTAATAATAATGTTTTCAGGGATGTTCGTGTGTGTGTCTGTCTGTGTGTGTGTCTGTCTGTCTGTAAACACGTTAACTTGAGAAGGCTTACATGGAATGACTTGATATTTGGTAGGTTGGTAGGTCTTGATGAGACCTCAAAATGGTTAGATTTTGGGCCCCCTAGTGGCTTCCTATGGTACTGCAGCTAAACTTTCGGTTTGGATATCTCATGACCTAAACATGCTAGGGTCATGAAATTTAGATGATATGTAGCTCTTGTTCTGGGTAAGAAGTGACGTTTTGGTGACTGTCTGTCACCTTCCTCAGGGCAATTCTGACTGGTTCACATTGCACTGCAGCACAGGTGTCGCTGCTATAGATGCATTCCCAAGTGCACAATATTTACGTATCTACAGATGCCATCCCTTTCTCCCCCAGGTACCTGATGAAGAGTTATACCCAGTCTGTGCAGGGAGAGAAGCTGGCTGGTTCGGTGGCGTACCTGTCAGGGGTACAGCCGGTCCCTGTGGCTGGGAGAACCAGGAACATGCTGGACCTGGGAGTTCTGTGTGATGCCTACGAGCACAGGGCAGCTAGGTAAGAAAACATCATTTTCTTGAAGATAATACAAAGTTGCTGTGTTGTCTGTCTCCTTCTTGGATGCAATATACATTTTGTATCTCTCTAGATGAAGCAGTGAAGTGCCAAAAAGTTTGAAGACATTGTGTGGAATAACAGCAGAGCATTTGGCTTGGAACCAAGAGGTCCCGGGTTCGAACCCTGCCATGTCACCAATCTTGTGCCCGTGGGAAAGGCACTTAACACGACTTTCCTGGATGGAGGTCTGGTGAATCCCATTTCGTATTAGCCACAAAAGGCAGCAGAATCTTCAGCTAGTTGAAGGTGGCTGCCTCAAATACATCTTGTTTGTCATCTCTTTCCAGACTGGTGCGTGAGGCTGCTGAACAACTGAGGAGTGAAATGCAGGCTGGGAAAGACCAAGCAGACGCATGGAATGCAACATCAGTTGATCTGCTCAAGGCTGCCACGGTTAGAACGCTTTTTCAAGTATCAGCTAGCCGCCTTACAATCCTACATTTTCAACTGTACAACTCCAGTCCTTGTCAAGAAATGAGCAATCCACTGCTTCCATGACGTCACGCAGATAATACACGACTCTGTGAGCAGTGGACAATAGGTTGCATAAAGCCTGTGGTGCCCCCCGTCTCTATTGAGGGATGGTTGTAATGCCCTGCGAAAAAAATTTGGTTGAGTCCAATTTCTTGTGTTAGATTTTGCAATTCAAACTTTCATAATGACCAACACTGATGAACTTTCAAGATACGATCAAACCAAAGTTTGTTTCTTCCGTGTTGCCATCCAGGCCCACAGCCAGTACTTTGTGGTGAGGAACTTTGCAGAGAGGCTGACAGACACCACACTGGACAGCTCCGTCTTTGCTGTCCTGACCAGGCTGTGTCAGCTGTACGCTCTACATGGACTGGTCACTAACAGTGGAGACTTTCTGGAGGTACAAGAAACATAAAATATTTAGACAAAAGCTTAATGTTTAACTTCGCAAATGGTCTGTTCAGTTAATTCTTATTCAAACATATTCATATGTATATATATGGTCAGACAGGAGTGTAAATCCCTCCTGCTATGTAACCCAACACTTGTCACCATGGTGACAGACATCTGGTTCAGGTCATTGACTTTATCTGTTTGGAGAAGAAGAAACTGATCAAAAACAATATCTTTTCCTTCTGCGAACTTCAAGGTATACCGGTAAACATAATTCATCATCCAAACTATATGGGAACTTGAAATTAATGCCCACCCACTTTTTATCAGGATGATTACTTGACCGGTGCAGACATCCGCCAGGCCAGACGCCACATCAACACCCTCATGGCCAAACTCCGTCCTGACGCCGTGGCTCTGGTCGACGCTTTCGACTACCCGGACGGGATCCTGAACTCCATACTGGGGCGCTACGATGGGAACGTCTACGAACACCTGCTGGAGTGGGCCAAGGCCTCGCCTCTCAACATAACTGATGTGAGGACATGTACTGTTTTTTATTTGTTTACTTCAAATTCACCACAAAACAAGCCTCATGAGAGCCGCTCAAATGTTTTTCGTTACTGTACTAGACATTGAGGACAGATGTTTGATGGCCTTTGATTTAAAAAGTTAAAGGTTATACCCTTTTGGGAAACAATCACGTGGTAGCTCATTCCATAGTGATGCATTTCTAGGAAAGAAGCTTTCAGCGTGGAACTTCCTTCTACTAGTAAGAGGTGGTACTACCATAGCCTGGTTACCAAACCTGTTCGTGGTTTTAGCTACTACTAGGTCTCCCCATTTGCAGAGTTACGAAGATAACCAGGCTATTCATGTACAAAGATTTCAAATTTTTTTGGCAATGAAACAGCACCACTAGAAGTAAATAAAGGGACAATTATTTGACAAATTATATTTCTTCTCTCAACAGCATTCCTTCATACATATTGTGACAAACTTTTCGTGTATCCTTAGGTGCACCAGTCCTACCAGAAGTACCTGAAGCCCTTCCTACAAGCCAACAGGGCCAAGCTGTGAAGATGTCAGCTGATAGGATTTCTACATGCTGCTTCTGCTGTATCAGTAGATATGGATGGATGGCTTGTTTTACTGCTCCGGTATTGCGGTCATATTTGCATAATGGTCTTATGAGACCACTTGAGGAAATGCCTACCAACTAAAATTGGTCATGACATTTTCGCTATGCCTGAATCAAATGTTCAGGGAAAAATAAGACAATCATTGATCAGTTTCAAAGCAATGTTATAAAGTCATGAGGAGATGTATAGAACACTTAATTTAGTTGTGGACCAGTAGTTACCCATACTTCATATCTAATGAGTACTTCATAGACACTCTTAAAATTCTAATTTTATATGCAGTATTTTTAACAAAGAATGTGTATAATTTATTTTAAAATTTAAATACATGTATACTGCATATTAAGGTGAAGTACATGTAAAATGTAATACAAAACTTATTGAATAGTTAAATGTAATCAAAATATTTTTAGTCAATCAGGTTTACTGTGTGTCTTTCAAGGTGTCTTCCGATCCTTATTGAAGGAATATTGTTTTCTAAGATTTCAGTACTAGAAAAAACATGTGCATGAACCATAATCATACACAGCTCTATTACATATAACACAAGTAAATCACACAACAACACACAGAGACAGACACATTTCAGATGGAGATATTTATTAATCCTTATAACATCAGGACTAAGAATGGATAGAATCTGTCGTGTCTACGCCTTCTTGGTGGCCTCCTCTCCGGTGTAAGCCTTGAGGATCTCGGCACGCTTGGCGGCCAGACGCTCCTCACGCCTGGCGCGTTTGTCCTTGTTCTTGGACCTACGGGCCTCGGCCTGGTCGCTATGGAAAGAGAGAGGGAATTGTTTATTCATTGTAAAAAAAAAACGCAGCAGCACCAGTGCTGAATTGCGGTTTCTGCACACAAACAGTTCCTTCAAATATTATCAGGACTAAAGTATTATACATTACAAATGAGAAATAAGAACAAGTCTAAATCCTGGAAAACCATGGAAAAATCATGAAACAGAACAAACGGCTCAGATGTAACTGTGACGACAAAAATGAAAAAAGCAATTTCCAATGTTTTTATAGGAAAATTTGACCAATAAGACAGAATTCTTTTTAGGTTCAATGTCATACAAAATGGCCCATAAATTCTGAGGGGAGAGGTGCTCTCTAATCAGTTGATGAAAAAACCAGCAAACTTTCCTGAAATACTAAGAGAAAACCCAAATTTTGAACATTTTGCTCCATTGCTTGGGGAGAGCCCTGGGTTGAATGCGTTAAGGTTAGAGACAAGTTTGAAACTTACGCCAACAGCTTGGAGCGCTGCTTCTCTGCCTTCCTCTTGTGGATGTATTCCATCATCAGTCGCTTGTTCTTAAACACGTTACCCTTCGCCTTCATGTACAGCTGGTGGTACCTACAGATTTTAAAAAAAACAATCGTTGGTTTGAGATACCTGCCAATACAGTTTCAGCAACCTCCAAAAAAAGCTACTGTACATTTTGACAGTCAACAAAATCTTCTGACAGTACACAAATGCACAAAATGGGGTATTGTTTCATCACTCAATCTCTCATGGTAGCTGGAAGCCATAGTCTGACAGTCCACAAAAGTTCTGACAGTCTACAAATGCTTACTTTGTTTCATAGAAATTGAAATTATGACAGATACAGGAGCGAAACTTACAGATGCTTGTCGATCTTCTTGGACTCACGGTATTTCCGCAGCATTCTGCGCAGAACACGCATCCGGCGCATCCAGATCACCTTCTCTGGCATACGGGCGTTCGCTGTACCCTTCCTCTTACCTGGGGGGTGGACAGGTGGGTTAGACAATTACTATCAAGACTTCTTCTTCTTCTCCAACAAGACTAAAACAGCAATACCAAGGCCCTAGCTAAAAGAATGAGATAATGTACCAAATGATACCTTTTCTTGGTGAAAAAAAGATAAAATTTACCAGAAATCCTGCTTTTACTGCTGATACAGACTCTGTACGTCTTACTACTAAGTCCTTGTCTGGTTTCTGTGCTTTTCATATTCCCACAGTAAATTTAATTTCATTGGTTAAGCATAAAACAGCCTGGGTGCCGTCCTATTTGTATACTGGGGCTCCCATTCTTGCTTCCTAAGAAATTTTTTTAGGTAGTGAGTATGGGAGCCCTGGCTATGTATAAAAGCCATCAGTCGTCTTTTGCATAAGCTTATACTTACAGGATTATACAAATTGTCATAGGAAGACAAGTACACATCTTATGCAGTATCTCTTTAGTATGTACAATAAATCACCCCCGTCCAAACTCACCATAGCCCATGTGTCTGCCCTTGCGGCGAGCGATGTGTGCCTTACGGACACGTGCCCTGGAGTGGACGGCCACCGGCTTACGGATGATCAGGCCATCCTTCACCAACTTCCTGATGTTTTGCCCTGCAAAAGGGGAAACAAACCTTTGTTAGTACTACGTTCTGATGTTGGATTCAAGAAAGGAGACCAGTCTAAACAGGCTTTTCACTAGCGCCGTGTTGGATTACAGTTTATGTCTGTTATTACAGTGTTAAACATGCCAACACACTGCTACTTAATCAATTCATCCAACAACTATAACTTGACTATTGGGCAAGTACATCATCATTTCCACAGTACTAACTTTTTACTCGCCCAAGAGAAATGGTCATATTTCTATGCATTTCACTCACAGCTAGGAAAAATTTTTATTTTTCAGTGAAATGGGCTAGAAAGTTTAGAATGTTGCATACTTTATTTACCATAATAATAATGAGGTGGTTTGGGACTTGCAACAGATTTTCTGACAAAAGGGCATACTTTTGACTGCCTAACAGTGCTTTTACTTTCCCTGGGCAAAAGGACTTATCCAACACCAAAACACTAACAGCAAATCTCATAGTAGCAAGTCAATATAGTCAAACTTACTAGAGTTGGCGTTAGCGATTTCGTTTGTCTCGTTGGGATCCAACCAGACTTTGTTCTTGCCACACTTCAGAACGCTGGCTGACAGCCGCTTCTGCAAGCGAAGAGTACTGAAACAAGAAAAAACACAACAGGATTTAGATTTAAGTCACACAAACAGGCATAATTTTTTTACATAGAAGAACTTTATAACACTCAACGACTTTTGTACGGTCTTCTGTATCTGTATAGCCGGTATAACCTTCATTCAGCATAACACACCAGCTCCGCAGGCACGCGGCACGGCGGCAGCTAGCTATATTAAACCGATCGACTTGTTACACCTAACCATTGAACATCTAACTCTCGTGCCCCTACTGTACTTGGTGACAGCGAGTTCCACTCTGCGATAGTGTAACTACTTGTAGACATACAGAGAGAGACGTGTGTACAACAAAATTGACCTACGTACAAGACAATACAGGAATCAACTTATATTATCCGTTTTAAGGTCTAAACATTCTTTGATATATAATTTTTCCTAGTAGTATTTTTGCTACCACGTTGCATATAAAAACCTTAGCATCGGTAAGAAAACTGGATGATTTTACGATGCTTTAACTACAACATACCTCGACATGGCTATCAAATCGACAAACACAAATCTCTGAACGATTTCGGTGGCGTAAAATCTCTGTAATATCTACAAATTGCGTCGCGTTGCGTCTTATAAATTTGTGTGTGTTGTTGCGCAAAGAAAAGCAATGATCAAAATGGCGGACGTCGGCCATCTTGGATACGAGCGAGGAAAAGTGTGCACACGCATCCACTCAAATATTTCGTCCTAGCTTTAAAGAGTGGACATAATGACAACTTCTTAACATTCTGTATAGCTTTATCTATCTTTTAGTGTGTAAAAATGATAACAAATGTCCTGAAATTTGACAAAATCGCAAGAAAATCCCGGTTCTACACTAACCTCATGGCTGCCTCGTTTTTGCCAGCCCGGAAAGAGGGTGAGGTGGTTTACATCTGACTAATAGTTCACATCCGCGACACAAAGTAGTGCCAAGATTTGAATCAATAATTTCAAACAATAGGAAAAACATCAAGCGACTTTATCAACCACCAAATAATGATGATGCAAAGAATTAACACTAGATATGTACCTTAAGTTTTAAAATGATTTCTAGAAGTTGATATTTGTGATAAAATTTATGCGTATGTATACTACTCCATTTCACAGTTAAACCATTATTTTAGGAGCCCAAATAGATTTTCTCAGCGATTGTAAAAAGGAAGAAAAAGTAACAGGCAAAAATTTTAAACTTCTTTTATATATTTATGTATAAAATTCAAAAATTTTGTGGAGATTTTCCAAAAAATGGGATACGTATAGAATAGTCCATAAATATCCAAGGGTTGTAATCTTGTCACCATAAATATTAATTAATAATAGACACCAGATAATCTTCGAGATAATTATGTTTTTTTTTAATTCAACTTCTTCTTTTATTCATCCTTAATATATGGCTAGGATAGTCATAGGCATTGTGTTTCTTTTTTTGTTTGTACTTTTCCTCCCCATTTTTGACTTGGAATGTTCTGACCTTAGGGTCACATGCTCAGTCATCACATGACCCGCGTGTGCGTGGATCTGACTTCCGGGTTCAAACTTGTTTTCGACTTTCCACTTGTTTTTCAAGAGCCTACGCGTCTCAAGAAGATCAAGATGCCTTCCTCCCAGAGAGAATGGATGCTAGGAAGACTCAGGAAAATACAGGGACTCTTCAGAATATGGTGGGAGCAGTTTTTAGCGCTAAAAATCACCCAGAAGATCGTTGGGGTTGGGGTGGGCGTGTTGCTTCTTGCAAAAGTTGTTGGATATTCTTCGTATCTTCTCGCGTATTTTGTACTCCTTGGATGTGGAGTATGGCTGGGGAATTACCTCACAAGACAGGACAAGCTTCTCAAGTCAGAAATGCTGCTAGAGTTCGTGGAAACCTTTTCACCCATGCCAAAAACAACCAGTGGACAACTTACTGAGGGTGATACTACAAACTTGGACCCTCTCAACAGACAACTTGAGTCTCTCACAAGAAACATTATGCGAGATTTCGTGATGACGTGGTATGCAGATATCACAAGTGACCCTCAGTTTTCAGACGAAGCGTTTGAGTCCTTGAAAGACATGTCTTTAACCCTCTCCGCGCGCTTCAAGGAATTGGACCAACACGTCTTGGTAGAAAAAGTCCTCAAGACAGTGCACAGACACTTGTTCACAACCAAGGAGGCAAGGAAACTCTTGAAGAGCCAGCCAAACTTCTTCAAAAGTGACTTGGATCCAGAATCTTCCCTGTTTGCAGCGTATGCAAAAGTAGCAAAGATACACATCGCTCTCCAAAGCAGGGCTGTGGAACTGAACTATCTACGAAGCATTGCGGAGGTCTTGTTGTATGTGATTTTCCCAGTAAGCACTTTTAGGTGTGAGTCAGGCAAAGAGCTAGTCAGGGAAATCCTAACCTGTCAGCTTATCTTACCTGTAGTCAACATGGTATCTGATCCAGACTGGTTGAACCAAAAGATTTTCCAGATCCTTTCCCCATCAGATTCAGAAGCTGTGTTGGAAAAACGTTTCGATGACAATTCTACAAAGACCATAACAGCAAGTAGCACAGAAGACACGAACGCTGTATCTTCCAGAAGTGGAGAATTACTTCAAGTTGGTCAAAGAAGTAGATCTACAGAGATAAAACACACAGATGTAGTTCTTGATCGAAAGGCAACGTTCGAAGTTGGGATGGATGTGGATAAAACAACAGAAACAACAAAAGTGTCGGAAAACAACAATCCAAAGGACCAGAAGTCAGAATTGGTGCGTATTTCCTTATCAAAGGGAGATCCACATGTCACAACAGAGTTTAGAACTGAGCAAGTAAGAGAGGAGCCCATTGGTGGAAGTGGCAGTCCAGGTAATGTTAGTCCTTTGAGTACATCTTTAGAAGATGTATCAGAGTCGAAGCCAAATGCTGTTCTGTCCACGTCATTGTCCAGTTCTGAATCCAGCCCGAAAGATGTTTTTCTTCCAGATATTGTGATGGTGAAAGATTCGGACGGTCCAGAAAGTACGGAGGAAAGGCAGAGACAAGAGGAGGACACTCAGGAACACCTCAAGAAGCCAGGACTTGGCAGAAGGGCCTCGGACCTACTCATGAAGAAGTTAGGACTGGGTAGTAAGAAAGAGGAAGGAAAGGCTAAGAAAGAGGGAGAAGAAAGATCAACAAGTGATGCTACCATAGATCAAAAACTGGCCACAGATGCAGTCCCTGCTAGTACTATCCCTGAGGAAACCCCACAAACTACTATGGTAGACTTAGACCAGCTACAGTCTCATTTCAGACTTGCCCCGTCTGATTCCCCATGTGCCAAGCCAACAGACATACACTCAAGACCAACCTTCGTCCGAAGCTCCTCCCAAGACAGTTTTGTGAGCATCCCAGAGGATGAAAATGAACTGTACTCCCCCTTTGAACAAGTCACCATGGAAGAAGTCATGGCATCCATAGCTCGCCGTTCCGCAGCCTCAGATTCGCAGGTCAAAACCGAATCTGCCGCTGACAAATTAGCTGCTTTGCCGATACACAGGACAAAGAGTAACAGTGAATCAAAGGTCGCGAATGAGGATGCTACCGTCAGAACTGTCTCTCAACCGATATCTATCTCCGCTCCGTCCACAAAGCTACCTAGAAGTGCGACTTCTCCAGGACTCTTGTCCAGTTCACCTAACCGATCCCCAAACTCTCACAGCCCAAATCTAAACCGGTTTAGGCTGTCTCCGTCCAAAGAGAGGGAAAGGCAAATGAGGAGAAGTGTTAGTTCGAGTCCAGGGTCGGAACGCGCCACTTTTCCACAGGGGGAGACCAGAGCGAGCGCCGAGAACATCCCGGAAGTTTCAGGCAGGAGGGATGATGGGAAAGATGAGACAGACAGAGCAAGTCATCATGGGAAGGAGAGCCATCAGTCTTCCAAATTGTTCCACAATGTCCGCATCCCGAAAACTCAGACGGCGGTGGAGTATAAGGGCATGGGGACCAGGAAATACACTTTGTACAGAGTCCAGGTAAATAACAAAATTTTAAAACTATTCTTCCCACACTATATTCAATTCAGCTTCAATTTTATTACTAGAAAGGTAACATTTGCAAAGCAAATAATGATTACCTTCACATATGGTCTGCTGTGTTAATTCTTACTCAAACACATTCACATATATGGTGATAGGAGTCTAAATCCCTCCTACTATAAAATTGCAACATTATGTAACCCAACACCAGTTACCACACATGTTGACAGACTCTGGTTCAGGTCATTGACCGTTTTTGTTTGGCTCGGTAAAAATGAGGTTTTGAACACACTTGTTGAATAAAGAATGAGTGATATACAGTCTTTAATGCCAAGCTGATGAAATTATTTATGGATTTTTCTTCCCCCAGTATGAGACGACTATCCTGGTGCCTATGGAAGGTGATGAGGAGGGACAGGAACTGTTTGAACCCATCACTACGACCATGTCAGTCCGACGGCGGTTCAGAGAGTTCATCACCCTACACGCCGCCCTCGAGGAGAACCCCAAGTTTAGGAAGATCATGAAAAGTAAGGGACATATCTTCTATCATGAAAGTTTGTCTGTGTTGGTAGTTACATGTTTAAAGTTTAAACTTTTCTTCCAACACAAAGATTGGTTCTCATCTAGAGCTTTTGAACAGTCACTCTGGTCTTCCTTAGTCAAAGAAGTCACGTGACAAGTCTCACTGGGTCAGTCTACTGAAGAAGACCAGATCTAGAGTGACTGGTCAAAAGCTCTAGGTGAGAACAATTCTTTGTGTTGGATCAAAAGTTTTAACATTAAACAAGGGGCATACATGTGTATTTGTTTCTATGACCTGAGTATATATTAATAGCATACAGGTGAAAACCGTAAATATAAAGTACCACAAATATCAAGTGATTTTCAGTATTTTTGAACACATGACAATAATGTTTGTTTGTCTGTTTATTTGTTTCTTCTCAGATGTGAAAGGTCCCAACAGACTGTTCCACCTGCCGTTTGGTAACATGGACAAAAACACCATCAGACAGAGACGGGGACAGCTACAAGACTTCCTCGGGGTGTGGACTTTTATTTGGTTCTTGGTTTACTTTATGATACACAGACTACCGGGGGGTATTGTAATATAATATACATGTAGCAGTAAGTTGCTTTCAACAAACAATGTTTTTAGTACATGTACACCATTCTGTCTTAAGATTGCTTGTTTTACATTCAAACAAATCCCACATTTTCAATATTACAACAGTTACTGTTACATTCAGAATTTCAAAAAAAGTTGGAGAGCGCAAACTGTACTCTCTAGCAGACCAACTCCCCTGGCATGTTATCTCTCTATTTGGCCAATTTCTACTCTTTCCAGCCACCTCCTGAAGCCTGGTAGAGGCTAGTCAACACCACTTCAATTGTCTGGAAAAATACATGACATCCACTCACATGTAAAAAAAAAAAGTCTCAGGTAATCACTGTGTTTATTGTCTTTGTTTTTTTTCTGTTACAAAGGAACTGTGCTCCAAACCAGAAGTGTGCCAGAGTAAAGAGTTACAGGAGTTCCTGGCTTACGGACGGGACGGCAGTATAGCCTTCGTCAGAAAACCTCCTGATATCATCCCAAGGTTTGACAAGGTAGGGTGTTTGGACTTCAAAAAAAATTGTCTTCGCTTATTTGCATATCAATCAATAGTTTGTGCTTATAAACCACAGCCTTTTGAACATTAGTCTCCAGTGTCACTGACAAAAGGTAGTGGATACTAGTATATCATATCCAGTGCTTGAGTAACTGTCTTTTGGCGTGTCTTATTACCTGAATGTCTAATCTTCACCAAGGTTTCCACCTTAGATTCCAAGACAATGTTTCAAGACACATCAGGCTTTTAGCCAGGATTTTTTTGTTGGGTGTCCATTTTTTTTATTGTATACTATGCACAGCAAAGATGTGCGGTGCTGAAGCTTTTTAGGGGGGCTTTTTTGAAATTCATAGTGCTCTCAAACACTCCTTTTTGTATTTTGAGGTGCAAATTTTTAATTTTTTCCTTCAGTAAACCATCATTTTTTCTATTTATAGTAAGGCTGAAGGGAGGCATGTGTGCATGGCAGGGGTTGGGAGTGGAAAAAATAGGGCGTCTTTAGGGTGTCCTACCAAAAAGTAGGGCGTCCAATTTCTTAGTATTTTCACTACAGGGCGTCCAAAAGACACCCTGGACACCCCCTAGCTAAAAGCCTGAGACACATACTTCCTATCATAGTTATTATGGTGACATGGAAAAAGATAACTTTTCTTATGAAGACTTTCTGTATATCCATTACCGGGTATCATTTACAGCTATGCAACTTATGACACTGTATGAGTAATTTTTGGGCCAAAACTTATAATCCAAACACAAAAAAGGTCCTTCCAACACCTGTGGTTTATAGGGCGCTGTCCATCTCAACTTCTATTGCCCTTGGGCCACACAGTTGTGCAAGCACTACGCTGCAGAAGCCTGGTAAGGTGGTAATGGCAAAATGCATTGTAAATACATTTATTTATGGTTAATCACATATTTTTGTCTGTTCCAGCTGTTCACCAATGCCGTTTCGGACCTGTTCGACACCGTCAAGTCAGCCCTGCCTTCCACCAGGTCACATGACCAGGAGGGAGATACCAAGTCCAACGCCAGGAGCGGGGGTGGAAAGTCCAGGCCAACGACTGTGGAGAGTAACTCAGGAATAAGGAGAAACCTAGCCTTTGTGGATTCAACAATGGTACGTATTGAAACTTGACCGTTTCCAAATTATATCGAGTTGCTTGTCAATGAGTAACTGTTTTTTGGCGTATCTTATTACCTGGATGTCTAACCTTCATTGACGTATCAAGGATCATTACGGTAAGTTTTGCCTGAGTTCTGTGAGGGATCTAGAGAAGACCAGCAGGAAGATTGCAGACTTTCAGAACCATCTGAATCGCTTCAGCTTTGCATATCAATCAATAGTTTGTGCGTATAAGCCTGCCTTTCTGACAACTCTCCAGTGTCACTGATGAAAGGTAGTGGATGCTACCTGAAACGTCTGACCGTTTGCAAAATCATTACCCAGTTGCTGGAGTAACTGTTTTCATGAAATAGTATTTGTGGCAAATCTGTGTTTTGTTTTTCCAGTCTGTTCAGACAACCCTGCAGATGTTTATCGTGGAGAACGACAGTGAGAACGAGGCCCAGTATCGAACTTGACCTTCCTCTTCATGACCCCTACCCACCCTCTAAATATAGTTGCTTGCTGATTTGACTGTGTTTTGTTTTGTTTTTCCAGTCTGTTGAGACGACATTGCAGATGTTTATTGTGGAGAACGACCGAGAAAACGAGGCACTGTTACGAGACGACGTGGGTCGACCACGGGGAGCAGGGGAGGAACCGTTACTGCTGCGGGATGGGGCACAGGGGGCGGGGGATGAACCGTTACTGCTGCTTGGGCCACGGTCACAGGGTGACGGGTGTGACATGGCAGACATGGCGACGGAGATGCAACACAATGGTTAGTTACTTCTGGAATGGAAGTATTGTTTTCAGTCACATTAATTGATAGTTTGTATGTGTGTATTGAGTCTGCACTAGGACTCTTATAACTGAGTCATTTGAGGTTGAGTTTCACTAGAGTTTAGAAAGTTTAGATTCGAAAAAATTGCTTTTCTGTAGTCTGATGATCTTTGAATATGCAATTTAGCAAAAAGCTGGCAAATATCAAAGCTGTTAAAAACTTTTCTCCTGTAATTACTTTACAATGTCACAGTGTCCTTAGCCTAAGCATGTGTAAGCATAACCAACTTGGTATAACTAAAGTCTACATTATGTGATCAGAATTACATGAAACAACACTCACAGCTAATCTCACAAATACTATTTTTTTCTCCAAATTCACAGAAAGTCAACCTTGAACAGTGTTTATCTTGTTGTTCCAGGACCTTCAGAGGAGCCCCTACCCCTAGCTGATACAGCCCTCCTGATTGGCTGTGAAGCCCTGGAGGGTCAGAGGTCGTGGTTCTGTGAGGACAGGGTACAACAGGTGGTGAGGACAGCCTGTGGGAGGCTGCTGGACCAGTGAGTTTGGGAACTTCCTAACACAAAAATGTTCAAACTAAAATGAAAGTTTTATCTGTGTGTGTGGACTTGGTAGTTACATGTCTGGTGTTACAACTTTTGTGCCTACACAATGGATTCTTCTCACATAGAGCTTTTGACCAGTCACTGGTGGAAAGCTCTAGGTGAGAATATGTCACCAGTCACTTTGGTCTTCCTCAGCTCAGTAGACTGACCCAGTGAGACTTGTCACATGGCTTTTCTGCAGTGTGACATCAACATTGGGTATGAGATTTACCAGATCAAAGTGACTGGTTGCAAGCTCAAGGTGACATAGAAATGTTTAAATTTGTCAGTAGAACTGCAGTGAAAATGTGGGAAGAAGGGAGGGTGTGAAAAGATGGTACTTCAAAGCCCTCCAAGTTGCCATCTAAAAAGGGTACAACTCTCAACCAATTGTAGCCAGACTCTGTCCTAATTAGCATATTCCATCCTCCAGGTGGCTCCACAGTCAGGTGACTTTTCTGACCAATCAGGACCAGTGTGTTCAGTACCTATCCCTGCTGCGGGAAGCCGTGTGGCCCGGCGGCGCGCTGCCAGACGAGCCTGAACCAATCAGAACAGTGGAGGAGAAAGAGGAGAGCAAGCAGCAGGCTCTAGAGGCCATGGTCAACTTCCTACCAGGTGTTTTCTATTCTCCTGTGCCTCTAATATTAAGAACAATTGTAGAAGATATAGTCTGTTTCATCTATGGCATTGTTGAGTTTAACGTTCTTACATTATCCTACAGAAATGTGCTGGAACTAAAAAAACTTGGTCAAAGAGGACCTGACTAAAATAATAAATTGACAAATTGTACTGGAGAATGAACTGGAGGAAGAGTGAAGAGGAACTACTGGTATCTATAAAGAGAAAAAAAATTTAGATCAGTAGTATTAAGTTAGCTTAGGCAGTAGTGCCATTATCTATAGCAAGGAGAAAATAAGTTCTTGGAGGATATTGTTTCCTTTTATTCAGTGAGTTATGTCATGGAATGATTCAGAAATGAAAAAAATCCATTAGAAGTATATGCTCATTTTATTCTGCAACAGTGACTCAAATCGATTGATATAATTTTTTGTTTATCCGTGTCTTACCTGTTTGTCCACCTTGTGTTGTTCCCCAGGCCTGTTCCCTGTGTTGCTGGGTCAGCTGCAGTACCAGGCAGCCATGCAGGGGGCGCTGGAAGCCTTCCAGAACCCCAGAATCAACAGGTGGGACCATGTGCTGGCATCTTCTTTTCCCTTCACTTGGCTAACAGTGCAATACTGCAATGTGAATAGCCATACCTACACATATTGTTTTGCCATTGAGAATTTTAGGTTGCCCTGCATTGGGTAAATTGTTATGTTTACCAAAGGAAAACATATTGTTTTTGCTATGCTTGGCCAATGACCTGATTTGTTAATGTCTCTCACCATGGTAACTGGCGATGGGTTACATCATGTTGCAATTTTATAGTAGGAGGGATTTAGACTGCTGTCACTATACATATGAATGTGTTTGAGTAAGAATTAACAGAGCAGACCATATGCGAAGGTGAACATGATGCATTTGCTTTGCTAGTTTTAACTTTGTTTTTTTCCTTATCCCCAGACACGTGGCCTACTGCTTGCTGGACCTGTTGGTGGAGTCTGTGGTGTCAGAAGTGGACACAGCAGAGCTTCAGAGGAACCTTCTCCTGTCTGACAACCACAAACCTGACCCTACTCCTACAGACATGGACCTGCTCTACTAAGGCCTGGGGAAAAAAGATAATCCCTACCTACTGACCCTAATTGTGTCAGGACTGAAACAGGAAACACAACATTTTTTTTCCTACACCTAACTCTGTGCTACTTTGGCACATAAAATCAAACCTGTCCAAGCTGGCCACTTTGGACAGGTGGTCTCCTTGAGCTGACCTCCATGTCAGTCAACTGTCAAAATCACCTCCCTCCCTCCATGCAACTGTCACTAATTTATAATGGGACATAAAACACAAGTCAGCCACCCAAAAACAATACTTCCAAGAAATCATTCTGTTATAGTTATGTCATGCCTGTAGCTACAGTTTAATGTAGCTATGTTTAATGCCAGGGTATTTTTTCCTGTGCCAAATGTATTTCTCATTTGTGGAACTTTCTCAAACACACATATCATTGTAAGAGTTACATATCATGTCAATTTCTGGCCAAAGCAAATGACATCAAATGTTGTATTGTTCGATTCAAATTCTATGTTCATTTGAAAATGATAAGCAATGCACATACAAATGTATGATATGTTGCACATAATGATTTAATTTTGTGCTATTTTATTGATAGTACAGCTTCATTTCAACTACTCTGGATACAGTTTTCATGTTAATTTGGTTCATGTACATGGAATATTTTGAAGATTAAGAAATATAACTTTGCCCATGAAGTCAATAGCTAGTCTTATCAATGTGTTGCAGAAACTGTTAATATTGTATGGATGTGTTAATTTGGTTTCTGTTGTTCCTTGTTGCAATTTCAAATGGTTCTACATGACATGTGCTCAATACTTTCTCTTGAAATTGTAAATACAGATCCTGTTTATTCAAAGCAAACAAACAAACAGTACAATATGGCATCACCCAATTATTATAGTCAAGAGATACATGTAGTTATAATGTGTACTGCATTTTTCTACATTATGTATGAAGGGATACATAACGTTATATAGAGCACCACCCATTCTGGTAAGTGCAATTATTACACCTTGTGCAACTAATGAATTTGGAGTAATGCTTTGCAGTCTCAACCCAATAAAATCGTTTCCAGACAAACAGTGTGTTCTTTGATAGGATTAATCTTCTTACTTAAAATACACTCTTTTAAATATTCCAACATGTAATCACAAGACGTGGTGACGGCACACTCAAGTTTTTCCAACTTATATCAATGCCGCCACCAACACAAGAGACAATACAATACTAGTACTCATTTCCACCTGAGCGAAGTGAGGAAAATCCTGTTAAGATCGGTGGCATGCATGTCAGGACTCGAACTCGTGACCTCTTGGTTCCGAGTCGAGCACTCACGTCCTTTCAGTTACTTCTTCCCTTTGGGTGCACCACACACCTCCAGGAACGTCTTGTGAGACTCTTCCCAGTACTTGGACTCCAGCAGCTCTTTCTTGAACTGTGCCGCCTTCTTGAATTCAGACTCCAAGTACGCGTCGTCGAGTATGTCCACGATCTTGTCCGCCCAAACCTGAGCGGTCTTGTCCAGGTCGGAGTCCCTGACGCTTGTGGAGACGATCTTGTGCCTGAAGTCGGCAGAGACCTTCCCATCCTTCATCAACTCCCTCATCAGGTCGGCGAGCCCGGATTGGTCCGAGATGAGGACGGGGATGCCCGCTGCGATGGCCTCCAGTCCGACCAGTCCGAACGGCTCGGCGCGGGACGGCATCAGGACCAGGTGGGCCTGCTGGATGTCTTGGATGATGTCCCTCTCTGTTCCGTACGGTAGCAGCGTCGGCTTCAGCTTGCCACTATCCAAGTTTTCCTCGAGGATCTTCTTACTCTTGGCGTAGTCTTCGACAGCAATCCCGCGGACTCGCAGTCGTGCGTTCGGGATCTTCTCGATCGCTTTCCCCATGGCCTTGGCCGCCACGTCTAGACCCTTCAGCCGCTCTACCTTTGTCACGCGTCCGACAGTGAGCACCACCTTCTCCCCGGGGCCGTAGCGCACGTCGGTCTCCGCGAAGCTTTCCGAAGGTTGTGGGAGGTACAGATGGTGGGAGATGGGCGGATCGTGCACCTGTAACAGTAGGGGGTCACTGTAAAAAACAGGAGGAGCGAGTAGAAAAGATAAAAACCTCTGGTCCCGGGCACATGCCGACGCTCTAACGATTCGGCTAAAAGGCCGAGTCAGTTGGTAGCGCCTATAAACCACCCACTGCTACACTACTCCCCCTTTTCTTTTCAAGATTCGTCCTCGAATCTTCCGAATTCGACATCCCTGAAGCGGCACTCTTTGCCAGAACTCCCAGGGCCGTTGTGGCAACCACTGTAAGAGTTAGGAGGAGCTAGCAGAAACAGATAAAAAAACCCTGGTCCGGGGCCGGGGTTCGAACCCACGACCAAACCTGGGCACCAGTCCAGACGCTCTAACGATTCGGCTAAAAGGTCTAGACCCATCGGCTGGGTCAGTTGGTAGCGCCTATAAATCCCCACTGTTACGCACCCTGTACTGGTTGCTGAAGTGGTTCTGGATCCGATGCCCGACAGAAAACACGGCGTGCACATCTTTCGCCTCTTTGGTCAGCTTCTTCTCCTTCTCAGCCGCCCCTATGGCCGCGGCGTCTCCCTTAAAGTGCTCGGTGTCGAACGGTATGATGTGGTTACACAGGACGGTCTTGGCCCGGGGATAGCGCGCGCTGATGTTCTTGGCTGCTTGGCTGGTGATGGGGAAGTGCCCCACGATGATGTCCACCTGTTTTTTTATTGAAACATATATCATTCTTATATAATGGATAAGTTCCCCAGCTTTGGACATTTAAATGAAGTAGAAAAATTCAGATTTCTTATGAAACTTGACAAATCATGTATTATTAGTTCTATATGCTCGTACATATTTAACTGCGCCAAGAAGCGAGGAGAAGTTGAACATGTAAATAGTAGATCGCATTCATATAGTTTAAGTGCAATTGCTGTATCTTTCTCCTTGTCTATTCATGACCTGTACTTAGCTTGTTAGAGCACAAATGTACAATAAAAGTCTTTCATTCAATCATATTTATTGAGTATTGGGCAAAAAGCACAGGTTGTTTAATATATGACACCTTCTACTAAAAAAACATGAAACGAGTGTAAAACACATTAACAAAATACATGCATAAGTACAAGTTGGGTAAAACCAAAATAAATACACTGAACAAGACAAGTTGGTGATCTATCAATTACGAGAATCTACCAGGACAGTAAATGAAGTTTTGAACTAAGTATATCAAAGAAATAGGCGTGAAAGTGATGTGGACCCTCGAAGTAGTACATGTACTAGTAAGGAACATAGGGAACTGTCATTGAGATGCTGTAGTGATACTATATGTTAGTAAGAGATGATAACAGAGTACTTCTCTCATAATAAAGTTGTCCACCTGTTCAGGAAGGGCCTTCACCGGGTAGCGAGTCGGGTGATCGTAGGTCAGCCATTCTATACACGGTTCTCTACTGTCGTCGGGATCACGGTACGGTATCAACAGGGTGACGCCGTCGCTCTTTGCACGCTCGATATCTTCCTCAGGAGGCGGATACAGAACTACGGAGATTTTAAATGCAATGATGTAGTAATTAATCGATGAACAAGTGAACAAATATATACAGGGAGCGTTGAAAACTGCCATTGGCGATATGTTGCCTCTGGATAAATAAATAAAAATGAAAAATGAAATACAAAGACTAACGGGACTGATATGCAGGGAGATATTAAAAAAACCGATTGGAATCTAACAAAAATGTTTGTACATGTAGCAATATTTGAATGTTATGAGTACTAGAATATTATTTTGAAAGTTCATCTGTGTTGGTAGAAATCATTATGAAGCAAGTTTAAACTGCAACTTCCAACACAACAAAAATTGGACTCACCCAAATTTCGACTGTACAACTCCAGTCTTTGTCAAAGAATGAGCAATCCACCGCTTCCGTGACGTCACGCAGATAACACACGTAATTCCGTGAGCAGTGGGTCATAGGTTGCAGAAAGTCTGTGGCGCCCCCCGTCTTTCCTTGCTCATTCCTTGACAAAGACTGGAGTTGTACAGTCGAAAATCTGGGTCTGAGTCCACTGATTTTTGTTGTGTTGGAAGTTGCAGTTTAAACTAGCTTCATAGTACTAGAATATCATCTGAAAGTCAGTAACGAAGCCTATCAGCCTACCTGTTGAGAACACCCGGACGTTGCCCTTCCGTAGCAGCTTGGCCACCTCGCGATTGACGGTGGAGATTCCACCTTTGGAACTCCCGTACTCGTCATTGATTAACAGGGCTGTTATAACTATTGAGTCTGTGGAAACAACCATAATTCTATAACCATACTATCATTGACTCTTTCTACACAACCAAGTATTTTCTTCAGCCGACGTTTTTGACTGGTTCACATTGCACTGCAGCATCTATAGCAGCGACACCTGTGCTGCAGTGCAATGTGAACCAGTCAGAATTGCCCTGAGGAAGGTGACATAGACGGTCACCGAAACGTCGGCTGAAGAAAAGACTTGGTTGTGTAAAAAGTCTCTTTACTCAGTGTCTTACCAACCTGATGAAACTATTCACGGATGAGAGACTATCATTGTTTACTTGTATACATTATTGGAATCATTGAAAGCGTTATTCCCTACACAAATACTGTTTTAAGAGTGTGTCAAGCTTGCAGTTTTTCCTGTTACATATACATGTATTATTAAATGCAATTCTGTTTACTTCAACACTTGAAAAAACCTACCAGCCATGTTTGTTGAGTGTTGTCCGCTGCCATTCTGAACTGCTGTTTATTGGTTTGTTGATATACCTACATGAGGAAAGGTAGAATCATTCAGTAGAGGAAACTATAGAGTGTCTAGCGGTACAGCAGTGACTACCAGGGAATACTTAAGTATCTAGTACATAAAACTTCCTTCTAGAAAAGCTGTCCTTATGTTACTCTCCAAGCAGAGGTTTGGGTTCAGTTGGCTTATTTTGAGCGTGTTTTCAGGCCTTTTTTATCAGGGTTTCTTTTTTGCACTGGAATTCTTTTACGCTAATGAAAAATTTTAAACAAAAACTCAAACCTCTGCTTGGAGAGTATCCTTATGTCTGAAACAGAGCATTTCACAAACGTTTGTTTTATGAGTTTAGAGAGAAAAACAGTTCCAAAAACACTTTGTTTGTTGTGTTATTGCCAGCCGGAAGTGAACAGTACACCAACAATGGCGGAGCACAGGTATAAAGGTCAGCAGGTGACCGCAGGTGAGGTGGCGTCACGCAAAGGCGACTCCTTTTAAGGCAGGTGGCATCGGTCAGACTACAGAACACCAGGGCCAGCTGTCTATGTCTTGTTCTGGTTCTCACTCGGGTCAACTGCAGTAGACATGTGTCAGAATCTCTATTTAACAACAGTTTAGAATTGACATTAACTTTACTCTCGCTTTCTTGAAAAGACGTACAATGTATGTTAACGTTGCGATTGGCGTTCTAGTCGAAAGACATGTACATGTAGTATAGCAACCTTCTATGTTGTATAACTCAGGTAAGATACATGTATTTTACCTGCCAAACGTTGTAAAAGTGCATCTTACCTTTGTGGTAACACTACCTGCAGTCACACCTTGAAACCAGGTAACTACACCAGGTTTCGACCTGATTACTCTAACCTTAAGCGCCAATTTATTGTGCCAATCCGCACATACAAAGAAGTACGTGAGAATCGTTACTACGAACATGTTTGAAAGTGCCCTCTTCTATAACCTACGTTATCCCAAGTTTATATGCCCCTTAAATTGTCCAACAGGTGGTTTGATACTTCTACATTTTAGTTTCTGCTACAGAAAAAGAACTTTTTTATCGTTTGACTTCCGCTTCACCTGGTGGTGTTTTGTATCCATGCGCCACTAAGGTTGCACTACTGAATGCTACCTTCTATATTATTCTACGTTCAAATAAGTTTAAGAATGACTGACCACACGAAAAAGGCCATCACTAGATGGGCGAATGGGAAAAAGGCCCAGTGGGGATAGGAAAGGAGGGGAAAGTTGGATGGTTCACATTTCCATCAAGATTTATAATATGAGATCTCAAAGTATGTAGCTTGGAGTGACTGGACCTCAAAAAGAATAATGGTAACCCTCCACCTTGCCCTAGTACTTCTGGGCTAGATTATTAGTTCAAAGCAACACGAAACAATTAACAATATGCATGTATGTAACGTTTTAACAAAGGTGAATCTGCACACATGCAATAAACACGAAATAGTCCATTTTAATGTAATCTAAGACAACTGTCACAAGTAAGTAACATAGCAACTTTGATGTCTCTTCCAATTCACAATATCTTAGTACACAAAATAGTCATACTAAACATGATCCAATAATACTTCACCTAAAGTACACAGTTTGAAACAAGGCTGAGGCAATAAAAATCATTGCCAAGGCGACGACTGAATGATATATTATTTCATGTGGTGGAGCTAGCAATCTACATTACAATTATCAGAAAAACATATTTCCCTATGTTATAAAGACATGCACGTAGTGAAATTTACAGGCTGGGTGGAGGAGGTGTGGGGCAATATACCAAATAGGAGGAATCAGCCGTTCTTCCCCAGCAATATAGATTTTATGATGACATACTTACTTACTTTACTTTGGTCGAGTTCCCGCTAGAACCAAACTGAAAACCATCCTCCACATCACTCTATCCTTCACCAGAGACTGGATTTTATGTCTGGTCTGAAGTTGTTACTCCTTTGACTTTTTTTTACCTTTTGTGGGTTCCAAAAGGACGGATAATTTCTTTTCTCTCTGTGACCTGTTTGAATATGGTCTTTGGCCAAAGACAGCTGTGCTCTCTGTCCATCGTGTGGGGAGAAGACTGATGACCAGTAATTAATCATGCCAGGCATCTGGATGGGTGGCACGTGGGCACCCCGTGTAAGTTACCTGCTTGATCCAAAAACCACATGGTGGAAGGTTTCCTCCAAACCAATTCCCTGGGGAACGCATTCGTGCAATTTTTGAAATTCTTTCAAAGCGATCGTAGTACTTACACAAATGCCTCCGCCCCAAAGGCGTCGCCAATAAAACACACAACACTATTAACACAAAACTCTACAGTGCTATAGTAATCTCCCTGGCTTGCAACAGAAAATAATACTTTTGAGTATTATGAATTAATTAAAATTTTTAATTAATCCAAACAAGCACACCAGTGTAATTTCTATATCATATTTCTCTGCTGCTTTTCTGTTATCTGCAATAAATTTAGATCACAAACAATTGTACTAAACAATATGAGAGACACTTATAATTTTTATAACTCACTACTACAGATTCATATCTTTACAACTGGTACATTTTATACCACTGGACTCTCTTATTAATACTGCACGGAGTAGAATTGTGATGTGTATGTAATCTGTACTGCATTGTAAGAAGGACAAGATTTCTAACCAGTATGTCTGCCTGGACCAGTACAAAAAAATGGTATTATGAGCAAATTTTTACATCACGTGTTTGCATTTTAAGGTTACTAGCCGACAGCTGCCGACCCTTAAAAATGCAAAGACATGAGGTAAAAGACACCAGCAGCAGAATAATCAAATCCTAGATGGTCAGTCTTTAGTCCTTACTACTTTTTCTTTGTACAACAGCAAAGGCTAACTCATAGCTGGATGCAATGTAACATATGCAGCTAGCTGGACCATGGATCACCCAACATCATACTTAATTTCTCTTTACTCAGCATTTCTATAGTATACTAAAGACTCTGATTCTGCTATTGTACAATAAGTGCTTTTTTTACAAGCATATACAGTCAGGGGTTGAAGAGATCTGGGTATTTCTGTATTACAACCTTTCTTGGCTATAGATAGTTCTTGTGAAACATCTATTACACTTCTGATGTAGGTATAGCTTCCTTCATTTATAGTATATGTTGGAACAATACATGTACATATTTAAAGTTTTTTTTTCACTAATCATAATCTAACACAAAAGTTTAAGCATTCCTCCAAGATAATTCAAATAAATCTTTTTTAAAACATAGCCAGAAGAACAGTTATGCCTTTGAGATTACATTTGTAGTGTATTATTCCCAAAACATTTCACTGCCTCAGAAATTTAGGATGTTCTTTAATTGTGGCATTAGATTTTTGTTATCCCAACAGTGTTACTGACAAGCGCATGACTTAGAAGACATAAGCTTTCTTGAGTGCCTTGATGTCATCTTTTGTGTATTCTGTACAGGGCTGATTCAGAAGGCAGTTCAGGGTGGAACAGATGTCTGTAAAACAAGAATGAAAATTGTCATCATCCTCAAAAGTTTCATCCATAACAATTTATTTTACTTAACATATAAGTCCCAATTAGAGGAAAAATAGTGACAACACGAATTGGAAAGTAAAGCAAGACATTAATTTCGTAGATTATAAACTTTAAATTACACAATAAGACAGCATATCTGCAAGAAGTGTTTGTTTTAATGATGCAAAGTAATTTTTATTTTTGTACTTAATGTTAGCCCTTATCTGTAGCTACATGTAGTTGGGCATCCATGTATGTAAGACAACCCAATAAATAAACAAAAATAAAACAAGGTGAACCACTGCAGTACTCACAGTTCTTGTCCTTGGCAGTGAGGAAAGTTTTCAGCATGTTGAATCTGTTTGCCTTGGTGATGTAGTAGATATACTGGTACACCAGGGCTGGCTCTGGAGAGAACAACACATGGAGAAACATGGATTTTGTGATAAAACCTGAGAAAAGATGGACTGCATACAGGGTGACTACAGTGACAATGATGAGAAAGGTGTCCAAAAGTTTTTGAACACCCCCTTACACAATGAATCGAAGAAGGATTCTCTCACCTGTCATGTTTTTTTGTTTTGTTTTGCACAACCGGTAAACTGCCTTTAGGCGTAACATACCAGTTTTGTACATGTACGTACAAGTTGCATAAGACCAGAATGTTAGGTCATGCTTCAGAATTAATAGTTATATTACGTAGAAGAATGCTAACAGTTTATCATTATGATAAGCTGCATGTACAGGATAATGAGACCTTAATGACCAGATGATGATGACTGGATAAGTGGATAGTGCAACTATCTTGTTGACCCACCTCTGTTGACAACATCCTCTTCCTTTAAGACGTGGACGATCTTGTTGATCATGTCAGCATCCATCTTGTTACTTACAACTGTAAGACGAAAATTGTACAACTGTAAATATCATTCGCTTGGGAATGCATCTATAGCAGCGACACCTGTGCTGCAGTGCAATGTGAACCAGTCAGAATTGCCCTGAGGAAGGTGACAGACGGTCATCGAAACATGGGCTGAATAAAACACTTGGTTGACAATGTGTAAAAAGAGCATCTTAAACTGTAAGACAAGGTACAAGATTTAAAGGCATCCAATGCAATTTCAGGGAGGCAAAGCATGAAATATTCTGGATGGGGAAATCTGTTTGCTCTACTTCTAAGAAAGGGGGGATCTTGTGTGGTAGTGGACAAATGGTTCACAACAACAATCAACAACTTTCCAACAACGTCCCCTCACCTTTTGGCAACTCCTCCGGGGCGATGCTCTTGAGCAGGCCCAGGTACAGCTCATTGTCATCACTGTTCTTCAGCGCACTCCAGGCTGTCATGAACAGGTACGGAGAACTCTGACAGAGAAATAAAATAAATGAGGTTGAACAAAATATCTTTATTTTCTGTATCTGTATCATTCTATACCTGTATAGCTGGTATAACTGCCTTTCGGCATAACACACCAGTTTCGCAGGCACGCGGCACAGCGGCAGCAGGCTATATTACACTGATCGACTTGTTACACCTAACCCATGAACTTTTAACAATTATGGACCAGGTCCAAGGAAACACACTTAATGTTTAAGATGCCTTTCTTTGAAACTTGACAAAAGAAAAATAAGGTTATGTTCAGACAAGAAACAAAGAAAGATCTGTCTGGTAAACCATTTACCCTTGCTTGAGCCTCATTGTTACAATGTCATTTCTATTTGTCTCATTGATGCTGTTCACAGCTTATTTTTCACTAAATGGTAATATCTTTTATATATCCTTACCTATGCAGGAAAGTACTTTGTTACTAGACGTACTCCATCGTAGAAGTAAAACATTAATATTGAAATGCTACTGTTTCATAACCTAAGTGAGACGTTCAAGTTGAAAGTAAAAGATGTGAATCAGAATCACCTTGGCCTGTCTGGACGCCTCTTCAACTTTGGCGCGAAGTTTCCTCTTGGTGGACGGACTGGTGGCTTTGGGAGCCTCCTTAGGTGCCATGGGGTCTCCCTTGATGCCCTCCGCCTTCAGACATAAGAAACAGAAGTTAAGACGCTTGCTAAGACTCTTGGCAAGTGAAGAAGTTAGCTAGTTAGTTAATATTAATATTAAGCAATGCATGCATACATGTCAGTTTGAATCATGATCTACTTGTTTGCTTGTTACAGCGTGCGTTTCACAAGTATTAGGTTGACTATCAAAACATAGAATGTATGGCAGGGCTGGAAATAATCCAAAGTATTGTACTGTATAGCCCTAATTCACTGACAAGGGTCACACCTGATAATAAAAAAACAGTTTTGGGAGCAATAAAATGCTTCTTTAAGTTTAATAGTTTCATCAGGTTGGTAAGTCAGTGAATAAAGAGACTCTTTTTACACAACCAAGTCTTTTATTAAGCCGACATTTTGGTGACCATCTGTCACCTTCCACGGGGCAATTCTGACTGGTTCACATTGCATTGGGACCACATTGTAGATACAGTTCATATGTGTAGATATGTAAATATTGTACATTTGGGAAATTCAATGCATCTGTAGCAGCGACACCTGTGCTGCTCAGAGTTGCCCTGAGGAAGGTGACAGACGGTCATCGAAACGTCGGCTGAATAAAAGACTTGGTTATGTAAAAAGAGTCTCTTTGCTCACAAAATTTTGTTGCTGAAGTGCTAATGACACTTAGCTGATTGTTTGTTTGTTTGTTTGTTTATTTCTAGCCCTGGTGTTTACTACCTACCGCTGTGTCCTCCTCACTGTCGGAGTCATCTCCCTCCTCCACTACTACTCGCCTCCTGCTCTTCCCAGCAGCCTTTGCAGCCTTCCCAGAATCCTTATCTTTACCCTCCTGTAGGGATCTGAGCTCCTAAGACAGGCAGTAAAAGTGGGGCATGCACATGCTGTCAGTACTAACATGCTAAACACACTCCAGGCTAGATGCAATGTTAATGTTAATGTTGTTGTTTTGTTGTTGTTAGACTGTAAAGTTGGAACCAAGAATATTGGGTCCAGAGGTATCCATTTTGTTGCCATACGAGCGATTGCCATTTCACCACGGTAGTCAAAAAGCAGCTGACAGTTGGTTGATTTGTCTACCAATATTTTGTGTAATACTATGTGTGTTTGCATGTGTATGATGTTAAAACAGCAGCGATTGCTCGTATGATGGACTGAATTACATTTTGTGCTTTCTAGTGTCTGTTGATGTTGATCAGACCCAAAATCTCACAAGAAATGACAAAAAACTTTCTGATGATAGAATACAATGCCTCTTTAAAAGCCTCCCCACCTTTCTCCACAGTTCCTTCACATCGTCCAGTTCAGTTTTAGCAGCCTTGTTCTTAGGGTCCAGTTTCAGCAGCTCTGTTAGGTCCTTCGCTGCCTCGCTGTATCTCTTCAGCATCTGCGGGTTGTGGAGGAAGAGTGAGTAAAGGAAATTCTACACTCCAGGTATCTAAAATCCATGAATGTGCCTAATCTTTAAGAAAGCTTAGCTTTCTTAAAGATTAGGCACATTCAAAAGAAAGATGGCAGATGCTGTTTGAAAGACTCTCAAGCTTATGTTTCTAGTTCTGAGTTCTAGTTTAACCGTAATGTTTATATTCATTTACAATGCGTAAGTACAATAATTGTATGAGGTACAATGTATGGCATCTACTACCACATAACAACAACAACACAACTACCTAGCCAGGTTTCAAGAATTTTGTCCGTACTATTTTCTATGCCAAGTCATAGACCCCAGATGTTGCCCATTAATGCTGTGTACTGATATCTTGAACACACTTGATCTTGGATTCTTTTCATTCATATGACAAAGCTAGACAAGATGTGAAACTTGACCAAATATTATTCCACAAGTGTATACAATGACAGTAATCTTACCTACTTTACAAAAGATTATGTAGTTACTATGCTTACCTTCCTAGCCTGAGCACGTCTGAAGTAGGCCTTGATGTTTTTCTCATCCAACTCCAGAGTCTTGTTACAGTCAGCCTCTGCTTCATTTGGCTACAGATGCAGAGAAAATATAACAGTCTTTCTTATAATGTTGGGAGTACAGAAAGCATGAAGTTTGAAAGAAAGATATTGAATCTTTATCTAAAGATTAAATATTCATTGTATTTCTTACAAAATTAGTCATTTAGATAAGATTAAATAAAGTCAAAGTCATTTAGATACCCAGTAACTGAAAAGCTTGCATTAAAAATACTCAAGTATTTGAAACTTGAGAGAGGGAAGAAGAAACAGAGAGCGAGAGGACAAAAAGAAGGAAAAGAGTGACTTACCCTGGTCATTTTCAGATGGCAGAGTGCTCTGTTACAGTATGCCACAGCCTGGTCAGGGGAAAGCTCTATACACTTGTTATAACATTGTGTAGCTGGCCCATAGTGTCCTTTCTTGACTAGCGTGTTCCCTTTTTCCTTAAAATGGAGAAAAGTATCTCGAGGGGACGTTGACTTCTGCTGCTTTTTCTCACTTTTAGGAGGTGTTTTCTTCTTATCCTCCTTCTTTTCTTCAACTTTCTTGGTTTCCTGTGCTTTTTTGGAACTTTCCTGTGCCTTTTTAGTTGTAGATTTGTCAACATTTTCCTTTTCTCTGTCTGGTTTGGATGCTTTTGTTTCATTGGCTGGTGACTCTTTGACTCCATTGACCATTGGTTGTTTGGTTTCAGGTGCTTTGTTTTCATTGGCTACTGGCTTGCTAGGTTCTGGCGTCTGATTGGTTGGTGGAGAGGTTGCCGGGGGAACAGTTCTATGTGCCGTGTGAGGGCTGTAGGTAGGAATGCTGGGTAATTTTGTTCTCCAGTCTGGTCCATCCAAGTCTTTCAGCATCTGCGCTGATCTAAAACGAGAAATCTAAATGTCAACAATCAGAAGATAATATTTATACACTCGCTATCTCTACTCAACATTCCTATGTTGTTGTTTTCCTAACAGTGTTTCTTTCCTAGCAGTGTCTTTCTTTCCAGCTGATAAGGATTTCTTGCTGTTAGTTTGGTCACAACAGCATAAACTTAAACGATATACATGTAGAAACAAAAGGGACATAGCAAAAGTTCAGAGACGCCAGTTGAAGTACAGTGTTCAAATTTTCCTGGAAAGCTGATAATAGCATTGAAGTCACATTGTGTTGTAACCAATTACATGTTTGAAGGAACTGGTCTAACAACATTGATTGAGGTCATTTGAGGACACTGACCTGTGTGACCCCTGCTGAGCCTGTATGTTGCTGGGGTCGATGTTCAGCACGTGTTTGTAGTCCACATAAGCCTGCCTGAACCTGAAACAAAGTTTGAGTAAAGAAACTTTGCGTAAAAGTTCATTTGTGTTGGTATAAGTCATTATGAAATAAAGACTAAACTTTAACTGCCAACACTACTATGAATTGGGACTTATCTGGCACGTATGACCTGCTACTACGGTCACGTATCTCTGATGTCTCTGACCTGAACCAGACGTCTGTCACCATGGTAACTGGTATTGGGTTGCATGTTGCAATTTTATAGCAGGAGGGATTTAGACTCCTGTCTGACCAAATATAAATGAATGTGTTTGAGTAAGAAATAACAGAGCAGACCATAGGCAAAGGTAAACATTATGCATTTGCTTTGAAAATGTTACTTTTCTAGTTTCTTAGTCATAGTCATTTGAGAGTGACTGACGGAGAGAGAGAAAGAGTCAGAATTTTCAAATATGATCACTTACTTCTCCAGGTGCTCGTACGCTGTTGCCCTCCTGAGCAGAGGTTTCCATGCGTGCGGCTGCAGCTGGAGGGCGTGGTCACAGTCATCAAGGCAACCCTTCACGTCGCCCGACTTGTTCTTACTGGCCGCACGGTTACTGTACAGGGTGGACAGGCCTGCACTGTGGTCTGCTGATTCTGGACACGGCAATACAGAAGAGAATAAAAAATACTGGTAACTCATCAACAGTGTGATGTTTACAATGCATCTCAATATACTGTAAAGGTATTTCTTTTTGCAGTGGTCACCTTCTTCTTCTGTCATTGAAAATGAGGACAATCGTATAAACAACTTAGCCATCTTATGCTTTTGCCACAAGAAACTAAATGTTAAGAGAACCTTAGATAACACAAACTTCATTGGCTCCATTTGCAATGAAGAGTCATATAATGCATTTCAGGACATTGCTGCATATGGCTCATGAATCTGCCAAAAAAGTTGATGTCTTAAGAAAAACTACCAGTATTCTCGCCAATAAAATCATAGAAATCCATTGGTCAAATAACTTTTTTTCTTCACAAACATTCCCAAAACAATTCAAAGCATTACAATGCTATCTAAGCAAAGACAATTCATCATCATCATCTCTACTTATTTTCTGTGAAAGTAAGTCACAAAGAAATGGCTGACAAACCCTTCTCTAGCTCCGTGATTGCCTGGGTGTACTTTTTCACCGCCGCAGCGTACTGCCCCTGCTGGTACAGACCATTCCCAGCATCCTTCAGGCGGACAACGCCATCTGGCAGTGGCGGCGGGGGTGATGGGGTAGGTGCCGGAGGGACAACATTTTCCTGACTGTTGGGTACATTTTCTTCAGCAGCTTCTTCTGTGCTAGACTTTTTCGTATCTTCAGGTTTTGTCGTTTCTTCTTCGTGTGTCTTCTCTGAAGAAATTTGTTGCTCTGTTGTGGTTGTTGATTCTGGTGTGGTCTCGGCAGGAGTTTCTACAACTTTCTCCTCTTCCTGAGGTTGTTCTGCAGGTTTAGATGTTTCTTCTTTTTCCTCCTGTAAGAACATATGGATTTAAAGCCATTTTAAGTTCAGTCCATTCAAAACATCTTAAAGAACTTAAAGACAAAAAGTAATTCCCAAGAAAACACTGTTACTCAAGCAACAGGATAGATTTCAAAATTAAATCTATCAAAGTTGAGCAACAATTTTCTTGTGTATCTCATTACCTGGATGTCTAACCTTCATCTACATATTTCAGATGTCAAGACAACATGCATCAATGATTTTTAAGGGAAAATAAAAGGAACCATTCAGGCACCAATAACAAAGGGAAGTAAAAAAATATGACAAGCGTAGGGTGTCTTAACCTATAGTACACTGAAGTAGTCATTTAGATACCAATTCTCCAAAACAGTGTTTCAGGCAGAAGGAAGAAGGTAAATCTATGTCTATGTGAGACTAGAAGCTGGACTTGAAAAAAGCTGCGGAACTGGAAGAGTTTTGTAACAAAGTTTCTTACATCTTGATCATTCTCATCTTCCTCCGAAGAATCGCTGTCTCCCCCCTCCACATCCATGGTGCCATCCACCTCTTCAATCACCATCCGACGACCTTTACCCTTTGACCCTTCCGTTGAGGTCGTGTCTTGCATGTTTTTCAGCAGCTCCTCCGACTTTTTGGCCTCTTCTTCTTTATCGGTGGCTTTTTGGTCTTGGACTTCTTTCAACATGGCCTGAGGAGAATTCATCAATAAAAGATAAAATGAGACTGTTTATAAAAAATGTCTGTTCACTGAGGTAATACATGCAGTTTTATTACATAAGTCACTAGAAAGGTGACATTTGCAAAGCAAATGCATAATATTTTCCTTCACATATGGTCTGCTCTATCAATTCTTACTCTAACACATTCATATATCTCTCAATCCCTACTGCTATAAAATTGTGACATGATGTAACCCAACACTAGTTATCATGGTGACAGACATCTGGTTCAGGTCATTGACCTCACTAGTATTTGTTTTAGAAGAAGTAGAAACAGAGCAAAACAATATGTTCTCCTTCTGCGAAGGTAAGTCTACCTTTGCCTTAGGGTTGTGAGGTTCCTGTTCTAGGACAACAGTCAGGTCAGAGATGGCCTCCTCACGCTGTCCTAGTCCCTTCCTACCCATGGCTCTTCTTAGGAGGGCTGGAAGGGGGGGGGCAATATGAAGTGTTAGAACTGGACAGCGTTGTGAGCAGTGGATCATAGGTTGCAGAAAGTCTGTGGTGCCCCCCATCTCTGTTGAGCAATTGATTGCTCGTTCCTTAACAAAGACTGGAGTTGTACAGTCCAAAATTTGGGTTACAGTTCAATCTTCTTCATAATGACTTCTACCAATACAGATGGACTTTCAAGACAATCATCCAAAATGCAGAACCTAGTTGATAAAATTGCATGTACCATGCAAACAACATGCACTTGACAATTTCACATTCATAACAACATTGTAGTTGGCTTCACAATTTCTTACTCCTTTAATTTTCAATGGGTAAAACAGGGTATTATGCAAGACTGTAGATCTAGATGTATTCATTTGGTATGTTACATTTTACCTTTCAGGTTGCCAGGTTCCATCTCCAGTACCACATTAGTGTCCTCTACTGCACTCTCCCATTTCTCCAGCCTCAGTTCTGTTAGCAAGGTAAAAAATCAACATTAAAATCAAATATAGGAAACCTTTCAGTTCACATACATTGTACATATTGTATTATGCACATGTACAACTAAAAGCTAAAAGATTGTACTACATTTGTATTTTTATTTGAACGAAGTTCATCATCCCGTGTCTCTCTTTTGTTATACATTGTTTATGAAGCAGACCAGATTTCTATTACAGTTAGTAGAACTGTTAGATATTCTCAACACCACCATATGTGTATGTTAACACCACAAACTATGTATGTATATTTTGCCATACGTTGTACCCGCTACATCTGTTGCGCAATAAAGTTCTTCTTATAATATAACCCCGTTAATGTATGGAATTAGTGTGTAAAACCTTTCCATAATACAATTGTACTTACTGGCCAGTGCCCTGTTGTTATAGGCTGCTGCTGAAGGTACAATAGAGATACTTCTGGTGTAGTACACCTCTGCCTCAAGGTAGTCATTCGCTTTGAAGGCCTGAAACATATAGACTGTTATTTACAACCTAGAAATTACTGAGCCCTGGAATATTTTCTGTTTTCTAACTTGGAGTGTTACATGTATATCAGAGATCAGCATGGTAATTAACCTTTAGCACACTGAAGTAGCCAGGTGACTACCAATTCTCTATTGGTTACAGGGTTAGGCAGCAGGGAGAGGGTTGAAGAGAGACACTGTCTATCAAATTTTGAACACAACAGGACAATCACATGTTCCGTGAAAAGAAGCGTTACAACATTCAGTTCACACTGTAGCATGTTCATTTCTCACCTCATTTCCTTTGTCTTTCTCCCTCTCTGCTTTTCTGGACTTCTCTTCATCTGACATGTCTAAAAACAAAACACATGAAAATTGCCCAAAATGTCAGTAGCTTAACTGGCCAAATTAAGGATAAGTAAACAACCCACAGCGATTCTCATTCAAAACAAAGTCTCAAATATCTACTGTTAACTTGATTCCCCCAAGCTAACCCTATAAATACAGTCAAGTACATGTACACATGTAATATATGTACATACTCCTGCTATAGCAACCAACAGCTGAACCAATATCAGAAACACATTATCATAGAGGCTGCCAAAAATAGCGACAGTAAAAATGCTTGAAAAAGTAGAACAAATGACAAACACTACAAATGTAAATCTTAAGGATCGTAACAATACAGTGAACCTCAAGATGAAAGAAAGGCTACATATTTTCTGAATATAGGAAATAGGACAGGCATTGCACACACATAATACTAGAGGTTGATGAAACAAAACTACCATGTGAGCACATGTGGGCAGCCATGGTGGCATGGAAAAAGCCTGAACATGCTTTCATACTTGACCCATGTCACCCAATGACATACATGTACATGTACAAGTTCAGTACATATTCAAAAGACAAAATCGCATCAACACACAGTGCATTTATCAACTGGTACAATTGTTAAAGCCAGATCTTAGCACTTACTTGTAACCATTTATGACAGCAAAATAGGACCCTAAAACTCTCCTCAATAAAACAACCAAAAAAAGATGTAACATGTGAGATATGAGCCCAGCTGTCAACACAAGGATGAGGTTAAAGGTCAGGAGACAAGGTCATGTGACCACAATCGGCAGCTCTGATTGGTGGCTAAATTTGGGGGAACCCCTATGTCCAAATATAGCTCAGGATGGAATGTGGGACATTCCATTCAGTCTGGACGGGGAGGTCACAAAAGGCCACATGCTCCTCTTTTGAGCACATGGAATGATCTAGAAGCATCTAATGTCCTGTATTGTATGTCAATAGTTCCAGCATCTTCTATGTGTTGATGTACCCATCTGGTTTTCCAGAACTTTCCTACTTCTATCTTGGGCCTTGCTAATTCAAGCATTGGAGAAACATACGGGAAAGAAAAACTGGTCTTTAATTAATCTGTGTCTATATTGGCTTGTCATACACTATTTCCTCAACATTACAATGAATATTCAATATGTAAAGTCATTGCCACTCATAGGAAGGGAATAGTAGTAAAGGAATACACCTACATAACACGGCTTATACATAGACTAAAAAATAGAGGTTGCAGCTGACCATACAGACAATAAGAATCATGTTGAAGTTTGTTAAACAATAGCCTGGGTACCAGACTGTTTCCAAGGCTTACACAGGCCAGAAACTATTACCGGTAGAGCCCCTAAGAGAGCCTGCCCCAACCACGTTAGACAGGATACCAGGCTATATGGGTCTGATATCCAGGTTACTTGAACACTAGAGAACAGTAATTTTTTTTTTAAATAGTTTCATCAGGTTGGTAACGTATAGGATACAGGAGTTTTCTTTTACACAACCAAGATAGTTTACTAATGTTTCTGATAGACACTGAAATGTCAGCAAGGTAAACTATCTTGGTTATGTAAAAGAAAAGTCCTGTATCCTAGACAACAGTACGTAAGTAATGTACCTGAGGTGTTCATGTCCTGCTGTAGTTTGTTGACCTTGGCCATGTTCTGGGTGATGTTCTTGGACTCTTCCTTCACTCCTTGGTCCTTGTCCATCTTCTCAAGTTCCTTATCTACATCAAACCTACAAGAAACACCCAACACATGTTTGTTTAACTCCTTGTACAAACAGTATATGCTAAGAGTTTGTAAAAATGATGAAAATTTGTTTCCGTCAGTCTGTATAACTGTCCTTTGCTGTAACATACCATATTTGCAGGCACATGGCAAATGACTAGCAAATGACAGTTCCTTGTCTACAAGATAGTCAAGACGTTAAGAGTTGTAGACTTAGAATCTAATACTTCAAATCAAGAGCAACTCCCCAATGTTATGGCCTTGAAGCCCCAATGTTTATAATTTTATCAGCCCTACTAAAAACCTACATGTACGAAATTGAGAGAGAATACATCAAGAATCAGTGTATAATGCTTAGTACATAAAATCTTCCAATGTCACTTGGACTGAGATTACAAACAAGTAAAATCTGAAATTTTATACCTCCGGGCTTTTTATTGTATATTTTTCCGTGTTAGATTTAGCGTTCCTGGTTGTGTTAATACAGGACTGGTCAACATTTTCATCTGCAGCCCATACCATGTACCCACGGTAAAAATGCATGTCGAGAACGTCTGAGACAGTATACCACGGTATTTGTAAGTTAAGAAGTCGTAATATACGCCGAAAACATCCAAGATTGCGCAAGACGGCGTTGACCCCTGACCCATTGGCCCACCCGGAAGTTGCGCTGGCAGCCAGCCCAGCGCCGCGCGCGACCATTTTCAGATTTTTACGCCCCAAAACACATATACAATAAAAACAAAAAAAAACTGCACCATCTACAGCCCATTAGCAGAACATACACCGAGTCCAGTCTACCCCAACGCGAGATACAACTGCGATAATATTTCAAAATACATATCGGAAGCAGACACCCCTCTGTTTGACCCCTTTTAAATGGTAAGACCCAAAACTGAAACCTCCCCATTCCTTAACAACATGGTAAATTCCATTTTCAGCATGGCGGGGGTGTCCGGAGCACTTAAAAACCTTTTATTTCCACGCCCATAAACACATATACAATTAAACAAAAACGTTCTGCATCATCTGCAGCCCAACAGCAATACGTATACCGAACCACAGACAAATCCGTCCAGCCGATCGCGAGAAACAGCTGCTGACAGAAATGTTTCGAACCATAGTAAAACCTCCTCGCGGAAGGATATCTCCTTCCCCGGAGGTAATAAGGTATTATCTTATAAACTTCTGAACATACAATGTACCTACCCTCTATTGCAACAGGAAAACAACTTTTTGAAGCCCATTTTCAACACAAAACAACTGCACTTGTCTTGTGCTGTTATATACGTTTACAGCTGTTCTGATTTTCTTACTACTCTAAGTGGTAATTTTCAACATGTAAACTCCCAAGAGAGAAGACAGCTGCAAAGGTTTTAGGGGATCGAGTACCTATTATCAATGTGGGACGTTCCAACAGCTACATGAACATCATACACGTGGACTGTACCACTGACAGTAAGAGGGTGTACAGGTTTTAACTACAGTATATCCAGCTGTTGGGACAACCCATGTTGGTCACAGGGGGGTCTTTCTCAAATGACAAATCACAACAGGTGCAACACTGCCTAGATAACCCCCTCATGGGCTAAATGGTTTGGTCTACTTTTCACCTAGATATGATACATTGAACAATGATATTACATAAAGAGACACATAAGAACTGTACAACAACACTTACATTTATGTCAAAAGACATATCTTACTGTCATATTATCAGCCAATGTTTAATAACCAAGAAGAGTGCACTACTAGTACTTTACAAATATGGGCTCTGTAAGAACATATTTTCAACTATCATCAAATTTCTTACAATTACCTTACAATTTTAGTCTTTAAAAGTTTACAGTTAGTCTAGAGGAGTACACAAAGAGCTGTACTGACTTGTCCCAGGCCCTGTAGTCCCTGGGCAGGCTTGCCTTCTGTTTCTGTGGGGCCTTGTTTTGCTGGTTAGCTGCACTGGGGCTGGAACTAGCCTACAGAGGTGGATGTAAGACACTCAGTAACACGAGATAATTTCCAAAATGACAAAATTTCTCTTCTAAGGACTCTAAGGACAAAATTCTGGTACTTTGTTATTCACTATGTCAACAACATACAATTCTAGAACTTAGTACAAGGACTATACACATCAAGTGACTCTACTCCACCCAAAGTTAATTCTAGCTACCTGAATTTCACAAATATAACAATTTATAACATGTGAAAACTAATATTGGAGATTTCTAGTACAAATGTAGTTGACACCAGGGCTAATCTAAATATGGCATTAGATGAAATGTGATACATATAATGAATTACATAGTTTAAAGAGTTACAATGTACTATTAATTAACAGTCTGATCACCCCTACCGTGGTGGTCCCAATGGTCTGTCCCGACCCCCTGATTGGTGGAAGTGTCCCATCATGCACCACCTGTTGTCGCTGCTTTTTCAGGTCCTCCTCTTTCTGCTGAATCTCCTCCTCCCAACTCTGAACATGTCAATCAATCTGACTGTCAATCATTATCATCATTTACCTTATATGGCTTTCATGACCAAATAAGGGTCTCTTCCTCCTAGCTCTGAACATGTCAATCATCATCACTTCCTACATGACATTTACCATATATGGGTTTCATGACCAAATAAGGTTCTCCTCCTCCCAGCATTGAACATGTCAATCAATCTGTCAATCATCATCACTTCGTACCTTATATGGGCTTCATGACCAAATAAGGATTTCTTTCCCCAGCTCTGAACATGTCAATCAATCAACATTTCAATCATCATTGCTGCTCTATACAATACAATTATGCTTACCTTATATGGGTTTGATGGCCAAATAAGGTGTGGTACTTACTGTGATGTCCTGCGTGATCTCTGTCCACTCCTTGTTATCGATGTCATACGGCCTCTTGGCAGGAAGGTCCACTCTCAGGGCTTTACTGTAAGGTAAACAGGTCAATACTTTTTTACATAACCAAGTCTTTTATTCAGCCGATGTTTCGGTGACCATCTGTCACCTTCCTCTGGGCAATTTAGACTGGTTCACATTGCAATGCAGCACAGGTGTCGCTGCTATAGATGTATTCCCAAATGTACACTATTGTACCCGACAGCTATTGGGATCTCCAAAAACTCACAGATACACAGACAGAGACACGCACACACATACTCTGAGCTCGAGAGACAGGCTGACAGTTAGAAAAATAGACACGCCAGAGTATAATTCACTGTTTTGATTCTACGTAATGCATTGTAGCTACCCGAAATTTATTGTAAATTGTAATGGGGAGGCTTCCTGAATTGTAATACATTAAGCCGGCTCTTAAAACTTAGCGTAGAGCGTTGTCAGGATGCCCCTATGCAGGCCCTCATTAATCACCCACAAGATTAACAGCTATACCTGTCAGGCTTTATTGCCTCCAGTCTCTGCTCACAGAAGCTGATGAGTTCAGGGTAAATCCCCTCGTCCCCGGACCTGAGCTCGTACAGGATCTTCTCCAGCTCTCGAGGGTTCTCACACCCCTCGATGTACTTATAGTCCAGATGTTCTATGGGGATGTTGTAACGCTTGGTGGTCTGCCCAAACCCCACGGATGCCATGGTCTTTCTGTTTTCATTTAGAAACAAAATCATCAGGACACTATTTTGTAATAAAATGAAAAAGAAGATTTCTACATTATCATCAGGAATTACTTTAGACAAATACAAACATACAGCTTTTTGTACACCATTTTCCACTATACATCTCATGTGTGTGACTTATGAAAATTTATTTGGCAATTAACTTATATACATGTATAATAATTTGAGTCATAAATAACTTGGTTGTACTTTCAAATGTGGTTATACTTATAACAAGTTACTTATAGTATTTCAAAATTTTCATATCATATTATGATCTCAATTACAAGATCATTTGCTGAAAGTAAAAACATATGTGGGACTTACGAGATTCCTAATTTCTAGATACCAGTAATTAATTTAAAGCACTTATTATCCAGAAGTTTTAGCCACATACATGTAACGTTAACGTTATATCGAATCTTCTAGAACCACCTGTGCTAGATTTAATAACTTTCACTTGAACTCTCTCCATCAGTTCCAAAAATAATGTTTTTACCATTTGACACTTGTTTGACTTCCAATGGCACATTTGTATTACATTCTTCAAATTTATGTTAGAAAGCACACAACCATGTTTATATCTATTCGTACCAAACAAAAACCGCCATAAACAAATCAACAAAAGTTAGCGCCCCCCTCCCCACGTTCAGCGATCACACTAAATTAACGGGCTAACTCATTTTCTTCTTCACTCTTTCTTTTACATAAATGACAGGAAAGTCCTGAACTTACCTTTACGAAGTTTTAGTTGTCCAACTTCGAGAAGTTAGGATTTGCCGGCGAAAATTTGGAGGTAGAAACTGAACTTCTAAATTTCCTTCGCAACAAACCTCCCAGAAAGCAATGTGCTTAGGTGTTCATTGTATCTTTATAAAAATGCCAGCACTAGTTTGAATAAGGCAGCAAAAAAATGACATTTTTATCATAATGAAGTAATAAAATACATGTTTTTGTATCTATAAAATTTAGTTTCAATGAATGAATCTTAATGTAGGTAATGTTACTTTATTTTCTATATGTGAATATTTTTCAGGCAGCAAATACAAGACCAGGGACAGCCAAAACCATTACCCGGAAGCAGTGACTGACTTGTTCATAGGAAAAATATTGTATATTTTTGTCTGTCGTAAAAACACTATGATTTTCGCCTTTATTTTGCCGTTTTTTGCAGTAATACAACTCACAAGCTGTGTACTCCAATCTGGAGGTAAGGAAAATGTTTTCCACGCTGCTTTAGCTAAAGAAATTAAGGAGAAATTCGCCGGTAGTTGGTGGGTGGGGAGGGGGGCAAGCGGTTTCTAATTGATAGGTGTGGTATCTGACTTAGTGACCAGACTGTAATTTTCAGGATGATGCACTGATTTACTAAACGGACAGCTCAAGAAATTTTCATCTTAATCTCAACGATCCCTAAAATCTATGTATTATATAAGTAAGTTGCAGTGTTACATGTCTGGGCAAGCAATTTTATTTATAAAGTTCTTTAGTGTCAACACATTTGAAACATACAATAATCTGAATGAAAGGAAGATAAATATCAGCTGCATTTCAATGAAGGTTAAGGCATCCTCCCTATATTCACAATACGAGTGATCGCTGTTTTTGTTTACATTATTATAGATATACACATGCAAATTATTTGGAGACATATGCAAAATATTGGAAGGCAAATCAACCATTGAACCGTTAGCTGCTTTTTACCTACCATGACATAATGTTAATAGCAATCACTCCTGATCACTGTTTTTTTTTAGTTATTGGTACACATATGCAAATCATTGGTAGTTCAATCACCTAACAACCTTGTGCTTTTTGCTTCTACCACAGACAGTGACCCCACTAGTGGTCCCAAAATCGTTGCAATCACTCGTATGAACATTTGTGGCAATCCTGATTTTCATCATTCACATATTCATGTATTCCCTCTGACAGGTGGTCTGGTCCATGTCTTGCACCACTACGACACGTTGAAGACATCAGACCTGAGACATCACTTCCTGTCCAGACACAAGCGGTCAGCAGGGGAGGAACCCCCACCCTACCCCAGGCAGATGGAGTTTAACACACTCGGACAGTAAGTAGGAGATTTTGACGTAGGACTGCAACAGTTTTAATTGACTTCCTGTGTTATGCCGAAGGGCGGTTATACCGGCTATACAGATACAGAAGCTGGTGTGTTATGCCGAAGGGTGGTTATACCGGCTATACAGATACAGAAGCTGGTGTGTTATGCCAAAGGGCTGTTATACCGGCTATACAGATACAGATACAGATACAGATACATAACATGTAGATCAAGAAATCATGGATTCAACTCTTGCATTCCTCACTGGCTGTTGTACGATGTGTTCTTGGGAAAGGCACTTAACACGACTTTCCTCACTACATCCAGGTGTAAAATGGATACCTGACTTCAGTTGCTAAAGTACGGTAAAAGGCAGTGGCCACGCACAGAGTCAATAATTGATTAACACATGCAGGCTTTGCAGCTCTACATATATGTAGTACCCCAGGTCATTGCATTAAAAACTTGGAAAACCTTATGGAAAGTAAAGTTTCAACTTATGATTTAACATCAGTGTGACCATTTCTCCCCAGACATTTCCACCTGTACCTGGAGCCCAGGACTGGACTGCTCAGCCCCAAGTTCAAGGCTTATGGAGTGGACTCCCGAGGGAATGTCAAGTACGAACAGATCAACAAACACAGCTTCTACACAGGACAAGTCTTAGGTCAGTGTTCTAGCTGGCATGTGTTAAACATAGGGGCCTCCTAGGCTGTCATTTGGGCCTCCTATGCTGTGATTTGGGCTGTAATGTTTAGTTTGGCTGGTCCTTTATAATTACTGGTACAGGTAGTCTTTTAGTTTAGCCAGCCCTCAGTCTCAATTTGCCCCAAAGGCTCTAAGCCATCAATTAAGGGGACTGGCTAATGGCCTAAAATTCAGTCTGGTACCTGTGATTAGGCCCCTATGCTGTAGATACATTGTAATGTGTTATCTTTCAACAAAACATCAGCAGTAGGAGAATAATGTTTCATGGTATTATGAGTTTCTGGAGTATGTGTGTCTGTATGTTTGTGTCTGTGCATGTTAGGTTCTCTTCTTCATAAGTTAAAGTAATGTTTGGATTATAGGCCCCCTAGCACCTTACTTTGGTGATACAGTAGAACTACAATCCTTTCTTCTGACCATGTTGTTCTTATGCCTGCCCCCTGCAGGTGAGCCTGGGGCGACAGTTTATGTGTATGTGTCTGTGTGTGTGTGTATGTATTATTCAGTGTTGTTGTGCTGCCCCCTGCAGGTGAGCCTGGGTCGACAGTAGAAGCTCACCTGGAAGATGATGGAGTCCTGTCTGCCAGGGTCACAGTCGGCGAGGACATCTACTTCATAGAGGTCAGATATACCGATGGTGTATAGGTGTGGGTACCTGTATAGAAAATTCAGGTCCCGATCAGGTTCAGAGTATCAGGTAGAGGTCCGGACCTGAACCTGGACCTGATTATTGTACAGTAATACTACATGTATATCATATTTTGGAGCACAAAACACAAGTACAGCTCACTCTCACAAATGTGTATGTATCTACTGTATAGTACCCAGTGCACCTATTCCCAAAAATAAATTTTGAGCCCTGCATTTTCTCCCTTGCAGCCTTCCTGGAGACACCTCCCCTCCGGTGAGAATGTGACGATGATCTCGTACCGCGCCCGAGATGTCAAGTTCAACTTCACTGCCGCCGGGGACAAACCATCGCCTGGAGTTGGGTGGGTTTAAGTCATTATGTTTACGTCGATGAAGATTAGACATCCAGGTAATACGATACGCCAAAAAGCAGTTACTCAAGCAACTGGATATGATTTTGAAAACGTCAGACGTTTCAGCTAGTATCCACTAGCTTTCGTCAGTGACTGAGAGACCAGAGGAGAAATGCAGGTTTATATTTAAGCACAAACTATCATTATGTTTACCTTCGCAGAAGGAAAACATATTGTTTTTGCTCTGTTTCTTCTTCCTCTTCTTCTTGTCCAAACAAATAAGGTCAATGACCTGAACAAGACGTCTGTCACCATGGTAACTGGTGTTGGGTGAATCATGTTGCAATTTTATAGCAGGAGGGATTTAGACTCCTGTTACCATATATATATGAAATATGTTTGAGTAAGAATTAACAGAGCAGACCATATGTGAAGGTAAACATTATGCATTTGCTTTGCAAATTTCTGTGTTTGAAAAATGAAATTAGGTAAAGTACTAACGAAGAACTGACATGTTAATTGTTTTGAAGTCCATCGTTAAACTGAATTATATCTTCATATTTCTGTAGGTTCTGTGCAGAGTTTGATGATGACCAGCTGCCTCTTCCAAAGACCCATCGCAGACAAAGTACAAATGGTTAGTGTTGATTCAGCTTGTTGATTCAAGGATTGGTGATTTCCTAACAATAGCTAAAGAATGACAAGTCAATTTATAAACAAGGTAATAAATAAAAAAGATGTTGGCACTGTAACAAATTACTTCACTTGATCATTAAGTTATACAAACTGATTGAAAAGATAAACATAAAAATATATATGTATTGCAGCTAAGTGCAGCTCAACCACTGGCAAGAGACATACCGGTTTTGAAGAGAATCCCTACCTACTGACTCTGATGTTTTTTCAGGATCTGTATTAAGTCAGAAAGTTTGCTTGGTACATAATAATATATTATAATGTATATGAGGGATGTACATTGTATATATTTCCTGTATTGTCTGTTGTAATATGTAATTTTGTACGCAAACTCTTTGCAATTCAGGGAGTCTCATCCTTGCTGTAAGGTTTGAGTTTTGGTGTCACAAATGAAAGAATAAAAGGACTGAAACCAGAAAGACAGCATCAATTTTCTAAACCCTTTCAACCAATCATCATCTTTTTCAAACACCCAACAGACAGACCGCGGAGACAGACGGGTGGCCAGCCCCCCCAGTTCGAGAGTCCGACCCCCCCTCCCCCTGACATGGACTGTGACGTCAGGGGGCCTGCCAAAAACACCTGCCCCATGCTGCTGGTCGCAGACTACAGGTTCTTCCAAGAGATGGGCCAGAGAAGCCTGCGCCAGACTATCAACTATCTGGTAGGCTTTTATAGCACATCAGCAGAAAGTACTGCACCTGCACGAAACCTCTAATGTACTGTACATAGCACTTCCATAGAACTTCTCATATATAGTCGTATTTGTGTATACATGTACATTGTATAAGATATACATGTATTAGGTTAACATCCCGTCTGTAGTTTCCAAATGTTATGTCAAAAAAAATATCATCTGCAATAGGAAAAATTTTAATGCAATGTTGACCAAAAAACGTGAAAAATCAGGGTATTGCGCAGGCTGTATGTTCTGTTCTTGTGTAGTTTTGTCTGTTGTAGTGTCTTCCTCTTCCTTTGAATGACCTATATTTTGCAGGAGCCATGTAGGAGGGCCTGCAAGGGGGGGTCCCGACAACGCTCTACGCTGAATTTGGAAACCTCTCGATTACGCTTAACGATAAATTCCAAGTGGCTACAACGCATTACGTAGAATTAAAACGCCGAATACGCTCTACGCAAAAATATTAGAGTGGTCCGTCTACGCTCTACGTAGAATTAAAACGGCCGATTACGCACTACGGAAAAGGGCTTGCGGGCCCCCATGTAGTATTCATCAATACTGACAAAGCATTCAAACAATACTGATGTTATTTTTTTCCCTCCAGATCAACTTGGTTGAAGGAGTGGACAGAATATTCCGCTGTACACAGTGGGGGAAGGACATGGGAGGATTCGGATTTGAGATTCAGGAGGTGAGTTAGTATTACAAAATGACTAATAAACTGGTGGATGTCCCAACTACTAAGTAGTACCTAATACCAGCCCAGAAGAGAACAGGAAATAGCCATGCCTTCAAGTACCAGAGTTATCAACCAAGGATTGAGGTGTTCAAGAATTCGTTCTTTCCTAGAACTATCGCAGAGTGGAACTCACTGTCACCAAGTACAGTAGGGGCATTGTCAATAGATAGCTTTAAACAATGTCTAGAGCTAGAAGTTCAAGGGTTAGGTGTAACAAGTCGATCGGTGTAATATAGCCAGCTGCCGCCGCACCGCGTGCCTGCGAAGCTGGTGTGTTACGCCGAAAGGCGGTTATACCGGCTATACAGATACAGATACAGATTACTAGTCTGTCAAAGGCATCCAGTGCAGTTTTTAGGGCTTGGAAACCCGATTCTTTAAAGCCAATATTCTAGAAGTCATTTATCTACATACTAATGAAACCACTCTATCCCAATGTGTATTGACCTGCATGAAACAAAAATTCCAAATTTTTGACAGAAAATGGTTACTGGAAGGACCCTGGGAAGTGCCTAAAGTATGAAATGTTGATTCAAAATGTGCCAATGTGAAGTAGTATGTGTCAATGTCACAAAGATTGTTGGGTGTCATCAGAATATTTCCAGTTTTGCTGCCCTGAAATTGCATTGGATGGCCATAGCCTAAAATGACATGGTAAACAGTTTAGACACTATATTGTGTTACAGGGTTCTGTCTACTTTCTAAGCACATTCACTGTGACTCACGAAAGAATTTTCAACTGAAATGTTTTCAAGGTATTGTGCAGGACCTGGTGCAGTACATTCTGCCAACCTGCTTCATATACAGGCTTCAGGTAGTTCTTGTTCTTGTTCTTGTTCGGGTACTGCACAACACCCCTAGATTGGGGTAAAACGTGCAGGGGAGCTGTGCGATGCGTTATTGCTGCTTCCTCAGGTGTTGTAGTACTGCAGCGTTGAACTTCGTGGGTTCCGCAGTATCAGTTATCTCTTGGGGCAAAATGTTCCAATCTCTGACAGTTTGTGGAAAATATGAATATTTGTAGCAGTCTTTGTGAAACGTTAGGGGTTTGTATGAATTGGAGTTGAAGTGTCGTGATTGGCGCGGGATAGGCGTCAACAAGGTTTTGACCGGAAGGGCTGTTTTTGAGTGTCTTGCTTTCTGAAGTAATGTGAGTCTGCTTGCTGTGCGTCTGTCCTTTAATGTGTCCCACCCTAAATCTGTGACCAATTTGGTAGTGCTGGCATAAGTATCATAGGTATTAGAAACAAATCTGGCCGCTCTTTTCTGGACCGATTCTAACTTGTGAATATGTTCCTTGTAGTACGGATCCCATGCAGCGCTAGCGTATTCAAGATGGGGTCTGACTAAGCTAGTGTATGCATTCATCTTAACTGATTTAGGACAGCTATAGAGATTGCGTTTAATAAAACCTAATGATTTATTTGCTTTGGAAGTAATATGATGGATATGTTCAGTCCAAGAAAGTTTGTTGTTTAGGATAACCCCTAGGTACTTGTGATTATTAGCCTCAGCTAGTGTATGGCTCCCTAGTTTGTAGTCAAATACTTTAGTTTTGCGTTTATGGGTGTAGCGCATGACGTAGCACTTATCAGGGTGTAGTTCCATTTGCCAATTGCTCTGCCATGCGTCTAACATGTTTATGTCATCTTGTAGTAGGATATGGTCATTGTCGTTATTTATTTCTCTGTAAATGACACAGTCGTCGGCGAAAAGCCTGATGTTAGAGTTAAGGTTATCAGCCAGATCATTTATGTATACTAGGAACAATAAAGGCCCTAGTACGGTGCCTTGGGGTACTCCAGAAACTACTTCTGCCCAATCTGAATGTTCCCCCCCAACTACTACCCTTTGTTTACGTTTTTTTAGGAAGTTAGAAATCCAATGGAGGAGTTTGCCTCGGATACCGTAATTATGTAGTTTTAAGAGAAGACGGTTATGGGGAACCTTATCAAAGGCTTTGGCGAAATCAGTAGTGACGCCCCCTATCTCTGTTCAAGGTACTGCATTCTCTAAGTTTCTTTTTTCCCATCTTCTGCCTTTTGTCAGATCAAAGTCCACGAGGAGCCAACTCCAGAAGGCGGGGAGGAACATTACAACATGGACATGAAGGGACTGACTGGGGTGGACTGGCAAGTCAGGGACCTACTCGCTGTAAGTATAAGTATTAATTTTGTATCTGTATCGGCATAGCCAGTACAACTGCCCTTCAGTGTAACATACCAGCTTTATTTGCAGGCATATGGTACGGCAGCAGCCAGCTATATATAATACACTGAATGACCTGTTACACTCAATCTTTACACATTTAACTGCAGGAGTTGTTTAAACCTTTCTAGTGATGATGCCCCAACTGTGCTTGGTGGCAACGAGTTCTACTCTAGCTCTATGTCTACTCTATAGTTTTTGAACAATTCTTGGTTGATAACTTGTGTGCCACTGCTAGAACTTCAGCCTCCATGACTACAGTAAATTCTGTATTGTTTTTTGTTCTGCTTGTAGAACTTCCATCTCCATGACTACAGTAAATTCTGTATGCTTTTGTGTTCTGTAGAACTTCCATCTCCATGACTACAGTACGTTCTGTATTGTTCTTGTGTTCTGTAGAACTTCAGTCTCCATGACTGCAGTAAATTCTGTATGTTCTTATGTTCTGTAGAACTTCCATCTCCATGACTACAGTACGTTCTATATGTTCTTGTGTTCTGTAGAACTTCAGTCTCCATGACTACAGTAAGTTCTGTCTGGCGCATCTCTTCACCTACCAAGACTTCGACAATGGAGTTCTAGGACTGGGCTGGGTCGGAACTGACCGTAAACAAGGCATCGGGGGCATCTGCACCGAGGGTAGGTCAAGGTTCAGGCTGTACAAAGGTCAGGGTTCAAGGTTCAGGATCCGGGTCACAGGTTACAGGTTAGCTACACTGCTCAGGGTTAAAGGTCGAAGGTCTCGGACTAGAGTTCATTTCACAGATGAAAACTTTATAATTTTGACTGCTTTGTGCACATGGACAATGATATCATCAACAATAGGACATGGACAATGTCAGCTAGAAATGGAGACAAGAACAACTCATGCAGGAATCTGCTTCTGGTGTAAGTTCACCCACAAGGCCCGGGTTCGATTCCCGGCATGGGAACCACTGTAAGAAACAGGAGGAGCCCGTAAAAAACCACTGGTCCCGGGCGGTGTTCGAACCCACAACCTCCCGGGCCCCAGTCAGACACTCTAACCTCTCCGCTAAAAGGTTTGCCAGATCTGTTGGTAGCGCCTATAAACCCCCTACTGTTACACTGGAATCTGCACATCGGCAGAACGTACTCACCAAAAGCTCCTGCCACTAACCCCACGTACCGTGCACGCTTGTCCGGCTGACAAAACCCGGCATGTTTTTGTTCTAGAGTTGCGGTGTAATGACGAAGACATGAAGGAATATCAAATCTGCCAGGAGGCCAGGAATGCACATGGTAAGACCCTGAGTCTGCCAGCTGTCGGGTGAAGATGCCTTCTGAGTCTCCTTTCCTGGATCTTTAAGGACCTCTCTAGCAGGATTCTTGCACTTGAGATGCTAGTTTATCACAAATAAGAAGATGAAGGCATATCTTGGAAGTTCATCTCTGTTGGTGGAAGTCATTATGAAAAAAAGTTTGAACTGCAATTTCCAACACAAGAAATTGGACCCAAATTTTCGACTGTACAACTCCAGTCTTTGTCAAGGAATGAGTTGAGAAATGTGTTGCTATGTTCACTCCAATGTACCTGTTAGTATATAGTGTCTTCAACAAAGTTGAACATGCTGGTGCTTAGTAATATATTGTTACAACCAAATCAACAGTATGTCCAACTTTCTTGAGAATCCAGCACAAAGTGTTGCATTAACTGTACATCTTCTCCCAAATATCTTCCCAAAAGGACATACAGCTAGAAAACTTGAACAGAATGTTTACATTTTGAAATGTGAATAATAAATCTCTGGTGCAAAGAATCCACTGAATGATCTTTCACAGAACTTTTTCATGACTAACGTGGTGCTTTCTCAGGCCAATCATGCAGATTGCGGCCCTTCTCTGATCTGGTGGAGTCACTGTGTCCAGACCGCCTGCTGTTCCTCCATTCTGCTTGCCTCGTGTGCAGTTCGAAGTAGTTTTAGAAAGATTTTGCATTGAATGTGTGCAGTTTGCACCTCAATGGGGGCTATTAAAAAGATCTGCCAGCTTTCTGTGTATTCTTACAACAGACTGTCAATGTTGGTTTGGTCTTGTTTGATACACTGTGTGTGTGTGTGTGTGTGTGTTTTTTTTGTGTGCATTTTGCTTGGTTTGTTTTAATCATATTCTATGTAATAACTTGACAGCTAGACTAGTACTGCAAGCCTAATCTTTGATTTGTCACAAGGTGTTATATGTCTCCACTGTCAACTTGTTTGTTTATTTGTTTACCTTCTTTGGTACACTGTCTTTAAACAAACTTGATTTCATGTTGAATTTTAGTCTTATTCAGAAAAAAAATTGTGTAATTTTCTACCCGTTTGTCTAACCTTCATTGACGTCAACATGTACCATTATTATATTTGTTCATTATTATAATTATTTTAACGATTTCTTAAATGGAAAATAATCCACGAGCCTAATACATGTCCCTGTAGTTCAAAGGAAAGCTTTCAAAAACAGACATAACCTGATTCTGAATTGCTGAACTTTGAACCTGAACTTTGTGTTTACTAACTTTCTACCTAACCTTCATCAACTATATGGCATGTACCATGTAATTATTTTTATTTTTAAATTAACGTTTTTTTTTAATGGAAAAAATTCCACCAGCCTATCTCCCTGCAGTTTACAGACACACAATTTTGCTGGACACACCATTTTGTGTAATTTTCTACCTAACCTTCATCAACTACTAGTATTGCATGTACCATATGATTATTTTAACGATTTTATTTTTGAATGGAAAAAATTCCACCAGCCTATCTCCCTGCAGTGTACAGAAAGCAGGAGGTCACGCTGTACCTGAACACTGGCCTGACCAGTACACTCAACTGGAAACGGCGCATCCTGACGCGGGAAGCAGATCTCGTCACCGCACACGAACTCGGACACAACTTTGGTAGCGAGCACGACACGGACAATCTTGAGTGCTCGCCGAACCCAGAACAGGGTGGGAAGTACATCATGTACCAAGTGGCTGTCAGCGGCGAGGAGAGAAATAATAAGGTGAACTTAGAACTTAGGTTTGTTAAGTGGGATTTTTTGTCTTCCTCTGTCTTCAAAAAAAACAAGTCAAACCCAGTAGTTTTTAGGAGTTAACAGTAGTTCTGTATATTAATATCTTGTTCTTAATATACCAAATGTATCTGCTGTACTGCAATTAGCCCTCTGGCATGAATTTGCAATAAAAAATTAAAACTTATTTTTGTAACAATGAAACTTGATGACTGTGCCCCCTCCCTTTCTACAGCTGTTCTCCAACTGCAGTAAGCGGGCCATATATAAGGTTCTCTCAGCCAAACACTCCCTGTGTTTTGTAGGTAAGTCTGTCATTTCAGTAGAGTTTGATGCTCAGATTACTAACGGTAGCTGTTTGGCACAAAATTTGTACTAAAAATCACTGGCCATATTGCTGCCAAAAATGTCCTAAGGCCACACCAATTTTATTTCTTGGTTAACGGATTCGCCTGCTTCATTTTTTTCTGATTTGCAAATAAAAATAAAAATTCAGAATCAACTGCTGCAAAATACTCATATTTTGCCCTGAACAGTTGAAAACAGTCCTTTTCTTCCTAGTTGTTACAGTTATTCCATCTTTCAATGCAATGGTATCATTAAAAGTTCAAAATACATTGTTTAAATTTTGAACCAGCCTGGTGTGTTGACTTCATGGCTCCTAGCGTACCATTTTGGGCCATAATAGGATGCCTAGGCCTGTTTTTATTTTTTATTTTTTTCGCCCGCCCGCTCCATTATTTTTCCAGAAAAATCCGTTAACCAAGAAACTAAATTGGTGTGGCCTTAGCTTTTAGTTTGAATTTTCAGATTCATCTGGCTACTTTCGTGCTACATGTATATGGGCTTAAAGAAAAAAATGTTTACTTGATATATCACATGGTCAGTTGTATTTTTTTGACTTGCATTATGTATGTCATGGTGGGGAGAGACCTGTTCTCTTTTGATAAAAATAAACAAGCAATAATAATAATAAACAAACAAACATTTCTGAGTAAAGAGACTCTTTTTACACAACCAAGTCTTTTATTCAGCCGATGTTTCAGTGACCGTCTGTCACCTTCCTCAGGGCAGTTCTAACTGGTTCACATAGCACTTCAGCACAGGTGTCGCTGCTATAGATGCATTCCCAAATGTGCAATATTTACATAATATCTACACATCTGGTTACAGGGAACTGTATCTTCAATGCGGTCCCAAACGTACAATATTTACATATCTACACATATACATGGTTACAGGGAACTGTATCTACAATGTGGTCCCAAACATCGGCTGAATAAAAGACTTGGATGTGTAAAAAGAGTTCACAAAGTATTCCTGACATTTTTCAGAGCCGCAGAAGTCCCTCTGTGGGAACTATCGTGTGGAGGAAGGGGAGGATTGTGATGCTGGTCACCTCGGGAACAAGAACACGGACCCCTGCTGTACCCGGGAGTGTAAGTTCAGGGGAAACGCCGTCTGTAGGTAAGTACACTCAAACCTGTAGTAGCCGTCACCTTTGTATAGTGGTCACCCACCGACAGTGGGTCTCACTAGAAGACAGACGAAAAATCTCCAGACTACATGTATGCATGATGTACAAAATAAATAACTGGTAGACGTATCAACTACGAAGTACCTAATACCAGCTCAAAAAAAACAAACACAAGAAACAGTGACTGTCGTGCCTTCAAGTACCAGAGTTATCAACCAAGAAAGGATTGAGGTGTTCAAAAATCTTTTCCTGGAACTATCGTAGAGTGGAACTCGTTGCCACCAAACACAGTTGGGGCATCATCACTAGAAAGTTTTAAACTCCTGCAATTAAATGTGCAGAGATTGAGTGTAACAAGTCGTTCGGTGTGATATAGCTAGCTGCTGCCGCGCCGCGTGCCTGTGAAGTTGGTGTGTTATGCCGAAGACAGATACAGACAACAACTCAAATACTTCTGAATCGTCTTAGATTTGTTGTTTTTGTTTGTTCACAGTGACAACAACTCCCCCTGCTGTCTGAACTGCACCTTCTCCCCGAGCTCCTACATCTGTCGGCAGGCCGCGCCTCCCGAGGACGACGCAACCTGCAAACAAGCCGCCTACTGCACATATCCTTTAACTTGACTTTATCTGGATTCACATGTAGCTTAACAGCTATTCTTCCAGTGGTCCATTACATGATACAGTACAACAATATAAAGTAACAACTGCCACACAAATAATGATTAATCAACACAAGATAACAGCACAGAAAAAGACGAGGCAACCTGCAAACAAGCCACCTACTGCACATATCCTTCATATCGTGTTGTGTTTTATTCATGTCATACCCATCCTAGAAAACACACATTTCATAATTTATTTATTTTATTTTATTGGTTCAGCTGTACAAAAGACAGGCAGGGTTGCCCAACCAGATACAATACTATTTTAAAGGGCTAACCCTGGAAACAATCACAATAAGCTACAAATTTTTAAAGATAAGGATGGGACATTATAATCAAAGTTCTCAACTCATTACATCTACAGGATTATCTATACATAAATACGCAAAGGCTTAAACTAAGTAGCGCTGTTGAATTTCACTGCAAAACATGCCAAAAGTTGAGAAAATTTAGCTTCCCTTATTTCAAGTTTCTGGTGGTTTAATGTCCTTAACACAACACACTGGGACCAGTCCTGACTGTCCAGAATCTGAACCCCGAAACAACGGCACCTGCATTGCGGAGTAAGTTATCCACAGGATACCATCCAAAATTTTCCTTGATTTCTTTCAATCTCACATCTCTGAACCTAAATCTAGACATAAGGGTTTCTAAAAAAAAAATCTATCACTTAAGTTATGAAACGCCAGCGTCTGGCATCCAGGTAATGTCTTTCCAGCCACTGAAAGATCTGTTTGGAGATTAGTCTTTCTCATATCTTTACCCTCCCCCTTGTTGTTTTTGCAGTGGCCAGTGTAGGAATGGAACCTGCCTGCCTTTCTGTGAGAGTCGTGGGCTCCAATCCTGCCTGTGTCAAAATGGTGAGTACAAGCACATTGGCAGATCGTACTGCACATAGGCCTGTGCAAAACTCGTAAGGTATTACTGTATTGTGCATACCGGGTAGCACTTTGGCAGAACGTCTCATATACATGTGTAAGGTCGTAGTCACGTATATAAGGTTAACATCCCGTCTGTAGTTTTCAAATGTTATGTCAGAAAAGATATCCTCTGCAACAGGCAAAAGTCTAATGCAACGTTGACCAAAAATCCAACGAAAACATTAAGACACCACCACAATTATCAAGAAGAGTCCATCCTGGTGTGAGTGGATCAAACCTTACTTACTGGGTAGTTTAATTTTATGCAGTTTGTACTTAACCAAACTGGACGTGTGTTATGCCTAAATGTGGTCTACGGCTTAACGCAAACCAAAAAAATATAGAAACCTTACACATCTACTTTGCTCATTGCAGTGAGCGAGTCATGTAACGTGTGCTGTATGAACATGTCCCACCCCCACGGCATGTGTAAACCTTACCGAGAAACTCCCCAGTCTGACCTGAGGTGGCAACAAGCCGGCAAACCCTGCATACAAGGTGTCTGCACTGACGATGTAAGTCTTATACTCCTCCTGCTCGTTTTTATGTCCACCTTTGCAGAAGGAAACATATTGTTTTTGCTCTGTTTCTTCTTCTTCCTCTTGTTCTTATCCAAACAATTAAGGTCAATGACCAAGACCAGATGTCTGTCACCATGGTAACTAGTGTAGCACCAACATGGTAACACCAATTTTATAGCAGGAGAACAACAAAGTAATACAATGTCTTCTGAAATCAGACTGCCAGTAATTCCTACCTTGAAAATATTATTGCAACTTTTATTGTGCTATGTGGTCAGTGTATCCAAAATAAAGACATTCAATTCCATGTAATTTCATGACTTTTTGTTTTCCTTCCAGGGCACGTGTGAGAAAAAGGCCCAGGATGTGGTGAAACGCTTCTGGGACATTATCCAGTGGATTTCACCTGACAAAATTGGTAAGGATAGATGGAGATAGTACTCCTCCTTGTACTCCTATAAAGGGTGGCATAATATGTTTCAGCTTTAAGAAATGTGGACGATATAACTCCCTGGCACTTTTGATCAAATGCTTACGTCACGTATCCATAAAGTCTTGTGTGAATAAGGTCACGTGTCTGTAACCGTAACTCTCACGAGATCACGTTGTGAAGTGATTGGTCATTAATTATCCTGATGAAGGCGACAGTGGTCATTGAGAATTTGATTGTAATCCTTGTGTTGGAACAATGTTCCAACATTTTACTATGATAAACTAGTAATTATATTTATGTATCCTCCCCACCCTAGCGGAGACCATGGCAGCCAACATTGTGGGGACTGTGCTGATTCTGTCCCTGATGTTCTGGGTACCGTGTGGCTGTCTGGTGCATGTGGTGGTAAGGAACAGCTACATGTATATTTACATGTATATGGGGACCTTACAATGCGTAATTCTTTATTATATGTAGTCACAAATTTACCATACTTTCATGTCATACAGTCTCCATGCTCTTGCTACATGTATCATGTTTTTATTTAGTGCTAAATTACATTGTATAAGAAAAAGTTTTTAAATGTTATACTTTTAAAAGTAGATAAGATTTATAGTTAAAGTTTTTTTTGTTTTTTGTTTTTCTTCATCTAGACAATTCTGTTTTTTCCCCCAACCTGAATGTGTTAAGCATTCTATATCTTCTTCTCTTTTGTTCATTTCCACAGAAAGACAAACCTAGACTTGGTCTTCAAGGTCTTCTTTTTATGTCTTCTTTTTGTAGTGGGAGTGGGATTTGTTGTTAATCGTTTATTTAATAGCAGGAATGACATGCCTTCACTTGCTGCATATTTGTTGGTATTCTTTGTTTTTTCAAGTTCAGTCAAGGTTCTTCCTTTTCCAGCTAACCTTCTTAAGGATTGAAAAATAAACATAATTCAAGACCGAGATAGTTGCCTGTTCCCTGTCACTGTATTTGTACTAAATTCACTTGTCTATTCTCTTTTGTGTTAATTCTTTTTCTAGTCCAATTATTTTTTATCCCATCTGCTTTTAGTCTAGATTAATCCAATATTATTCCATTTTTTTAAATTCACATGTTGCCTTTATCTTTTCAGGACAAGAGGAGGCTGAAGAAGAGGCAGCTTGAAGAAGAAGCATCTAAGGTTTGCTTTAACAACTTGAAGTAAAACTACCTGGTTTTTAAGGCTTGTACTATATAAGCACCCTTAAAACGATACACCACATTTTGGCACTTTTCGGATTGAAATGTCTGTTTCCTTGGGTGTGTATAGGGAATACACAGTGTAGTTACACCTACTAGTATATTTATTTCATTGTGTTGTCTTACCTTCCCAGAACACACTAGTGCGTGAGGAAGACAAGCATCGCATCAAGCCCGGGTCCGTCCAGTGGCTGCCGACATCCCGCGGGTCTCGTCTCCCCACCCTCGGGCCGCTGAAATCTGACGCATCCAGCCCTCCGCTACGCCAGCGGCCAACACTACGCCGGCTTCGCCACGACGCAACGAGCGACGACGCCCAGCCCCCCTCCCCAACGTCGAGCACGGACACAGTCCCGATAGACGACCTGCTGGCACAGTATACGGACAAGGTGACTGCACTGGCCGCTGCTAGTGATGATAGGCTAGATGACTCTATCGGTACAAGTAATGTAGACGTAGACGTAGAAATAGCCCCAGTAGAGAGAGAAACTGTCATTTAGACTGATATTAGGGCTCTTTTGAAAGAAGAAAAACAAAACTAGAAAGGTAACATTTGCAAAGCAGATGCATAATGTTTAGTTCACATAATTATGGTCTTACTCAAATTCATTTATGTATATGGTGAGTCGAAATCCCCTCCTGCTATAAAATTGCAACATGACGCCCAACCCCCCTCCCCAACGTCGAGCACGGACACAGTCCCGATAGATGATCTGTTGGCACAGTATACGGACAAGGTGACTGCACTGGCTGCTGCTAGTGATGATAGGCTAGATGACTCTATCGGTACAAATAATGTAGACGTAGACGTAGAAATAGCCCCCTTAGAGAGAGAAACTGTCATTTAGACTGATATTAGGGCTCTTTTGAAAGAGGAAAAAACTAGACTACAAACTTTTTAAGGTAACATTTGCAAAGCAGATGCATTATGTTTACCTTCTCATAATTATGGTCTTACTCAAACACATACCCAGTATATATATGATGACAGGAGTCTAAATCCCTCCTAATATAAAACTGCAACACGATTTACCCTGGTGACAGACGTCTGGTTCAGGTTATTGACCTTACTGGTTTGGAGAAGAAGAAGAAGAAACAGAGCAAAAACAATACGTTTTCATTATATAATTAATAATGTCTTGTCAATGTAATGCCACACATTAAATTAGGATAGTTATTAAACTATACACTGGTAACATTTGCAAAGCAAATGCATAAAGAATGTGTTTACCTTCACATGGTAGGAATTTTTTGCAGTATTTCTAATTCACAATTGAAAGAATTCTGTAACGTACATTTAAGTAATATTAGGGGAAACGCCAGCCAATTTTGCAGTGTTGATAGAAGTAGAAATTGAGTGTGATTGTGTTGCATTCCATTCCTTCTTCACCTTGCTGACTGAAAGTTACAGGCTGCTATATACATGTATTAGTGATTATGTTTTACTGTATATAGTAAGACAAGAAAAGGTGGAAAGGAAACTTAACAAGTACAATGTAGCTACTGAAGAAGATTCAATCAATGTTTCAATCATGACCAGCTAGAAACTGGACTTGTTAGAAAAATAGTTCAAGAAGTTAGAAGTTTCAAATGATAACTGTAACAATACTAAGTACATGGATTCAAATGTAGGTTTGACTTAAGACATTGTAGCGTTTTTGAAAAAAAAAATCATGGGTTATGTGATGATTACATATAATACCTGGAGATTTGTAATATGAATCATACATAAGCTAGATTAAAAAAGCAACCAAGATCTTATTATAACTTTTAACTTGTCTATTGCAGAAGATATAACTTATATAGCACATGTTTTCTGTCTTCCATGACAATAGTTATCATGATAATATATATATATGTAACAGCTTTGTAACATTATGGTTGATCCATATACATTGTACTAACAAGTTAAAACTAGATATTATGTGGATATTATGATATATCAAGATAGCAGTCACAATAATGTATATGCATAGGAAGACTAAGAGAATAGTAGTATGACTCAAGAAATTTATATACTTAAAATAAGTAATAGGCGTACATGTCATTTTTTTAATATATCGCATTACCAAGACAGTTTTAACATTACTGTATATTGATATAATGTCTATGGTATATATTATGTTCTAGGAGACGATGGACAACCAGAGAGAGAGATATTATGTTCTTGGAGTATTTTTGAACATTGCAAGCATTCCATCCCATGGCGTTTGGGAAGAAATTTTTTTTAATTTCACTTCATACAGTATATGTGGGCCTCTATCAATATAACATTTTGACATTTTGTATATGAAACATCACTAAATATCAAATGTACACTCGGCTATTATTAAATACATACATTGTTCAAATTGTCAAAAACTTTTTAACTTAAACTAACATTTTCAGTTGTCAAGAAGCTGAAGAATTTTAGCTTGTATATGTACAAACTGTAAATTAAGAAAGGTGGGGTGTTTTATTTAACACTATAACACTATATTCTATTTAACATTTCAAAGGTTCTTTGTTTGTCTGTATATGAGATATTATATGTTACACATCCAGAGATATAAAGATTTTTTATCTTGAGATGATTGACATATCATCTTTGTAACATGAAATGTCCAATGTTGCTCAATAAAACTGCTACATTGTTGCAAAACTTATTAAATTCGTTGGAGTCCCTTTTTTGTTCCTTACCCTTCAGACTGCTTGCAATTCTCTCGTGTTTTGTCAGGGGGCGCAATTTGATATATGCTTGGTACTATTATATTATACATCTATGCCTTAAAACTCTATAATATTTACTGTTATTTCACAAATATCTATATAGATTTTTTATATCAAAATCATATGATTCACCTAATATGTGAATGTAATGTACACAAAAACACCCCTCTTCAAATGGTATAGTCTAATTGCCCTTCAAATGTTATAGTCTGTGCTATAATACTCTATAATATTTACTGTTATTTAGCAAAGTAGCTTTATTTTGTATATCAGAATCTTATGATTCACCTAATAAAAGTATGTAAATGTAATGTTTGCAAAAAACACCCCTCTTTAAATGGTATAGTCTAATCACCTTAATGACCCCATGACGTCACGGTTTCTCAGGAGATCTAACAATATGGCGGCGGCCTAAGCCGAAATTTTTGTACAAGAAGGAAGGAAGTTGAAAAATAAGGTTTGTGGCTTCATTTTTAACACCTTTGTACTAAAACCCTCATAAACTATATCTTGAAATGTTGTAAAAAGTGTAGCATACCTTCTGTTGTCTGTTTATGTCTGCAATTTGTCGCAAAATCGTCCCAAAGTTGTGGAATTGTTTTGGTTGTCGTTTAAGCGTCAGACTGTGATCGTTGGACCGGATCGAAATTTTTGCTACCAAAGCTACGATTTAGAAAAGTTTTTTCAAGGTAAAATATAAATTTTCTTTGCCTTTTAATGTAATACTAGAGTCCCTGTAAGCATATGCATTGTTTTAAAAGCTGCATAGCTGTATTGTCGTTTCATATTTACTACTAGTAAGTTTATTTGGTTTGGTCGGCCATATTATGTAAACTACTTTATTGCCCAAATTATACCCGTGAATTGCGTCAAGCTGGCTATGAAAGAATTTGGGAGGGGCAGCAACAATCAAAACAAATTATCTCTTTAGCATTTGTATCACAAAGAAAGTCACTGGGACTTCATGAGAACTTCAATGGAGATAACATCTTGGACATTTGCAGAAGATTTGGACTTTGCTGAACAGAAAGTTTTAATTTGCAGAGTGCCAAGTCTATTGACATATCAAGGAACATCCTGTCAAAAGTGCAAAACAAATATTATGGACAGGAAGCTTAGGAATTCACAACAGAAACTATTTCATACATTTCCCGTCAAGTAGTGAAAAAAATCTTATTTTCTTGACAGGAATATCCAATAGCATTTTCTAGAAAGTTGGTATACAATAAAACTTTATTGAAAGTTGACTGTTGCTACAAGGAGGCCTCAAACTTTTTTTTTCTTGAAGAAATGTATCATTTTTTTTCTGAGTTTTATGTATTTTACAAGATGGTACATACCTGTCAAAGTTTGGGTTTGAATGAATGGATCTTTAATAGAGATGAAATAACTACATAACGTTATATGCATACTTTAATGCTTTTATATATAACTTTAACAATGTTAAGTTTTCCTGTCCCTCACAGTTAAAAAACATCAGCAGCAGTCATGGAGGCTGAACCACCCCCACCATCGGAGGGAGTGCCTCCCAAAAAGGTCAGAAAAAAAACAACTATCATATTTACAAACACTACTAGACTTCAGCTTCAGTCATTATGACAGACACATTTGAAATTACAATTAAAAATGTAGGATACAGCCATCAAAATGTAACTTATGACAAGTTATGTTTGGAAAGCAAAACAGAAAAAATGTTCCAAGTATATTATGTACAAAATGTACACCATTTTGAATTTTTCCATTTGACTAGTGATTTCTTTATTGTTAGTGCAGTAAGCTAATTCAAGAGTTTTCTTTCTTCAGAATGTTATATAGATGTTGCATGATTTTCAGGGGAAAGGACGAAGAAGAAAAGGAAGTCAAAATGAGTCCAGGGTAGGATGTGTGGACCGGAAATTAACCTGTGGAATGTCTATTTTACCTAACCCTGTGCTTTAGGTTTGCAGTACTGTAGCAGAGAATTAGGACTAGAAGTGTGCTTGCAACTTTGAACTTGCAGTCAGTGGCATATTTATGATTAAGTACAAAGTAGTCCACTTGACATATACATGTAGTAGATTTTAGTGGAAGTGGAAATGGTAATAGTTTTGAAACTTGCTGCTCTATGAACTTGTTTGTTTGTTTTCTTTAAGTTTAACATTTTATCTTGATATTAACCCACAGCATTCAGAATCAGAAATTGAAAAGGATCCAGAGCTGATATGTTGGAAAAATATAGAGAATATTCTATTTACCTTGCCTTTTTTTCTACGTATTTTCTATACCAACAGGGAGGCAAGAAGAAGGGAAAGAAGATGAAGAAAAGAGACTCGGAGGTGTCGCAGCTGGCTGAGGTGGTGGTCGACAAACCTTCTACCTCAGAGGGGGATAAACCATCTGTAGTGGAGGGGGAGGGAGGGAGCCCAGCCACGGCACAGCCAGAGGGGGACAGTCCAGTTGTGGTCTCAGGGGAGGGGAAGGCTACAGAAGAAGTAGGGGGTGGCGATGCTGAGCCCCAGGGACAGGGGGAGAGTACAGATCAACAGCCACAGGTAAGTACTGTTTGTTCATTTGCATGTAAGTTTGTAGCCTGGGTGCCAGACCCACAGCACACTGGATAACTTTGGGCCTAGTGTGCTATGAGTCTGGCACCCAGGCTAGTAAGTTTGTGGCACCTCGATTTTACAAAATTTAGGTAAAAAGGTCACAGTAAAAAATCAAGAATTCCTAATATCTTTGTTTTTGCAGTTTAGACAATAGCAGCAGATAAACGTATTAGGCACTTTTCTCATACAATGATGAGTTGAATTTTGCCAAATACTAAGTAAATGAAATTTTCTGACAGAAATTGTAAATTCTATTTGTAATCAGGAACCTCCACAGCCACCAGGAGATGGGGAGGGGGATGTTGCTATGGCAACCACAGCAAAGGATGATGGGACACAAGTGGTCAGCCCTGAGAAAGAAGAAGGAGAAGAAAAGAAACCTGAAGGTAATAATTCTTTAAGACAATATTCCTTCTTGTAACTGTTATCAATGACTGCATATAGAGTTAAGATATTATGTTTGAATATGATTACCTGACAGTGTATCTTCATCATTTGGTCTTTTTCAGAACCAGTCATTGTTACCCTGAAAAAGATTACAGACACAGTCATCCCTCAGTAAAACATTTAGAGCGGTGTAGTTTCCGTTTAGAACAGCCTGTCACACTGGTTTAGCCTCTGTACACTTGAAGAAGCCACACAGGGCAAAACCGGTCGTGTGACAGGCTGAATAAAAGTTCTAAACCGGAACTATGCGGCTCCAGATGTCTTACTGAGGGACGACTGGTGTGCGAGATATCAGTTAGCTTGAGGAATGAATCCACTCTACTACATTGTATACGCTGACTGTGCGTCTGTCCTTAGGTTCTGAGAGTGTGCGTGCTGACTCAAAGCTCGAGTGGTCAGGTGACCAGACCACCCTGAGGAAGGAATTTGACGAAGCAAATCAGCAACGAGAGGAGGACAAGGGAAAGGACACAGAGGCTGACGACAAACCAAAGGTGTGGACAACAACTTTCTCTCTTAACTAAACAATAAATCATTGTCTGTTTGAAAATACACATGTATAAGGCCTAGGAAAAAAATGTTGTGTTTCCTGTTTCAGTTCAGAAAAAGAGAAAGATATTACTCATAATATTTTCTGACATTCAATTCATCCTTAGACCTTAGGCCACACCAATTTAATTTCTTGGTTAACGGATTTTTCTAGAAAAATAATGGAGCGGGCGGGCGAAAAAAAAATAAAAATAAAAACAGGCCTGGGCATCCTATTATGGCCCAAAATGGTACGATAGGAGCCATGAAGTCAACACACCAGACTGGTTCAAAATTTATAAATTGAATTTTGAACTTTTAATGATACCATTGCATTGAAAGATGGAATAACTGTAACAACTAGGATGAAAAGGACTGTTTTCAACTGTTCAGGGCAAAATATGAGCATTTTGCAGTTGATTCTGAATTTTTATTTTTATTTGCAAATCAGAAAAAAATGAAGCGAGCGAATCCGTTAACCAAGAAATTAAATTGGTGTGGCCTTAGCAGAAATAAAAATTATACAGATTGGCATTCAGTTTAATTTTTCTTTCATTCTTGCATTCATGATAATTAAAAATGATCTGACGTTCCCATAAATTTGAAGCGGAAGAAGTCTCGTAGGAAGCACAGCAAGTCCAGACGCCGCAGTCGTGAGTCCAGGGTAGGGAGTGTGGAGTGATGTTAGCAGCACACAGATCAGCGATGACTTACAGTTACATGCAGTGAAATGTTGTGTACTAACATGTTTTATGTCAGTCACTGTTATATGCTGTTTCTTGAATGTGTCTGTACAAGAAAGTGTGGATCCATTTTCTAACATTACATGATGTTAGCAGCACACAGATCAACCATGACTTACAGTTACATGCAGTGAAATGTTGTGTACTAACATGTTTTGTCACTGTGATATGCTGTTTTTTTTAATGTGTTTGTACAAGAAAGTGTGTAAGTTGTATGAGACTATCCATGACTTACATTCTACGATAGATTTTTTTTACATTACATAATACAAAATAGATCAAGCAACTTTGGTTTAAGTTTTTAAGTTTTAAGTTTTTCAACTTTTAAGTTTTTTAAGTTTTAAGTGTCACTGTGACAGTGGAGTTTCTTTGAAATTGTGGAGTTTCTTCAAATTGTGGAGTTTCTTTAAAAATTATTTAATCTTACACATATAAGTACTTCTCTAAACAGAATGTTACTGTACTAACATACATGTACCTGGTAGTTTGTGACCATGTGGTGTTCTGATAACCCCCAGCAGGCCCCAGAGATCAGTGTGTCCACCCATGAGCCTTACGACTACGACTCACGAGACTTCAGCAACATCGACCCCAAACAGTACGGACTGGAGTTTGAATCCGATGATGAAACATATGGTATGAAATTTTATTTTCATTCTCCATCTATACATACACAATTAATAAAGTGGCGTTGACTGGCCAAGTGGCTAGTTGAGGGGATATGAGACAAGGGCTTGTAGTTTTGATTCCTTGCATTCCTGGCTGGACATTGTGCCCTTGGGAAAGGTACTTAGCACAACTTTCCACCACTTGGTGTTAAATGGGTACGGTGAAGTGACTGCCTTATACAATCAGTCTACTGCCTTTTTTTTTCAAACATTATTATCATTCACAGTACAACAATACAAAAGAGTAGATATATAAATTGTACATACTGATACATGAGAAACAAAATATTGATTTTTTTATTAAGTAAACGCGATAGGAGTTATCTAGATGATGAGCATTTTAAAAATTCTCATGATTGTTTGTTGTGTTCTATTGCAGTTTTGTTTAGTCTGTTACAATTCAATACATGTTGTAACTCACATGTATATACTTCTGACCCCCCCTCCCTGCAGCACCTCCCCAGTTTGACTCGACCCTGCCTGACATCTACCAGCTGATGGACACCCTGGAGGGGGGTGAGTCTGACCTGGAGGCCGACCATGAACCCCCTTCTCTCTTCAGCCGGCCTGAACATGCCAGGACTTACAGGTCAGGAGGAACTCAAGGGCAATAAACTCATAACTAGGGAAAGAGAGAGGGAGAGAGAAAGGGAGGGAGACAGATAGGGAGACAGAGAGAAAGCGCGAGAGAGTGAGAGAGAGAGAGAGAGAGAGAGAGAGACGGGGAAAGAGAGACAGACAGAGAGAGGCACTGAGAGAGACAAGAGAGAGACAGAGATAGAGAGACTGTGAGAGAGAGAGACAGACAGTGAGAGAGACAGGGACAGAAAGAGAGACAGCAAGAGATACAGAGAAAGACACGGAAAGAGAGACAGAGACACACAGAGAGACACACACACAAAGAGTGAGACAGAAAGAGTGAGAGAGAGACAGTGAGAAAAAGAAAGACAGTGAGAGAGAGAGAGAGAGAGAAAGAGAGAAAGCAATTGCTATAAGATGCAACAGATATAATTGTGGTAATGTCTTATTTTTTTGCAGGAAAATCACCGAGTTGAAGGTACAGATGGAGGAGGAGCCCATTCCTGCTTACATTGATGAGTTTGAGAGGGACGTGGAGGATGACATGCTGCATATCGCCAGCATCTCATTGGAGGAGGTCCAGGTAAGGCTGGCTGTGATTGGTGCGTTGAGATGAGCTGTGGGATAGTGGAGTGTTTGATTCAAACAACATCGTTGAAATCTTTATTATGATTTGTTGCAAAAATGAGTTGAGAAGTCAAGCTTTGAGTTCAGTGGTAGAAATCCTTTTTTTGTAGGATTCTGCAATATTGCAGAATGTCAAAATGTTGTTCTGCCATTCAGAAATACAATCATGTACTTTCTGCAAATACACGCTTATAAGTCCAGACCTAGACCTACATGTATGGCATATATAAAATTGCAAACATTTTGCATGCATGGCATATATAAAATTGCAAACATTTTGCATGAAAAATTTTTAGTCTAAAAACAAAAGCTCTTCAACAACATTATGCTGATACCATTGCACTCTGGCCTCATTTTTTTCAGTCTGCAAAATTGCAGGTTGCTTATACTAAAGAATACTGCAATGTTAAAAATGTCACTGCAAAATGCAGACTGCAGGTGGGTATTTCTAACACTGCAACATAAAATGTTGGTCCAGTGTTAACTCTGATTGTTCTGTAATTTTCAGGAAGAGGAGAAGCGTTTGCGAGATGAGTACATCGCGTACCAGAAGCAGGAGGCCGACCTGCATAGGAGCAGGCAGGAGGACCTGGCTAAACAGGCAGAGGGGGCCAAGAAACGGGTCTCTACTGTCAACAAGGACAAGCTCAGGGAGCTCAGGAAGAAAGAGGTGAGGAAGGAATTCTAAGTCATCAGCCAAAATTTAAAGTAATTTAGTACATTCTAGACTGTTCTAGCCAGTCTTACATTTTTTTCCTATCATGATTATGTTTACCGTAGGATTGTTTTTGCTCTGTTTCTTCTTCTTCCGTTCAAAACACTGACCTGGTCAATGACCTGAATCAGACGTCTGTTACCATGGTAACTAGTGTTGGGTTACATCATGTTGCAATTTTATAGTAGGAGGGATTTAGACTCCTGTCACCATATATATGAATGTGTTTGAGTAAGAATTAAGAGAGCAGACCATTTGCAAAGGTAAACATTATGATTTGCAAATGTTACCTTAAATCCTAAAAGGTGGGTTTTTTAAGGAAGGAAGGGTTTGATTTGACAGGTTTAAGATGGGAAGATGGTCTGTTTTAAACTTCTGTTTTGTTAATGTATGAACATCTCATTTCTTCAATATCACATTTTGATAAGGATTCAAGTATTCTGTAGATGAAGAAAAATCTTGCTGAATGATAGAGCTAGATTTGGTGTATAAACTAAGAAGTAACCCGGAACCCTGCCCCTCCAGGCCATGATGCTGCAGAAGGAGCGGCTGCTGCAGGACAGGCTGCACAAGGCCTTCAGGCAGTCTGAGAACCAGCTTATCTATGCACTGGACAAGAGGAAGGGCGAAGTCAAGGTAAGGAGGGTCCTGGAGTGGCTCAGAAATATTCTCTCTTTGGGATCCAACCTTGCCTGACTGTTAGAAAATGTTGCAGTCACTGTAAAATGTGTATTCTACTTAGATATTATACATCTTGCTCAGAAATAGCTCAGAGACTGATTTCTATCCCTATTAGTCCATTTAACTTTCTTGCACTGTTTTTTCAGCTTCATGTAGGCTACTCGTAAACCAATACAAATTCTGTCCTCTTCTTCCCTGAATCTATTAGATAGCTTCCTTGACTGACTATCCTCTGAGGTGTGTACAATGATGTCTTTCTAATCTTCTGCTTTTCTTAGAAAATTTTCTCCTTTTCTATCTATCCGCTGGAAGCTCTTATCTTCTATTTCATCGTAAGAACAAAAGATTTTGGCATTCTTGTAGTATTCTGTCTCTTTTTTCTTTCTAAAAAAATTCTTCTTTTGCCATTTCCAGACCATGTATGGAGACCTGACAGTGGCAGATGGGTTCTATGGAGGGAGCAAAGGTCGTAGGTGGAAGGTCGACTGGAACAGAGCTCCTCAGCCAATCCAGATCAAGCTGCAGTGTATGAGAGGGGTCAAGGACAAGCTACCAGGTAAGGGTCAAGGAGTAAAGGTCATTGAAAGACTTGCATTTGATACTGCATTGAAGAAGGCACTACTGATAATTATTACCCGTATAATTATTGTGGGGTCGTATGGCGTAACGCCAGAGTGTTCAACTCTGAACCAAGAGGTCCTGGGTTCAAGACCTGACATGTCCCTGATCTTATGCCCTTGGGAAAGGCACTTTACACGACTTTCCTCACTTCACTCAAGTGTAAATGAGTATCATATTGTCCCCTGTGTTGGTGGCGGCATTAATATACAAATGATGTAAGTTGAAAAAACTTGAGTGTGTCCCCACCACATCTTGTGATTACTTGTTGGAATATAATTTTTTTTTAAAAGTATTATTATTTATTTCCAGTTGGGCGTTACGTGCTGCTGGTGTCCCTGTATGACCGTCTGGGTGGTCATGTGATGCGCTGGTCCAACCTGAAGGGGCAGCAGTGGGGCGGGGCAACCTTACCTGTCAGCCATGACGGACACTTCTGGAATGCAGAACTCAAGGTAACACCCCTGCAGAGAAGTGCACTCTTCTAGATTAGAATACTTTGAAAATTCATTTTCTCTGTTCTTATATTTAAAAGAGAGACTCTTTTTGAGTTTCAAAATTCTTGTGTGAATGTGTACATGGCGTCTGTCCTTGGTGCTGAATCTATGGTTTTATGTGTGAATGTGCACATGGCGTCTGTCCTTGGTGCTGAATCTATGGTTTTATGTGTGAATGTGTACATGGCGTCTGTCCTTGGTGCTGAATCTATGGTTTTATGTGTGAATGTGCACATGGCGTCTGTAGAATAGAAGGAAGTCTGTATGTTGGTTCATGCAACTTTCCTTCCAACCCTCTGTTTTCTTGTCCATTTGCTTTATTTTTACATTTAATTCCAGTATTAAAAACTGTCAATAAATTACTTTAATTTTGAGTTTTAATTGTTAATGGAGGACAGATGATCCTTTAAGTAACTTGATAATGGTACAATGATTGGAGATTGTGGTTTTTTTTAACCTGTCTGTAATCCACTCCTGTCCAGTTTGACCAGAGTGTCTTCACTGTGCTGCCCCCGAAGCCAGACGTGCGGCCGGGCATGATCCTGACCTTTGAACTGTTCCTGCTACGCGGTGCCGTGGTGCCGACAGACCGCGTGGTCTGCTGGGGCAGTTTCCCCATCTGTGATGGACAGTTTGACGTCATCGAGGGAAAGTATGTCATCTTTGTACATTAAATGTTTTAGGAAATTGGTTATACACAATGTACATGTATTGCTAACAATGACAAATTAAAGTTTAAACATTATAAAGATTCCAAATGTATTTTCAATTCTATATGATGAATTTTTATAAGGAGAACTAATTTTATTTGCTCCATGAACTTGAAAGAATTTTCAGCAAACATTATTTGGGGTAATTTCTCAGAGACTTGATTTAGTACCAGCAAATATGAGCTGGAAGGATGTAGAGGAACTGGCTGTTGACCTAACACTGGAGCCCCTTAGTCTAATTTAGTTTTTACCAGTCATCAGCCTCCTTTCATCTCAGTAGACAATGGGCCTGGTCCAGGAGGGGCCCAGCACCTCTGGTGGCTGAACAAGGCTATCCGTGAGTGGCAGACTCTGCCACATGTTGTACCGGTGGATGTGGTAGTGTTCTACTAGTGGCATCTCATGGTTCGTGCTGCCAGAATCATCACCGGCAGAACTTTGCAGGACCGAGTACCTACTGACACTCTATTAACAGAGGCGGGTATTGAAACACTATCAAGAAGAGTGGAAGTAAACACACTAGTGACTGTTTTTAAGGTACTAAACAAGAAAATGCCGCCTTACTTGTCTGAAATGTGTAAGTGGATGCCACCCCCAATGTTGAACAGACGGACGAGGTTAGCTGTAAACCAGTTAGCAAATTGGGACCCTCACATGCTGGTTGTTCCACCGGCAAACATTAACGCATACAAAGGGAGCCTGCAGTACCAGGGTCCAGTGATGTGGAACCAGCTCACGATAGAACAGAGAAAGCTCCAAACTGTAACGGCCTTCAAAAACTCATTGTAATTAATGTATTTGTACTGCTGTATGGCTATTATGTGCTATGTACTGTGTTGTTATCATTGTATTGTTTCTGCATTTTTATTGTACCCAGAACTACCTGGAAAGCAGGTCAAATGACCTGAGTGTATCTTCTGGTTAAATAAATAAACTGCAACTGAAACTGTGTTGCAGGTACAAGTGTCCGTTCCTACGCGGTGACATGGACCTCCGCATCGACAAACACGAGAAGATGGAGGAGCTCATGGCCTCCGACCTCGACCACTGGCTCGGCAACCTCTACTTTGAGGTTATCAAACTCCCCAGGTATGGTCCAACACTTTCCAGTTGTAGAAATACTTTATTTCAGTGTTCTGCAATATTGCAGAATGTCAAGATTTTGGTCTGCAATTTGAAAAGTCTTTCTGCATATACACATTTTGAAGTCCTGATTGAAACCCATGGCATATGCACAATTGCATGTTGGCAAACATTTAACATGCAATTTGAAAAATGCACATGCGAAATTACTTGTATACTATAGAGTCAGTAGTAAACATAAATGCTCTTGAACACTATCATTGAACCCCTAGCCTGTTTTTTTGGGCTGGAAAATTGCAGGTTGCTTAATTTCTCTTCTACAGTATTGAAAATGTCTCTACAAAAGGCAACTTTGAGGGTTAATTTTCCCTGTTGTAATTACCCACAGGTACCTAGCAGGACAGAAGGAGTATGAAGTAGAGCTGCAGTTCTCTGCACAGCTCCTGTCTCACCCTGACCGGGTACAAGATGCAGAGGAGAACAGGGACGGGGAGGATCCGCTGCCTGGATCACGGCTGGATCTCAGCTCAAGATCCAGCACTGGTGAGATAACTTACTCTCTTTCTCTATCCAGTTTATCGTCTGTTGTTCCCCGTAACCGAGCTCTAGGGTTAGACATGCTTGCACACTGATGCTGGGGCTTGATGGCAGCTCGTTATTTGCCTCTGTCCTGTGGTTCTTGGGCACAGCAAATGTCAATACCCCTGTCAGTTAGAGTCTCAGCAACTTCACCAGCCAGCCACAGTGTCCCAACATTAGGTGATGCAACGCATGATTTGGATGCTCCTTTTTGTAAATCACTTAATGTTCATTGTAGGAAAACTTCGCGGTCTGAGAAAATGGACATGTTGGTGGAACTATGCGTTGGTGGTTGTGGCAGGTGCAGCAAGCCTGTTTCTCCATATTTCTACTCCCAGCCCTATAAAGCTATGATTAATTAATTTTGTTTGGTAATATGAGTTTTTCTCTCATCCACAGGTGGCAGTCATCGTGGGTCAAGGGTGAGCCTGAACTCCCAGAGCATGCTGGGAAGCACGTCTGACCCGGGTGAGGGGACCAGTAAGATGGTGTCTCTGCAGGCGGGACAGAAGGACAGGATGGGCAGTGCCGCTGATGTGGTGGGTACACGCATACGATGACAGTTTTAACTCATTTATATATTAATTCAGAGACTCTGTATACCAGTTCAGTGTTCTAGCCATCAGAATTTCTTCACAGACATCCTCAGTCTGAGTGAAGACCCCAAAACTAGGGTGCGTGGGCAAATAAAAAAGTCCCAGCCAAAAAAATGCAGCTAAACTACAGGAATACAAAGCTGGTATCGTGAATTTGCAATATACAGTTAGTAGCAGTACATAGTAACTATTTTTATGGCAAGCCGGTACAATCATGTAGGCCTTTTGCAGCATTAATGACTATAAGTCAGCACTATACTGAGTTCTTGGGTTCCGTGGAGCGTCAGCAGCCTGGGTGCCATCCTCCGTAGTTACTGTCACTAGCTACCATGGACTATGGAGGATGGCATCCAGGCCAGAGCCTCCTCAGTCTCCTTTAGCTTTACGGTATATACAAGGTATGGTACATGTAACTGTGTATTACCACAATGTCTCAAAAACTTGTTGCTAGTTTGAAGCAGTCAGGTTTATCAAAATGAATGAATTTGTTTTTTCTCTAATTTCACCATTTGGAAAAGGATGAGGATGAAAAGAAGGGCCTGGACCGTGTTGCTATGCCGCGCCCGGCGACGGTGATGGGGTCGCGTAAGGTCGTGGAGAAGGAGATGAAACTGAAACACTCCGACAGCGAGGCCAGCAGCTCCGAGGACGAACACGACGGAGGCTTCCTGCAGGTCAAGGGTCAACCTGGCATGTACTACAAGGTAAGTTCAGTTAAAAATTCACAAGATAGGACAATTTCATCCTCAAGCTAACTGACATCTTGCACACGCAGTCGTCCCTCAGTAAGACATCTGGAGCCGCATAGTTCCCGTTTAGAACTTTTATTCAGCCTGCCACACGACCGGTTTTGCCTGTGGGGCTTCTTCATGTGTATTGAGGCTAAATGACACAAATAACAGTCATGAAGTTCTCACTTATATACCTTTCCAGTGCATAATACCCTGATCAGTTACATGAGTTTGTAGTGTTCTTATCAATCATTAGTAAAGCATTGATATTGATCTATTTTTGTAGCGTCATCTGAACAACCCGTCAGACGTGTACGCCCGTAAGCTGTACACCATGCTGCCCAAGACTCCGCTGCTGTCCAAACGCCGCAAGAAGAAGCGGCTGACCCACCTGGAACAGCTCGCACAGCACACCTTTGCTGTCCAGTCAGTAGTCATTTGTTCTTTAACAGCAGCAAAGCTCTGTTTTCTAATGTTTTCCTGAAAACTTTTGAACTAATTTTATACTTTTTCATTTTAGTTGACTCAGATTGTTTCACTCAATGTACCTAAAAATGCTTTGGACATTTTGAATATACCTAGTAAATTTGTACCCTTTTAAGAGAAATTTGATATTGTATTCCTTGCTTCCCAAAACTCTCATAGTGAATACGAGCAATCGCTGCTTTGTGTACATTAATAAATATAAATGCAAATCATTTTGACTTAAAGACATGAATATGCAAATTATTGGTAGGCAAATCAACCAACCATCACCCACTTTTTGCCTACCGTGAGTTCATGGCGATCGCTCATTTGATAGTGAAAATAAACTGTTTTACAAGTGGAACATCTTCATTTTAAGTAGCTGGTAGACAATCCTTATAAGACTATCTTGTAATTCTTTTTCATCAAAATCTTTTTTCTTATTTCCCTACAGGAAGCCGTTCTCCACCAAAGGCACGTACCAGCGGCCGACCCACGAGCGAGCCCAGTACATCACGCGGATGTTCCTGGCAGAGATGGGACTGTCACAGTGGCGCTCTAAGGAGTTCCTGGGGATCCTGGTCATGCTGTTCTTCACCTTCTTCCTCAGGATCTTCCTGCACTACGGGGGACAGTGGCTCTTCCTCATGTTGCTTCGGATACCAGTCAACAAGTAAGTAGATGTAGATAGCACCATTGAGAACTTTCTGCAGTATACAGTAGTATCTGTATACTATTAGCCAGTATAACCGCCCTTCTGCATAACACACCAGCTTTGCAGGCACATGGCACTGCGGAAGCTGGCTACATTACACCGAATGACATGTTACACCTAACCCTTGAACATCTAACTCAGTCTATACATTGTTTAAAGCTAATGATAGATGCTGAGAATCTGGCCATGGGAGGAACTAAGTCTAAGTCTAAGTCAAGATAATGCTCCTACTGTACTTGGTGACACTGAGTTCCACTCTGCAATAGTTCTAGGAAAGAATGACTTTTTGAATTGCTACGGGACTTGAGTTTTTAAGATATTTAATCTTTTTTTTTACTGTTTTGCAGGTTTGAGTTCCTACCCTTAAACTTTATCCACAAAACTGTATTCATGGTTCATTACATGTACAGTATTGTAAATACATTTTTCTATATATTATGTCTTTTGTTTACACAATTTCTGTACTGTGTTGTAGGTTTGAGTTCCTACCCTACACGGTGAACCTGAACTACCAGAGCTCGCTGCTGAGGACTCGCGAGGAGATCGCGGTGATTGTGCTCGGGCCCATCTTCAACATCGCCTGGTTCTCGCTCCTGGTGGCGCTGTCCTGGATCAGCCAGCGAGCGCTAGGGTCGTTCCCCGCGCTGTTCTCTAAGTTCGTCATGGCGACTGGATTAATGGCCTTCCTGGATCCAATACTCGTCCTGCTCGTGGACTGTGCCTTACAGGTAATGCATTGCTAGAAATTTTCAAAATACATGTACCGGTAGTTCTTTTGCAGTGCAGTACACTCACTCACTCACTCACTCTCTCCCATAGCTTAGTCAGCCGTCGGGGCAGCATGATGTTTGGCCAAGTTCTTCCACTGCTGGCGGTCCTCCGCCAGTCTGGCCATCTGGTTGGCTGTTAGACCAGTCCACTCTTTTAAGTCTGTAATCCATGACCGACGGGGACGTCCCCGCAGCCGTTCGCCTTCCACCTTACCCTGGAGAACTGTGTGTGACAGTGTGCCTTTGGCCCTAGACACATGTGCAGTACAGATCTTGAATAATTTTGCACAACACATTGTAGCTCCAACCCTCACAGTCAAAGATACTAGTCTTGCTTGTGGAGTATGGACTGTGTCTTACAGGTTTGGAAAAACATTATAACACACTTGGCCCTTGTGACAATTACATAATTATGGACTGCATAACAATAATAGATTCTCTAGTTGTAAAATTCTAGATTCTTAGACTTGTAGTCCAACATCATTTCCTACATGTAGCTGTTAAGCGACCCGCCTCATGGCCTTCCTGGACCCGATACTCGTCCTGCTCGTGGACTGCGCTTTACAGGTTTGTATTTCTAGAAGAGTAAATAGAGTCTCTTTTTCCACAACCAAGTGTTTTATTCACAGCTGACGTTTCAGTGACCGTCTGTCACCTTCCTCAGGTCAATTCTGACAGGTTCACATCATTGCGCTGCGGCACCACTGCTATAGATGCAGTCCCAAATGTACAACGTTTGGAATTATACTAATTTAAAAAAGTAAAGACTAAATCTGATACTTAGGATTGGTAGGTGTTTCGCATGAGTCGTTGTACACAGGTGGATAGCCCACAACGTCAGTCAACTGCACCTCAACACTGGTGTTGTACAATGTTCAGCAGGTATACTGACTCTACAGACCAGCCCATAATGTATTTCTAGAAATTTTCAAAATTATATAGTTCTTTTACAGTGCAGTACAGATCTTGAATAACTCAGCACAATGCTCATCTTGCTCGTGGACTGTGCCTTACAAGTTTGAAAAACATTATTACAAACTTGACCCTTGTGATTACATACAGACTTTATGACCATTATAGAAAATTTCTTTTGTAACTCTAGTTGTAAAATTTTAGAGTAAGATATGTAGTCCAGCACCACTTCCTAGCTTTTTAGCTTTTAGGCGACTGGTCTGCACTGGTACGCTCTACACAAAATGCGCCAATTACGCTCTACGTGGAATTAGCGTGGTGCGTCTACACTCCACATAGAATTAAAACTGCCGATTACGCTCTAGGGAAAAGGGCATGTCTTATATAGAGAATTTAGCTGAGAAACAGTCGGCCCTGTGCCATAAGACAGATTTGTAACATCCAATGATTCAGTCACGGCCTGAGACTGACCCTGCCCTGTCTGATCATGACCACTGGTCATTACAGTAGCTGTGGTGTTTGTGCTTTCTTTGGTTAGGGGCTGATACTGACCCTGCACTACAGCATCATTACCACTGGTCATTACAGTAGCTGTGGTGTTTGTGTTTGATGCAGTGAAAGCCTGAGACTGACCCTGCCCTGTCTGATCATGACTACTTGTCATTACAGTAGCTGTGGTGTTTGTGTTGGCTTTGCTTAGGGGCTGATACTGACCCTGCCCTACACCTGTAGCATCATCACCACTGGTCATTACAGTAGCTGTTGTGTTTGATACAGTGATAGCCCGGGACTGACCCTGCCCTGTTTTAACACGTGGTTTGTCTACGTCTTCATACTCGTGATAATCACCACTGGCCATCACAGTAGCTGTTGTGTTTGATACAGTGATAGCCTGGGACTGACCCTGCCCTGTTTTAGCACGTATGTTGTCAACATCTTCATAGTGGTGGTCATCACCACTGGCCATTACAGTAGCTGTTGTCTTTGCGGGAGATGCAACGATGGCCTGAGACTGACCCTGCCCTGTCTGATCATGACCACTGGTCATCACAGTAGCTGTTGTGTTTGATGCAGTGATAGCCTGGGACTGACCCTGCCCTGTTTTAGCACGTATGTTGTCAACATCTTCATAGTGGTGGTCATCACCACTGGCCATTACAGAAACTGCCGTGTTACCTTTTCCTGCATACATAGGATTTGGAATTAGGGCAGCTAGCACTTGGTTATAGGATAGATTTCCAATGTTAACAGACTGAATATTACCCTGGCCCTGCCCTCTCTGAACACGTAGGTGGTCACTATCCACATACCTTTGATCATCACCACTGGCTGATACAGAAACTGCCGTGTTTGTGTTACTAACCACAACTTTGGGATGCAGCCCTAAAGGAGGACTCCTGCTCTTTTTCTTGTACCAAACTGTGAAACTGATGGTGCCAATCAGGACAATCAGGCCAACCACTGAACCACAGATGGCGCGAATGAGAACAAGTAGGGGGGAATTGGGATCAGATTCTGGTTTCTCTGAAGTGATTGCAAGGGGCGAAGCTAGTGTTGCTCTTGTTTTACTGGCAGAATCTGACATTGGGGCAGCATTGAACTTGAAGCACCAGTGTACAGCTATCTGTGTAAATTTGGTTGGCTGTGGGGAACTGGGAGCAGATTCTGCTTTGTCTGGACTGCTTGCATTGAGGGGCGAGGTTAGTGTTACTCTTGTTTTGCTTATGTTTTCTGCTGGGTTTGCTGTTGACCAAGTAGTGTGCTTGTAGACTGATGGGCTAGTAGTATTGCTTTCTGTGTTACCAACCGAAGGTGTTGACACTGCAGCAGAACAGCTGTCAACAGTTAGCGGTGTTACAGTCGGCTCCTTACATGTCAATTCTTTAGGACTGACATCTGCAAATCTCTGTCCCTTAACTCTGGCGGGTTGGGCACATCTTATGAGCGTTAACAACATCGGGTCGTTAAATGCAGGATTTAGTCTGACGGGAGCCATCCTACAGTCACAATGCCAGGGGTTCCCGCGAAGATCTACATTTTGTATGTTCTCATGGGCCAGATTTGCAAATGTACCAGAAAGGATGGTAGTTATCTGGTTGTTGTTCAGGCACAAGTTTCTTAGCTTGGGCAGATTTGCAAATGCATCACATTGGATGGTAGTTATCTGGTTGTTGTGCAGGTCCAACTCTTGTAGCTGGGGAAGATTTGCGAATGCACCAGAATGGATGGAAATTATCTTGTTGTCGTGCAGATGCAACAATTTTAGATCGGGCAGATTTGCAAATGTACCAGAAAGGATGTGAGTTATCTGGTTGTTGTTTAGGTACAACAGTTGTAGCTTGTGCAGATTAGCAAATGCACCAGAATGGAGGGTACTTATCTGGTTTTGTGACAGCCAGAAGTGTTTTAGGTCAGTCAGATTTCGAAATGTATCCGAATGAATGGTAGTTATCATGTTGTTGTTCAGCTTTAAGATTTCTAGCCAGGGCATATTTGCAAGTGTATCAGAAGGTATGGTGGTTATCTGGTTGCTGTGCAGGTGCAATTCTTGTAGCCAGAACACAAATGTACCAAAGTCGATGGTAGTTATACGGTTGTTCTGCAGAAACAACAGTCGTAGCAGGGCCAGATTTGCAAGTGCACCAGGAGCGATGGTAGTTATTTGGTTGTAGCCCAGAGTCAGGGTTTTTAGCCTGTTCCGTTTTGGAAATGTACCAGAATCGATGGTAGTCAACCGGTTGTTGTGCAGGTGCAACAGGCGTAGCTGGGGAAGATTTGCAAATGTACCAGGAGGGATGTTCGTTATCTGGTTGTGGTTCAGGTGCAACTCTTGTAGCCTGGGTCGATTTGGAAATGCGCCAGCTTCAATCTTCGTTATGTTGTTGAAATCGAGGCACAAGTAAAACAAACCCATATACTTTGACAGTTCAGATTGCTTTACAGTTCTGATAAAGTTATTGCGTAAAACTAACGCATGGATGGATGCTGGGAGGTCCTGAGGGATGCTGGTGAGGCCCTGTTTGCAGAATGATGCCCTGGATTGAGAGGGAGGTAGTTTACAGCTGCAGTAACCTTCTGGCATGTTGGATTCCTTCAGGATGATGAGAAGGAAAATCAGCACGTTTCTCACTTTTCTGCCCATTGTGTCTTGCCACCTGAATGGAATGGGAAGCACCTCAGTAAGGCCTCTCCAACTTTATCTTGGACCTCAAATTTTTAAGAAAAAAATGATTGAAAACTTGAATATAAACATCCCAGGTTAAACTCTTGGTTTGTACAAGAGAAAAATTTTGTTACACTCCAATTGTCCTTGCATAAAATTGTTTTTGTTTTGCCCTCTTGCTAACTTCTTCTAAAATAGAACAAAAGATTAACTTGGAGTGACCTTTATCAATGACTTTAGGACATACCCTAGGTCTCCTTTGTGACTGTGTATTGTTCGGGGCTGGCCAAATTTGGAGCTGTGCACCCAATTATTTTCTGTGGGTGCACCAGTGCACCCAAATATTTTTCTAGGTTTTCGTATGCAAATAAGTTTGTACAGTTATATGTACAGTTGTAGTATACAACATATTCTTAACATCAAAGTATCAGAAAACTAAGAAAATTATTGTCATAGTACTTTTCTTTAGAAATGAGACATAATTTTTTAGCGACATTCTACTTATTTTGTTTCATATATGGTGCACCCAAAATATTTTTTGTGCACCTATTCCCAAAAATGAATTTCAAGCCCTGTTTGTTGCTGAGTATATATTATGCTAAGGATTGAGGGAGAGTGGCAAGATGCCTTTGGGGTCAGGCTAGAGTTGTTGACATAGAATCTATTTACTTTAGGTTCTGGGTTCTAGTCCATGTGTAAGGGGATATATTATATATTATACACAGCGCATTACAAATCACAGTGGCGCTACCCTGTAGGTATACTGGGGTGTTCTGGTGGACATTTCGCTCTGTGCAGCTCATCAGTCTTAACAAATGTCCCAGTGGACTGTCGGACACAGGGAGGGGTACTGCCGGTGTTACCACCATTAGGTTACGGCATATTTTGGATTTGTCGCTGGGAACCGTGTTGATGATAACTTCCGGTAAGACCACACCGACTTAATTTTATGGATGGCATTCTCTGAGGACCCCCAAACTAGGGCGCGCAGGGGAATTAAAAAAAATTCCGGCCCAAAATAAAAATGCTACTAAAGCACAGGAATACAAAGCTGGTATTATGAATTTGCGGCAGTACTTAGCAAGGTATACACCAAGCCGGCACATGCTGGCTTTTTGCTGAATTTTTTAATCGGCACTGTACGTATGTCGTGAGTTCTTGAGTTGTGGAGATACGGTACCCTGGGTGCACGGCTCCGTATTGTTGCTAACCACTATGGACTACCCAGGCCTAGAGCCAGGCCAGAGCCTTGGCGGACGTGATTTTTATCTATTTGTTTATTTTTTATTTTTTTTAGAACAGGTGAAAATCAATGCGCGCGCGGATGTCATCCATAAAATTAAGGCAGTGTGGCCTAATGAAAAATCTGCGCCCCCATCCGTCACGTAAAAGTGTCCTTCAGCCGCGCCCAAAAATACAGAAAACGGCCGGTCCCTGTTTTCTGTTGTTATTGTATAGACCTGTTAATTGTCTGAGACTTATATATTAATATTGATATTAATATATGCTTAAATATTGATGCTTATGGCCGTGTCCCAGACAAGAAAATAAGCAGAAGAGTAGAAAATTGTACACTTCTCTGAAAAAGATTAATGAATCCTTTTTCTGAAATGTCATTATAGTACTGTGTTTCTTAGTACATGTAGTTATGTGCCTCTACTGAATAATTATTATATGCTTTTGTAGAACATCTCCTGGTAAATATTCATAGATAAGATGTGTTGCTGTGTTCATTTTGTAAAGCCTTGTGATGTCAAAATGGTCGTAAGCCTTAAAAACATTTTAAACAGACTGTGGCTTAGCAAAGTGTCATGGTGGTGTATCAGTAGCATGCCCGTAGCCAGGGGAAGAACCCCCCGCAAGGCTCAAAGGTCCACTTTTTGTTTTTAGGGCTTGGAAACACGATTTTTCAAAGTCAATATTCCAGTCATTTATCTACATACTGAGTTGAAACAACACTATCCAAATGTATGTTGACCCTCTTGGAGCAAACATTCCCAAAATTCTGATGGAAAATGGTTACTAGAAGGGCCCTTGGCTGATTTTTGGGGTACCTCCCAGAAAATAAAGGACTCATCTTTTTGGGGCTTGTTCTGCAGTTGTTAAAGCCAAAGGTATGAAATACTGAGTACTCAAATGTGCTAATGTGAAGCAGTATGTGTGAATATCACAAAGATTTCCTTATTCAGAATATTTCCAGTTTTGCTGCCCTGAATCCTAATCCACTTGCAGGCACATACCTGTTTAGTTGGTCAGAATATAGCGGCTTCAGTTGACACTTTTTTGACAGGAACTCGGGCACAAGTTGCTGCTGTTCTTGTAGGGTGTGTCAGCCTCCTTGTGCATGTAGCTGATCCGCAATGCCGTGTGACAAACAACCCAGGATCGGTCTTACGTAAATGGTGGAGTTAATTGTCTGAAGCTGGCTATTTGAATAACATTAATATCTATGATTATGATGAAAATTCTAATAGTGACGCAGGTCCACAGATGCATATTTATTTTTTCCTCTTTTTATTCTTACATAAATCCATACCTAACACCAGATGGCATAACATTCGAATTTTACTCCCTATTGCTAGCTTAGTAATGGTTTGTTAAGTAACAATAATAGGAGCACCCTGTTGCCAGATCTTTTATTTAATATGTTTGTGTCTATGTTTATGTTTGTTTGTTTTGTTTTGTTTGTTAATTGAGGTCTCTATTAGTATGGTAAATGCCATTTGATACTATTCTTCCTGGAGTCCAGCAACATAATATAAAATGACAATAATAATAATTACTTTTAGCAATTATATTGATAATGAATAAAATACACAAATTATGCTGAAATTATGACAAACTTGAAACAAAATCAGCGTACTAGAAAAATAAAAGTGCATTGGAGATCAGAGGTCAAATAATAGAAATAATATGTCTGAAATGAAAATAATAATTGATATACTTTCCAATCAATGCAAATTGAAGTAACAAAACAGTAAACAAATAAAATTTATGTTTATGTTTATGTTTACAGCGCTGGCAGAACCTGGGAGGCAGCATCCCTATTGGTGATTTTTGTTTATATTTGTGTTTATGTTTATTTATGTTTATGTTTGTGTTTACAGCGCTGGCAGAACCTGGGAGGCAGCATCCCGATCGGAGATGCGTTTAAGATGTGGTGGCACTTTGACCGAGTGGAGGGGTCAGGAATAGTCAGTGTGCCCATGGTCATGTTCCTCTATATCTTCACCATGTTCCTGGCTGCCACCATCCTCTACATGTACTTCCTTAGGTAAGGAGTATAATAAGGAAATATCCTTGTGAAATAAAGACTAAACTTTGCTTAAAACACTGGAATGAATTGGGACTTACCCCAAGTTTTCGGCTAACTCCTTCAACCTTGTTCACGGAATGGACCCGTCTAGTCTACCTGTAAATACTGTACATACATGTAGCATCTGTCTTGTCTGTCACGACCAGTGGAAGATTAGCTTTTTAGTGAGCTAAAACTGGCTTGACATCACTTTCCTTTCCCTTCCTCAACTCTCCACTGGAAAACATGCCCTCACTGTGCCTGTCTATAGAAGTTACTCCAGGAACAGTCTCCCAGACAACATGGTCGGCCTGATCACTGACAACAACCTCCAGTCATTCCAAACAAGAGTACACCAGCATCTTCTTTCCACCATTGGGACTTCTACTTGTAACTAGAACCTTGCAGTTACTGTAAACCAATGATTAGCCAGGAGTGTTATTTTGACTGTTATAACCCAGGCTATTGTTTACGTTGGCACATGATAGACAAAAAAAAACTTTCCCTTTAACCCCTTGGCAGGTTGCACAACAACGGGCGAATGCTGGACATCTACCACCGTCTGCATGGTCAGGAGGAGGAGTTTTTTGTTCCTCATGACCTGGAGCTGAGTAACCAGGAACTGAACCACGTGGTTGGGAAGGCGGAACAGTGGCGCGGGGAGGAGGGAGAACGCAGGAAGGTCGCAGTGTATGACTACATCTGGGAAGAGGAACAGGTCAGGCCAGGAGTGTTTAATATACAGTAGTAAGGGTTGCTTACTAAAAGGGGAACAAGAGGTTCAATAAAATCTGTCATTATATCATGCTTGGTATGTCTGTTAAGTGATTTCCTACACTTAGTTTGCTAGTCCTTCATGTTTAGAGCGCTACCAGGCGTTTGAAGTTGCAGCAAGCACCTAGCATTGACAAATTGGCCACTGCCATGAAGGTTCTATTGAACCTCTTGTTCCCCTTTAAAGGCACCCAATCCAAGTTCAGGGTGGCAACACAAAATACAGGATAATGTATTCTGTATGAGGAAATCTGTCTGATATTTATAGCCATTTCTTAGCCCATTTTTGTCATCACTCCAGGCATTTAAAATTGACACAAACAGCAAAGAAACAAACAAACAGCATTTCAGTTAAACATCTGATCTTTTTTTAAGTCATTTTAGTGACGTTGAATTTTGTTTCCTTGTTGATTTTCTTTCCTTAGTGATTTTCTGGTTGTTGTGAATTAGAAACTTATTAATAATCTCCAGCACACTCAAGCGTCCCTAACTTGTACTTTCTGTCCATGTTTCAGGTGGAAGATACCACTTGGGAGGAGGGAGAGCATGAAGCGCAGAAAGCCGGCCGGCGTGAGATCACCACACACCTGTCCATCCACACACTGCACCTGGACGGCCTGAGGGAGCTCTACAGGCACTTCCTACGCCTGCCCGACGGAGCCATTGTGGAGGTAAGGAACTTCTCCATTTAAAGCACGTAGGTAGAACATACTGCACCTGTGCGAGACCCGTAATGTAGTGTGCATAGCACTTTGTCAGAACTGTCTCATATGAGGTCGTATATGTGTATAGAAGGTTAACATCCCACCTGTAGTTTCCAAATATTGAGTCTGAAAAGATGTCTTCTGCAACAGGCAAAATTATGATGCCAAAATCCAACAAAAAAACATGAAAAATCTTTTTGATTTAACACAGGCACAGTATGTTCTGCTGACATGCTTCATTTAATCATCTCCCTGCTGCATACCAAACTAGAGTTCCCCGATCTCATACCTTCGCCAAATGATGTTAATCTTTATGACTGACAAAGTTTAGATTAGATTATCCCCCCTGATTTAAGAAATAGGAACCTAATTTTCATAAATTATATTGTTTTATCATAATATCAACCAAAAGACGAAAAGTCTTATATCAACAAAGAATGCATTCTAGCATTTCCTAATAAATTATGCAAATGAGGTCCTGATTTCAATAAATTATGTTTAATGATGTTCACCTCAATTAAACTTTCAAATACCACAAGTATGAAATTCCAGTCAGTTATCATTACATAATTATAAAATTTTCTCATTAATTATGCAAATTAAGTTCTTTTTAACATAATCAATATCTTCCTGTGTTTCTCTCGTTGTCAATTACCAATGTCACAAGCTTCAATTGTCCTATCATGGAATGCAGCTGATTTATATAATTTCCCCATAAATTATGCAAATTACATCCATATTTGCATAATTGTCACATAATTATATTAAGCATCACGTAAGCTACCTACATACCAAAAATCACGACGATCCGTCAACCGGTTCTTGAGTTATCCCCTTTTGAATATTTTCAAGAATTTATCCCTGCAGTTCCAGAGCAAGCCTCTAGGGGGCCTAAACTCACGCCACTTCTTTCCCAGCACAAGAGCTACCTACCATCTAAATTTCAATACCATAGCATGTCTAGATCATGAGATATCAAAACCGGAAGTTCAGCTGCAGTACCATAATAAGCCGCTAGGGGGTCCAAAATCTAATCATTTTGAGGTCTCATCAAGACCTACCCACCTACCAAGTATCAAGACAATCTATCAAGGCCTTCTCAAGTTATCGTGTTTACAGACAGACACACACACACACACACAAACACTGAAAACATAACCTTCTTGGCGAAGGTAATAATAGATGCACACCGATTTTTGATGGCCAGAGATGACAGAATATGTGTGAGTGGAGCAGAAAGACTCTAGGTAGAATGGCTACCATATTAACAATTTGGAGAAGGTTAGATCATAGCAATCTTGAAATATCAATGAAAGATAACAAAAATAATAGTTTACAAAATATTTAATGGCAAGCTTTCTATATCTCGCTAATGTTATTTTATGAGATTTCATTACCTGCTATTAACATACAAACCATGTTTCCGCAGGTGTTTGGTGACATGGGAGTAGTCGGGATGGACAAAGACGTGAAGAAGGCTCTCGCCGAGCGCGCTCAGAGCATCGAGAACCTCGGCTCCACGCTGAGTCTGAACAGCATCGCGCGGCGGCGTAAGGTCACGACCTCAGGCGGGCTGACCTCCCGGGAGGGGTCGGCACAGTTCCTGTCCGTCCCGCGGGCCGGGTCACGTACCAGTCTGAAGGCAGGCAGCACTGAGTGCTGAGGGGTGCAACAGGAGGCAAAATTAGCCTCCACCAGGCTTTTGGAAGCGGGTGGAAAGAGTAGAAATTGGCCAAATCGACAGATGCCAGGGGAGTTGTAATCTCCAAGCAGATCCCTTTCGGTGGCAAAAAGACAGTATCAAATTGGCCAGGCAGTATACATTAGCCACCGACGGTCGGGGTAGCGACAAAAAAAAACGGCTATATATAAAAAGGTAACAATCATTCCCCCACAACCTCTGCTTGGAGAGTAGGGGAGTTGGTCTGCAATAAGAGAACAGTTTGTTGCTCCCTGTTTATACTCTTTCCCAATTTTTACTCTTTCCAGCTACTTCCCAACCTGGTAAAGGCTACTAGAAAATAGCATTTAATCTGAAACTACTTTTTCATGACTTGATTCCATTCTGGAACTGCCCAATGTTTTGAAGTTAAGTATAGTCATGTTTTATTCATTCGAAAGGAACTTGTCTTGAATAATATATTGCACAGTTCATCAACACTAAGTTTGTAACTTACGTACAATGCTTTTTGAGCAAATACCTACATGTAGCACTAAAATGTATGTACAAAGATTTTACTTTTATCTTAAGCACTTGCTTTGACTTTTTCTAGATTTAAGGACACCTTTTAATCGTGTGCACAAAAAAGTCTCGCACCATGTAAATACTTCATACATTGTCTGTAAATGTTTTCTAAATTTTATATTTTTGATTCTAAAATCCTTAACACAAGCTGGTAGATTGTGTATTTTGTGACACCTTGTATCTATTAGATATTAGGACTATTTTCATACTAAATTCTATGACTATGCAAAGATGTATAATATAGATGGATTTTCCCTAAATGAACCTATCTTTTATACTGGTGTAATCAAATCTTGTATTGCAATATTGCAGTATTTCTTAAGGCTTTGCAATATGATAAAGAGATTATATTTCTGATCAACAGAAAGGTAAAGTTTTAATCCAAATTCTATTCTCATTACTTAAGCTGAAGAAATTTGCAATAATAGAAAATTGTGGTTTATTCTTTATTAGGATTCAAAAAAGGTTTTAACTCACTTGAATTTCTTACATATACTGGAAACAATGTTATTTTCTTTAATCCAATAGCACTTATACAGAAGATATTAAATATGATTTTAAACTTGACATGTTAATGAAAAATTTGTGTAAAACCACGTAAATGTTTGTATTGGTATTTTAATGATATCACTGTTTTCTATATGGAGTTTTAGATGCACTGTTATCTTTACACATTTGCTTCACCAAGTTATGTATATATTTTGCACAGAGTAAAGAGATTATAAAAGCTTTACTGTCATCTTTCTGTCTTGGCATTTTTAGTAAGAAGTAGGGGTCCTCTATTAGTAGTAATTTCTTATTAAATACTTGGTATCTTTCGTTCTTTTGATTCCTTTTCTGTCTGAAATAATTTTGGTTGTTCTAAGCTGACTATTAATTCGATTAAACTTGGGACCAATCAAATCAGCGGATTTCGTCTGATAACGAGGCTCAGAAATATGCATACATTAAGTCCAGGTGCCGCATTACGTCATGCGAGGTAATTACGTAATCCTCCAGGCGAACTGTGTAGATATGCTGGGTTAAATATAGGCAGGATTGGGTGTAAACTTTAGCGTTTTAAGTAAAAATAACGCAAACAAAAACGGAAACATCTTCTATATGATGTAATCTTTACTTCCAAGTGGTTTGTAGACGGTTGAAACTGATATTTAGGACAAAATCGAGGAAAATGTGCTCAGAAACGAAAATAGCAACAAACATCAATAAAACGCACAGATTCCCCTTTTTTGTTCCAATTTTTTTCACCAAAGCCTTTCTAGAAGTATAATGATTCATACCTGAAGTGTTCAGAAGTTTGCGAAGCTGCAAAATGAAGTTTGAGGCCAAAAACATGCCCGGATTTTTAAACCCCTTCCGAGCCTTCGTCATCTCCCCATTCGCCAAACGGCCAAATCTGGGAATGAAAGTCGCTCCGTTAGTGAGATACGGGCCTTTTCCGCACTTCCGTTTTCGTGCGGCCTGAAATTAGGCTCTCTTGGGGTTTATCGTTTGATACTTGATAGGGACCCAAATTTTCGTTTTTAAACCTATTGCTGGGAGTTTTATTCAAGATTCAGCAGTTCTGTCGTATATTTTTAAATACTTCATTGATATTTGACCCAACGAACGCTGTAATTGTCCGTTTTCTCGTGATTTTTCGGTCTGCTCACGGTGTCGCCGTTTGCAGAAGTGACGATTCCGTGGACACCGTGCGGTGAGGCGAATGCAACCGGAAGTGCCTATACTTACGCCGTGTATTAGCTCAAATCGCGTCTTAAAAGCAACTTTAGTGCCGCCTAGACTTTCTAACAAGAATTGTATCTTTGTAAGGAGTACTTCTTCTTCATGACACGTGAAAATGACATTCGAAAAAGAAACAGAAAGCTTGAAAGTTTGAGTTTTGCTGGAACTAAGACTTGACGTACTTTGTGGCTGTTTAACTTTATAGGCATGTAATATGATGTATGACAAGGAACTTGGCTATCACGTCCAAATTCCAATCTCGTTTTGTGAATCAAAAAAGACATCGGGCTAATGCAACAGTGTCTTTATCTGTTTGTCGATCAGTATATTCAGTGTTTTACCCAGGCGGCCAGACTCGTATTAGTCGTAAGGCGACGGGCGGAGAGTTTACGCGCGCGCCTTCGGGCCTTGGGTAGCCCGTCCCCGACTCACGCCCTCCCCGCACACCGCTGCGCATCAGACGGGCAAACCCTCCAGACCGCGCTAGCGTGCTGTACCCTGAGGGTTTCACCCTCTCTCGGCGGCAAAACGCACGTCGCTCCCCGAAAAAAATTAACGCCGCCGCCCCACAAGTCTGCGAAGCAGGCTAGCTGTGCCCTCCGCTACTAAGGTCTGCCGCCTCAACGAGGCACAGCGAGGGAGACCGTGAGTCGGGGACGGGCTCCCCAAGGCCCGAACGCGCGCGCGTGAACTCTCCGTCCGCCGCCCTACGCACGCCGCCGGACTGGCATCGGGCCGGCCAACTCCCCTCGGGATCAACTCCCCCGCGATAGGCGAGCGAAGGGCTCTTGGCTGCCGAAGAAAAACGGCTAACGGCCCGATACTAGTCTGGCTTCCGAAGTAGGAGGCCGTGAGTCGGGGACGGGCTACCCAAGGCCCGAACGGCGCGTAAACTCTCCGCCCGAACGTAGGGAGAGCACCCCGATCAAACTCCTTTCACCGGCCGTATCCGGAAATTCAAGCCGTACCCGCTCAAAAATTCTGGCCGTACCCGGAAATTCGTGCTGTACTCGCGAAAATTTCAAGCCGTACCCGGTAATTCGTGCCGTACCCTGTACTTTTTCGCCGTTCCCGATGGTATGGTTGTATAGCCCAGTCAAAAGCTAATTACACTGTAATTTGACAAAATACACTGTATTTTTGACCGAAAACAGTGTATTACAAAGAAAACAGTGTATTGCAGGCAGATTACACTGTAATAGACAAATACGGCGTTTGTAAGACAGAATACAGTGTATCTGAGGAATCCACTGTATCGTGTACTGTAAACGCGTGTACTGTAAACGCGTGTACTGTAAACGCGTGTACTGTAAACGCGTGTGGTGTAAACGCGTGTGGTGTAAACGTATGGTTGTATAGCCCAGTCAAAAGCTAATTACACTGTAATTTGACAAAATACACTGTATTTTTGACCGAAAACAGTGTATTACAAAGAAAACAGTGTATTGCAGGCAGATTACACTGTAATAGACAAATACGGCGTTTGTAAGACAGAATACAGTGTATCTGAGGAATCCACTGTATCGTGTACTGTAAACGCGTGTACTGTAAACGCGTGTACTGTAAACGCGTGTACTGCAAACGCGTGTGGTGTAAACGCGTGTGGTGTAAACGCGTGTGGTGTAAACGCGTGTGGTGTAAACGCGTGTACTGTAAACACGGGTACTGTAAACGCGTGTACTGTAAACGCGTGTACTGTAAACGCGTGTACTGTAAACGCGTGTGGTGTAAACGCGTTTACAGTAAACGCGTAAACGCGACATCGGGCGCTAATGCAACAGTGTCTTTATCTGTTTGTCGATCAGTATATTCAGTGTTTTACCCAGGCGGCCAGACTCGTATTAGTCGTAAGGCGACGGGCGGAGAGTTTACGCGCGCGCCTTCGGGCCTTGGGTAGCCCGTCCCCGACTCACGCCCTCCCCGCACACCGCTGCGCATCAGACGGGCAAACCCTCCAGACCGCGCTAGCGTGCTGTACCCTGAAACCCTCTCTCGGCGGCAAAACGCACGTCGCTCCCCGAAAAAAATTAACGCCGCCGCCCCACAAGTCTGCGAAGCAGGCTAGCTGTGCCCTCCGCTACTAAGGTCTGCCGCCTCAACGAGGCACAGCGAGGGAGACCGTGAGTCGGGGACGGGCTCCCCAAGGCCCGAACGCGCGCGCGTGAACTCTCCGTCCGCCGCCCTACGCACGCCGCCGGACTGGCATCGGGCCGGCCAACTCCCCTCGGGATCAACTCCCCCGCGATAGGCGAGCGAAGGGCTCTTGGCTGCCGAAGAAAAACGGCTAACGGCCCGATACTAGTCTGGCTTCCGAAGTAGGAGGCCGTGAGTCGGGGACGGGCTACCCAAGGCCCGAACGGCGCGTAAACTCTCCGCCCGAACGTAGGGAGAGCACCCCGATCAAACTCCTTTCACCGGCCGTATCCGGAAATTCAAGCCGTACCCGCTCAAAAATTCTGGCCGTACCCGGAAATTCGTGCTGTACTCGCGAAAATTTCAAGCCGTACCCGGTAATTCGTGCCGTACCCTGTACTTTTTCGCCGTTCCCGATGGTATGGTTGTATAGCCCAGTCAAAAGCTAATTACACTGTAATTTGACAAAATACACTGTATTTTTGACCACAGTGTACTGTGACTGTTACACTGTATTGGAGGGGCGTCACAGTGTATTGACTTTTACGCTGTATTGGAGAGGCGTTACAGTGTATTGGAGGGACGTTACAGTGTACTGGCTGCGATACAGTGAATTCCTCAGATACACTGTATTCTGTCTTACAAACGCCGTATTTGTCTATTACAGTGTAATCTGCCTGCAATACACTGTTTTCTTTGTAATACACTGTATTTTTGACTAACGGCCCGATACTAGTCTGGCTTCCAAGGGAGGAGGCCGTGAGTCGGGGACGGGCTACCCAAGGCCCGAACGCGCGCGCGTACACTCTCCGCCCGTCACCGTACGAGTCTGGCGCCCTTGGCACCACTGTTTTAGCCGTAAAGAGAAATTACTTCCACATTATATACACATCTATTACCGTCCAAAAATAGTTAACTGTTTCCTGGTGTGCCTGTTTGTGTGCCTGTTTGTTTATGTGTCTTTACATCCCTTCATTGCCAACTTTACTCCCTCACGCTCAAGTTATTTGGTGATCCACAGGTGGTACCGTGTCAATGCATTCGTCACACGTGTCAGTGGGGGCCTCTAGCAATCCACGTTAGTATTGCAGGTAATGGAGACGATTTTACCTGCAATAATTTTAACGACTGCTAGAAGTCGCTTTTGATCCATGGCGCTGAGGGTCATAAAGTTTGTATCATTGATGCTGATTGGTCCTCGGCTGTGCCGTGTTTTTGCAACGTGGCTGAGACATTGATGCTGATTGGTTTACTCCTCATGACGTGTAGTTTCATGCCCAAATATGGACAGCCGATTCGAAGCTATGATACCGCTCTACTGTTGATGTAAACAACTGAAGTTACGAAGGATTTTCTGACGAACGAGAGTGTTTGAGGCAATTTTATTCCTCCAGATAAGCAACAGAGGTGCAAAAGCTGATGTTACATAGGAAAGGAGTTGATTTATGTAATAAAAAGAGGCGGAAAATGCCAGTTCGCCCGGCTAAAATACGAGCGGGAGGGGAGGGGGGCTTAACATTGTTTAGGGCTGGCTTTCAGCACCAAGGACAGGGATAGCTTCGGTACCAACCTGGCCTTTTCTGCATTACAACAAACTGAATATCACTACAGGACTGTGATATACGAAGGAAATCAAGGCATGAACACACTCAAATTACATCTGAGTCGGGAGAACACTGCATTACACAGATATAGATGTCAGATGCCCGGTGTATAACGTTACTATGGCGATACCCAAAGTAGTTGCGATTTTGCCTCCCAACATCTGCTTGGTTTTCATTCATATGGTAATGAGATCGGCACCGAAAAACTCGCTTCTGCAAAGGCGATGGCCACTTCTGCAAGCGATCAGCTGATCATAAAAACACATTTTTGCGTGTAACTCGAAAATGAAGAAACTTCAGACAAAGGCATTAAGTAGGAATAGAGTGGAGGCCACGAAGATTATACTCTGAAAATGTGGGTGCCGAAAAATGTCATAAATGTTCATTTTGTAAAATTGAAAAAGCGGAAATTCATCCCCTATCACACCCCCGTTTTGGAGCACCCGTTCAGAAAGGGCCCGTATCTCGCTAACGAAGCCTCGCTCATTCCCAGATTTGACCATTTCGCGAGTGGGGAAACGCGATGGGCTCTTATGGGGGTTTTACTTCAGGTCTGTCTTGCTCTTGTTCTTGACATTGAGGCTCGCCCCGACTACCTAAATATCACAGATTTATCGGAAAAGAACCGTTTTAGTCTTGGATCTGTTCATTTTCAGACAAACATTCTTAGAACGACTTTAACAGGAGGATGAATATGATGATTTTTCGTCAAGATTTCTGTCATTTTAGTTTTCCACACGTCCAAAAAAGTACTATTTAATGAATTTAAAACTACCACACCTTCTCCGAACAAATCTTAACAGTTTCTTACTCAGCAGCATTATTTTTGATTGCGTATTAGATATTTATAGATCAACTTTCAGTGTGCAAAGTCATCCACAACTTTGAAGCAGTATGTGATGAAAAAACAAGTCTGAATCAAAGATAACTTTTATAGCCAGAACATTTTTCATATATCTATCTCTCTTTATTGAAACTTAATCAAGATCCTTCACAGAATCTATTATCAATATAACATCTCATTGAAAATACTAGTAATAACACCACTATATAATCACCAAAGAATATAATGATTTAACAACATATAATCATAGTCCTCCCAATATGGAAAAATGAGAAATATGATATACAACATCACACTAAGTATGCGAAAAGTCAGTGTCAAACTGACACAAAATGGTCCAATGAAATGGCGCTGCCAGTCCAAAAAGTGTTCACACAATAAAGAACTTAAGCTGAGATTCTTTGTGTATGTCGGTAATAAACTCTACAGCTACAGAAATATATTCTGTATTGATGAAAAAATCCTCACAAGTCAAGATAAAACCGTACTTGGAAAGAAATTAAAATCATATCAACGTCACAAGTTTGGTTCAGAGTTAAGTACAACTTAACTGGCACAACGTCTGCACATGGACCCTTCTTGAAAAAAGTAGTACATTCCTTAGTTTAAGTACATAATATAATGGCCTATAGCTTTTCTGACACACTTTAATTTATAGTGGACTCTACCCTCTGTAAAAATATTATCTACATAGGCTCATTATCTAACACATTCACAATGTACAATATAAAACTTTGACAGTGTTTTTTTTTTCTTGTCCAAAATTTGCATTGCTAGTGGCTAGATGGTGATTTTGAGGTACACATATTTACTCACATTACACTCGCTAATGTACAAAGATTGATCAACAATACAATTGAACACTAGCTAACTATCATCACATCTTTGATAACAATGTCTTATTAAACTACTGATTTTACGGTTAACTACTATCTAAATATAGCATAACTGGCCATCTATGCAACTTAGAAACATGGAAATTTGATTACCTAACACTGTAACACACATGAATACAAGAAGGAACACCGAAAAGTACAAAATGCAATGATAAAATGTGGGTAAATTGTTCTCAAATGAACAATTATACAGTATATATGACTACCATATAGAGAACCCTAAAACTGGCAATACACAAGAATCATGGCAAGTTTGCAAGATACTGATTGGTTTCAAATGACAAACATTTTCTCTGAAATTGCACCAAAGAAAAAACTATGCATATATACACAAAGGTACACCACTGAGCTAAAACAAAACAAGCTATATCCAGCACATTGGCAGAACGTACTGCGCCTGCACTAAACCCAGATTTTTCACGGTTTTCGTTGGATTTTTGGTCACCATTGCATCAGAAATTTGCCTGTTGCAGACAACATCTCTTCCGACACAACATTTGGAAACTACAGACAGGATGTTAACCTTAATATATGCCCTTATATGAGACGTTCTGCCGAAGTGCTATGCACAATACATTACTGATTTTGCGCAAGCGCAGTACATTCTGACAAGCGCAGTACATTCTGACAAGCGCAGTACATTCTGCCAACATGCTGCTCTATCCCTATATCACTGTCGGCTTGCTCTACACAGACATGCATGTACAAACCATGGTGCTATATTATATTGTAGGGCAGAGCAAAGCTACCTGAACATCGTCTAACTTTGCTGTAGTTGAAAACCTGCTCCTGAGGCACTGACTCAACAACAATGACAAGGCATTCTAAAGACGGAAAGCCACAAGACGATGGAACATTGCAAAACTTCTCAAGACACAACTTACAGTGTCCTTCAAGATGTAGTATTAAGCTCTTAAGTTAGTTGTAGAGTTTAAGCTTTGTTCCAACACCAAAGAAGGAACTCACCATAAATTTTTGGCCAATGTCATCATCATTCACCACTTACTGATGTCATCACGCTTCCAGAGAGTCAGCGAGCGCATCTCACGAAGGTTGACGAGATTAACTGTGAATTTATGGTGAGTTCCCTTCTTGTGTTGGCACAAAGTTTAAACTCTACAACTATGGATTCCACCAACACAGATGAGCTTTCATTCGAAGCTCTTATTAATAAGTTTTCATTTTGACACCATTTTCTATATTATTTTGGCCTCCTTTGATAGAAAGCCTGTGATATTTTCAGCAGTAGTTTAGCATTTCCTGAAGAGATTTTGTTTAAGTCCGCTGCGCAGATGTAGACATTGGTTACTACCCTGCCGACATTGTCTACTTGTACATTATCATTTGCTCTCATTTATACATCCTTTTTGTCATCAAAGTTTTAAAATATATTATCATCCATATGTGCTCTCTTTGGTCATGGCAACTTCCTGTACAGAGTGCTTTCAAAATATTAACGCCACCCCCAGTTCTGAGATGGGCCAGTCCATGTACATGTAGATACCAGTATCTACAGGAACAATCCATCTCAGTAAAGGGGTGGTCAGGTGAGATAAGCATGTGAAGAGTACATGTGGCATTAAGTACATTTTGTACATTGGGATTTGTACCAAATGTTGGCTCTTTCAATTTCTGTGGCTAGACTATACAAAAATGGCAGCAAACAGTTCACCTTTTTGTTACAGATTGTCTTCATGCAATGTCCTCTTTGTTACTTACATAATACATGGCTGGATGTAGCAGGCTCTTTGAGTCCACAGAAGAAAGGAACAGCCAACATTCATACACAGTTATATTTTACAACCATTTCTACTAAATAGCCTCTGTAGCAGGCTTATAGAACTGGGGGTTTGGTGGTCTTCGGCTGTTTTCTGATGAGCCCAGTTCAACCAGGCCGGCTATGTTGTCTATATGCAATCAGAAAATAGCACATAAAAGCTCCCAAAGACCCTGAAACCCCCCCCCAAAACCCCCAGTTTTTGGCATGCTATGGAGGCTTTCTACTAAATATCCTACCATCAGACATGACTTTCATACGCTAACATACCGTTCTGTAACGGTGGACATAGAGATCGGGGAGACTGGAAACTAATGTTGCCGTCCTCGCTGAGAATCGTTGTTCTCGTTTCGTCCAACGATTCGTCGTACCCGACCGCCCCTTCCTCGCTAAACGTCGACGCGTTGCTCGCATCAGCGTTCCTGTTTTCCGCGTCCTCGACATATTCCGTGGCCGCCCTTCGTAGGGAAATCCAGGTCATGAAGACGAAGAGAACCGACATGGCCTTTAACCCCGCCGAAAGACCGAAGTACAGGAATCGGAACCGTGTGGCGTCGTACTCCCAGCACGCACCTTTGTCGCCGTTGCAGAGCGGCTGCCAGAGGATACAGGCCGTGTCAATCGTCGCGCCGTAGTAGATCGGGGCGGGGATGTAGGCTGGCGGAAAGGGAGAGAAAGTTAGACAATTATTCAATTTTCGCTAAGTTTCTCAACTTTCTTGTGTCCCAAGTGTGTCACAATGGTTAAGCGCTGTAGTAGATTGGGGTGGGAATGTAGGCTGTGGGGAAAGGAAAAGAAAGTTAGACAATTCAGCTTTCTGGTGTGTTATCTTTTTTTTACAAAATATCTCAATTTTCTTGTGTCCCAACTCAATCATTAGAGGCGCCGTAGTAGAACGGGGCGGGAATGTAGGCTGGGGGGAACAGAAAATGTCAATGAAGGTTAGACATTCAGGTAATAAGATAGTATGCCAAAAAACAGTTACATACTAAAGTATGAGTTTGAAACTTTCAGATGTTTCAAGTACCTTCAACTAACTTTCGTAAGTAGTGCTAGAGACTTGCAGGAGAAAGGCAGGTTTATAAGCACTAACTATTGATTGATATGCGTTAGTTAGAAAGTTAGACAATTACATTTTCTGGTGTGATATCAGAATAATCTTTCACAAGGTATCTCAACATTCTTGTGTCCCAGCTGTGGCCAGAACTGCCATGCAAAGATATTAGCCATACTACGTAGATGCTGTGTACAGCCACAACACTAGACTGCTACCATCATCTTTTGAGATGGAAGGATGCCTACAACTATCTTTCAGAATCTTCAATAGGCTGGTACCTCAGGTGATATGGAATACACCGTGTAGAATTATATGGACTGGTACATGTACTAGTATATGGTATATGTATATGGTATATGTATATGTATATGGTACAAGTATATATGGTATACGCCCACTCACCAAGCGTTCGAAAGAGGACAAACTGGATGCCAAGGGCAAAAGGTCGCTCCTCCTTCTTCACTGACCTGAATGTGGGAATGGTGGACAAAAAATGTTTACACACTTGTACATTTGTTAAAGGTGGTCAAGATACGATTAGACTTAGACAAGAGACTAAGAACTTAAAATCACTTTTTCTGGCATTTGTGAACAGCAGGTGATAATAAAACAAACAGACTAGAAAGGTAACATTTGCAAAACAAATGCATAATGTTTACCTTCACATACATGTATGGTCTGCTCTGTTAATTCTTACTCAAACACATTAAGCGTTATATATGGTGAGAAATGTCTAAATCCCTCCTGCTGTGAAATTGCAACATGATGTAACCCAACACCAGTTACCATGGTGGTAGACTGTCTGGTTCAGGTCATTGACCTTTTGTGTTTGGAGAAGAGGAAACAACAGAGCAAAAACAATATGCTTTCCTTCGGTAAACAAGCCGTTGTCCTCACCTGAGGGTGACCATCATGGCAGGCACTTGAGCACAGCAGGTGATGAAGGTTACGATGAACAGGAACACCAGGAACGGAGCCAGGGTGCCGCAGTCACGGTGACACTTCCCTGTCAGACGGAAAAAAAAGTTGTTGTTATCATGTACTGTGATGCAAGCCCCGTTCCCTAAATGACATGAAAGAAGAAACTGGTAGGACACAGAGCGTACATAACCATAATTATCTTTTGTTGCCAAAATGTAGAACAGCTGAGAGACTAAAAACAAATTTCTTTATCAAGTGACGCTACTCCACGAAAAAACTCTCTGGCGAATATCTCCGTATTCATTACAATGATAATTAAATTCATTCCTATGACTATCATGGAAGTTCATCTGTGTTGGTAGTATTCCTATCATTCCTATATATGATTTACAGTTGTATATATTTTAATGATGCATACTGTACTGATTTAATGTTTTGAATATTCTCTTTCTGAGATTTTAATGTCATTTCCTATTATCCAAACATGGATCCAAAGCATGTTTTGGAATGGAGCACGTTTTGGAATGCAGAAGAGCCCTACCAGTGATGACATGGCCCCCATATCTCAGTTTCTGCTCCTCGATTCGGTACTTCTTGGTGTTGATGGTCTCCACGGAGACGACCGCTACACAGCTGCAGTCCGTGTAGTTCTGTGGGGGAAGGACGCAGGCATGTTACCAATCAGCAGTGACCCCTAGTGATTCACAAAGGAACTGCAGGAACCATATTATAAAGACTACCCTACATTTGTACTTGAATGTCAAGATTCTTACTAAGTTAAGAGAGATGGTTTTAGAACAACACGAATACAGTGACTCTATAGTTACCACTTGAACATGGCCACAGCAGACAGACAGTCACTTTAGGCAGGGTTTTCAATGTTTGAATCAAAATGGGTATAATAATCTAAAGGATAATCAGAAAGTGACCAGATGATCCTTATGCAATGGTGGTCCTACCAGATACCTTTGACCCAGTGTTGATGTCACACTTCAGAGAAGCCATGTGACAAGCCTCACTGGGTCAGTCTACTGAGGAAGACTAGTCAAAAGCTCTAGATGAGAGAACTTTATCGTGCTGGATCTAAAGTTTTAACTTTAAAGATGTTTACACCTGCTTACAAACAACTGTTTACTCACATATTTGGTTGTCTGCCCGTCCCATAAGAAGTTGGTGACCTTCCTGCAACCTGCGTGACATGGGCTGAAGTAGGTGATACCATCTGAGCCACAGACGGGGGAGTAGGAGTGGATGGCACAGTCACAGTGCAGGTTACAGTTGGCTGTGAACTCACTGGGTGCCTGGTGGTCAAAGTTGGGACTGAAAAAACAACAAGAGATAAAGAATATTAAATAAAAAAATGACACAATGTTTAACAAGAAATGGAAGACTTCACACCTCTGTGAAGTATTTAAAGTTGTGAATTTTGGAATTTCTCGCCGATTCTTTGCATACTCCACTGCTTCTTCCTGCCAGCCTACAGGAGACTATTTTGACCTCCAACTTGACTTCACTGTCAATCTACAGTTACACAATTTCACATCACCGATCCATCGCACACTACAGATCAGACACAACTCAGAGAACACAGCTTGCTCTGAGCCATACATGCAGTTACCTAGTGACTAAAGAATATTACCTAGGACAGTCTGACAGTATGACTCATTCCATACAGCATTTAGTTATCACATTTCGCACCCTCTGCAACCATTAGGAAATGAAATTAACAACCACAATACCTAGCCAGAGCCAAGACTAAAGAATCTGATATGCCAATTGTATCAGCTAAAGGACGTACAAAGGTTAAACCACAGAAAAAAAACAATTCAATCCTCTGAAAACCACAGATAAGGCCACACCAATTTAATTTCTTGGTTAACGGATTCGCCGCTTCATTTTTCTCTGATTTGCAAATAAAAATAAAAATTTGGAATCAACTGCAAGATGCTCATATTTTGCCCTGAGCAGTTGAAAACAGTCCTTTTCTTCCTAGTTGTTACAGTTATTCCATCTTTCAATGCAGTGGTATCATTAAAAGTTCAAAATTCATTGTTTAAATTTTGAACCAGCCTGGTGTGTTGACTTCATGGCTCCTATCGTACCATTTTGGGCCATAATAGGATGCCTAGGCCTGTTTTTATTTTATTTTTTTTCGCCCGCCCGCTCCATTATTTTTCTAGAAAAATCCGTTAACCAAGAAATTAAATTGGTGTGGCCTAAGGCATCAGATTTAAGCACTCGAAGCTAAAAGCAGGTGGCACCAATTATGTCAGAAAATTAGAGGCGAAGGGAGATACCATCACCCATAAACGGGGGGTAAAATAATGGGCCGGTCCGCCCATGTCTGTGTATATACACACTTCATATCTGGTTTTTCCTTTATGCCTGCAGATGACCTTCCTGGGAACAAGAAGACATCTGTGTCCCAAGGGACTCTGGGGAGGAGATGGGGTAGCCATTATTATGTTATAGAAATATTGTTAATTTGATAAACTGACCAACAACAGACTCCGAGACTAAGGAAAAGTGGGTTGATTGGATTTGCTCCCAAATAAAAATTGATGTGGCACCAGGGTGTCCATTCAAGCATCTAAGTGTCTTCATTTTATTACAAAAACAGTGGGGTCATTTTTACGGGTGCTAATGTTTTATATTGTAGGCTGGTTCTAGCTATTTGTGGATGATACCCGAAAAATAAGGACTCTGAGGTGCTTCACATAACTTGCTTCTGGGCTATTTCAAACACTTCAAGTAACGTTACATGTATGAAATGATCCGAAAAATTGCAGTTAATTTCAAAATCAGAAATATTTACTCATCCTGCATATTTTTTGTTTTGACACCCTAATGCTGGGGTCACATTTCCAAGTCGGGGCCCGGCCGGGCTGTTTCAATTAACGAAAAATCACAAATTTTCGTCAAGAATATACGTAAATAGTTCCATTGTTCATATTTTTCAACATTTCTGTGCTTTGTTGCGTTTTATACCATATTTTTTCGTTCCAAATGACTACCCGGCCGGGCCCCAGTTTGGAAATGTGACCTCAGCATAAAATTGCATTGGATGCCTTGAAGTTGCATAGAATACTAACTTTCTTGGAATGAAAGTACTAAAGGTGGGATATACCTTGTCACCTCTAGTATATGGTTTTCTAACTTTGACATACAAAAAGTCCTCCGGCTCATGAGACATTACATGTATATTGGCCTGGGATTGGCCCAGTACACTCCTAGACGGAATGGCTGGATTTGCGGCTCAACATCCCTGATCCAAGTTCATCCCTTACTGACAGGTAATTTAGTCTTGAACCTGAACTTGAAAATAGGAGCGTCTGACAGGATAATGTGAAGGGATTATTGTAGAAAATGTATTTGTGCATTGACGTATTTCTGATAACAGTGTGCATGTAAAGTAACATTTTAGACTGAAGTTTTCAAGATACATTTTAGATTACCCATCTAACTGTTGTGGTGGCCTCATGGCACCAAATTTATATTTGTTATGGGTTAAGTAGCAGGGAGAAGGTTAACATGTCAATAATATGTCGTAAACTCTTTACTTCTTTACTTCGAAGGTGAAAAAAATGCAGTTTTAGGGCTTGAAAAACAGATTTTTCAAAGTCAATATTCTAGTGACTTTCGTACATAGTTTAAGTTAAAACCATCAAAAAATTTTAAAACCATCAAAAAATGAAGTTTTAGGGCTCGGAAACCAGATTTTTCAAAGTCAATATTCTAGTGACTTTTGTACATAGTTAAAGTTAAAACTATCCTGATGTATATTGACATTTCATGGGCAAATCCCTAACCACATATTCAACTCCATTCTTCTGGTTGTTTGATGGGCAGGGTTATGGCAGCCGTGCAGTCAAAAACATGAAAATCAATACGTTCTTATCAGTTACCATAATACAGAGCTGCACTGCCTGTGGTACTGTACATCCAGTTAGTTTTGTTAAGTCTCTACCGGACTAACTACGCTGGCTATGTATAGGAGAATAATTGCCAGGGGAGTTTGGCTGTCTTGGGGTTTGACTGGCTGCACAGGGAAAGAAACAACCTTTTGCAGACTGACTCCTCTAGCAAATTTTACTCTCCTTTTTTGCTGAATTCTACAATCCGTATTCCCGTAGAAAGGCCTGGTGGAGGCTAATATTTTAGAGTTAATTTCGCAGTAGGACTGGAAAAGGCAGATTTTAGGTTTCCAATTAAAACAATCCTGTAGTTATTGTAGAAATGCAGAAGACATAATATTCATGGCGTTATGATTCACTATTCAATTCTGCTCATCTTCCGGTATGAATAAGTGTGATCCTAAATCAAAGACAGAACACTGAATCCCATCAGGGTTTCATGGTGAAAATCAAAGTATTAAGATCTAAAGCTTGTCTACTTGTTCTGAATTTCAACTCTACTCACTACTTGACATTCTAACAAGGTCAAGGAAAATACACAGTAACAGAGGAGGAAGTATCCTCAGCATAGGTGTCTCCAAATAATTCACAAAATTAGGCCACACGAATTTAATTTGTTGGTTCTCAGATTTTTTCACAACAAATATGAAGTGACAGGGCGAAAAAAAAAAATGAAAACAGGTCTAGGCATTCAATTATAGCTAACAGTATATGTAGTTACCATGGTAACAGACAGTCTGGTTTAGGTCATTGACCTTTTTGGTTTGGAAAAGAAGAAAAAGAGGAAACGTAGCAAAAGCACTATGTCTTCATTCCGTAAACATAACAATAAAAACTGACCTGTCGCTGTATGGAATGGTGAGCCCCCCTATGTTGATAGTGTGACAGCCCACAGTGAACAGCGTGGCAAGACACTCCACTAAGATACTCACTAGGATAACTTTAGCTTTTACACTTTTACTTTTACACTAATTTTTACTTTACTGACCTGTCGCTGTATGGAATGGTGAGCCCCCCTATGTTGATAGTGTGACAGCCGACGGTGAACAGCGTGGCCAGGCAAATAAGCGACACGACAGCGCTGACCAGCGACCACTGCGCCGCGCCCTTCAGGTCCAGTTTCAGCCGGTTCATGATGTAACCGCCCAGCAAAATGCCACCGCCTGCACTGGGGATGATCACCACTCCTGGGAGGGGGGGGGGACATGTGGTTTATTAGTTGTAGAAATACTTTTTTCAGTGCTCTGCAATATTACAGAATGTAAAAATTTTGTTCTACAATTCAGACATACTTTCTGCAAATACAAACTAAAAAGTCTGGATTACATGGCATATACAAATTTGCATGTTGGCAAACATTTTATATGCAATTTGACAAATACATGCAAAATTACTATAAAATGATATTCTAAACCGGTCCAATGGCCAAGGGGTTAGAGTGTTCGCGTTGCATTCGATAGGTTCGATCCGCAGCAGTTATCACATCTAAGACTCTACAAATGGTACATACTGCCTTCTCTGCTTAGCACTCTGCATTTGGGAAAGAGTATGGGAGTTGAACACACACCACTACTGTGTGGCCCAAGGGCTACAGAAATGAAGATAGGTGCAGCCCTATGCACCACATACAGGTGCAGAAATGACTTTTGACTATTAGTAAATATTGAGTATTTACCAGTGAGAAGGTTGGCTTCCGACGCGGAGACTCCAAACTGAGACTCCAGGAACTTGGGTACGAATGTGATGAAGCCGGTGACGACCGAGAGCTCCATGGTGGCACACAGGCTGATACACAGGTAAGGCACGTTGGTACACAGGCTCAGGACTGCATGGGGGATGTCTGGGGAACAACCATCAATAACTTATCAATTAACCTGTCAATAAACCAATCAATTACCTAGTTAACATGATACACAGGTAAGGCACGTTGGTACACAGGCTCAGGACTGCATGGGGGATGTCTGGGGAACAATCATCAATAACCAATCATTAAACCAGTCAATAAACCAGTCAATCAATCAATAAACTAGTGAGTAAACTAATCAATATGATGCACATGTAAGGCACGTTGGTACACAGGCTCAGGACTGCATGGGGGATGTCTGGGGAATAACCATCAATAACCATCAATAAACCAACCAATTAACTAGTCAATCAATTAACTAGTCAATAAACCATTTGATCAATCAATTAACTAATCAATATGATACACAGGTAAGGCGCGCGCATTGATTTTCGCCGGTTGTAAAAAAAAATGTCTACTGAGGCTCTGGCCTGGCTCTAGGCCTGGGTAGTCCATGGTAGTTAGTGACAATATGGAGCCGGTGGTAACTCTGGAGGATGGCACCCAGGCTACTGGAGCTCCACGACTCAAGAACTCAGTACATACGTAAACTAAAAAAATCCACAAAAAGCCATTATGTGCCGGCTTGTCGTGTACTTGGCTAAGTACTGCCTCAAATTCACAATACCAGCTTTGTATTCCTGTGGTTTAGTAGCATTTTTATTTTTGGCCGGAGTTTTTTTTATTCGCCCGCGCGCACTAGTTTGGGGTTCTTCAGAGGATGTCATCCATAAAATTAAGTCGGTGTGGCCTAAAGTGAAATTTAAAAAAAAAGGAATGAGGTCTCACCTCGAAGTTTCTTGCCAAAGCTCATGTGCGTGATGCCCTCCTCTCCCTGCAGCGTGCTGCCATCACCCTCCTCCTCCGTGCCCTCGGCTGTCAGGTGGTACGTCTTTTCCATCCGCAGAACCTTGGGCAGCGTGGCAGGGAAGGCCAGGATGGGCAGGGCACAGAGCACCAGGAACAAGGCACATAGGAGGAATCCTGCCCACCTGTACAATACAGACATATACAGGTTAGTACAGGGCACATACATACACACATACAGGTTAGTACAGGGCACATACATACACACATACAGGTTAGTACAGGGCACATACATACACACATACAGGTTAGTACAGGGCACATACATACACACATACAGGTTAGTACAGGGCACATAGCACCAGGAACAAGGCACATAGGAGGAATGCTGCCCACCTGTACAACATAGACACATGCAGGTTAGTACAGCACTAAAAACAACTTACCACACATGTCACAATAGCCAACCAAAGTTTAACACACTACTTGTTGGAGCATTTATCCTTCCAGCCAAGTTGATGCAATACTGTATCTTACTAGTCAGTTACCAATGAGAACACTTCTCTTCATTGCATCTCAACCAATCAGCTTGCTTCATTCACTCTCCTAACAACCAATCAGCTTGCTTCTTTCACTCTCCTCAGGACCAATCAGAACTCACCATGCCCCCACCCATCTGGGGTCTTTCTGCATCATCTCCAAAAAGATGTTACCAATCAGAGAACTTCTTTCATTGCATTAAAACCAATCGGCTTGCTTCTTTCACTCTCCTTATGACCAATCAGCTTGCTTCTTTCATTCCTAAGGACCAATCATAACTCACCATGCTCCCACCCATCTGGGATCTTTCTGCGTCATCTCTACGTTGGTGAAATCCAGCCAGTTGATGTCCACGTAGTAACTGATGCACAGAGCGCCCAGCAGGAACCCCAGCGCCGGACCAATTGCACTTGCTGTGTACATGATACCTGGGAAAACACACACAGAGGGAAACAAGGTTTATTAATTTTATCAATTTCGGGTTGGCAAAACCAAAAATATTCTGGATGAGAAAAAGCTGTCTGGTATACTACATTTACTGCAATTTCTGAACACATTTTCATCATTATTAATGTCATTTTTTACTTGAAATAACCCTGAAACAAGGTTCATTCATTCATTCATTCATTCATTCATTCATCCATCCATCCATCCATCCATTCATTCATTCATTCTTTCATTCATTCATTCAATCAGTCATTCATTCACTGCCATTTCTTATCACATTTTCATCATAATTACATGTCATTTTTATTATGTCTTGTACTACTACTATTTGACATAGCCCTCAAACAAGCTACATGTGGAATCACAAAAAAATAGCTAAAACCTGCATACGAAATTATGGTTAATATCACACAGGCTGGAACACCCATATCGAATTATATCATCAATGCCCTGAGGTATTAGCCTGGGTACCATCCCCAGTAGTATATTCGCAAACTCTATAACTGGGTCTGGACTTGCACACATATAAAACGATTGGTCATGACGTCACGTAATGAGCTAGCCCGAGCAGCGGGGCTTCATTTGATTGGCTGAGCCTCAGAGGCGACGGCCAATGGCGCGCCTGTATTTATTCAAGTGATGTTTGTTGTTTTGTAAACACAGATCTTCGCGCGAGTGTTCCTTTTCTCGGTGCGTTCTATTTTGAAATTGTTCAATGCATCTTTTTGCTCATTTTTGAGCGACGATATTCCGTCTAAATCGTCCAAAACGGACGTGATTGCGAGGTCAACATCAACCTCCACAAGAGCTGAGCGGCTTGTGCGTCAGCCCTGTTGATGATCGATCGCGGAAAGACTGACTACGGCTATATCATGTGCGCTTTAGCGTTCGGTTCGCCGTCCGGGACATGTTGATGAAAATAAGATAAGAACAAGGATCTATCTTAACGTAGCCGTTCGGACGTTCGAACGGACGCTAACGTGTCCGAACGGCCCTTACCTAATATGTACACACCCCAAAAAGGGCTTAGACGATTAGGACCAATCAGCGCGCTCGTTCAAAATCTGAACGAATATTTAGACTCCAGACGCTACATATGTGTGCAAGTCCAGACCCAGTTATAGAGTTTGCGAATATACTACTGGGGATGGTACCCAGGCTACTGAGGTATATAAATGAGCCATATAGTATGGAGGAAGGTTAAGGACAGCCAATGTCCCCAACCTCCAAACCCTATCTCAATTTACTGCTGAGTTACAACATGTAGATACATGTATGTGGTGGGATAGGCCTAAGGCTTTTGAAGTTGATAGCTGCATCAGCTTGTTTCTACCTTTTGATGACTGCGTAGCGAAAGCTCCTGCTATCTATCCCTGTCACCAATCGAGTTTCATTCATTTGGCAATACTTCTTCCATTGGCTATGTACAGTAAGGAGGAAGGTTAAGGACAAGCAATGTCCTCAACCTCCAAACCATTTCTTTGTTTTATGATGGGATACGCTCTCAGCTTTAGAGATGAACTCTCGGACCTTTCAGTGTTCATGTTCAGACATTCACAGGAGGAAAGCTATGATAAGAACAGGATGGATGTGCTGTGGTGTCTACCATGGCAGCTGAACTCATGTAATGTACGACTGCGACAAATCTTACATGCCAGTGCAGAAAGACTGATTCATATACTACATGTGGTACACGAGAAATGTACTGTGTGTTGTGTGTGACATCTCAAAGAAATCTATGCAGACTGTAGCAAGCTGAAGAGGCCTTATATGACCCTGATATATGTCAGTATGTAGGTGAAACGTATATAAAGCGCCTACGCAAAATCCGTAATGCATTGTGCATAGCACTTCAGCAGAACGTGTCATATAAGGTCATGTTCATGTATTTTTTTCAACAGTGTTGCTCAATGCAAAGCCAATTGGTATTGAGTAAAATAGTAGGTTATACAACAGACGTTTGATTATGCCAAAAAGCAGCGAACGTTTATTTTGAAAGCTTGAGGATTGTATTCAGAAGGAAAGCATTAAAGGTAGATGAAGGCTAATAGTACAGGTAGTAGGTAATTCAACAGAGGTATGACTACATGTACATGTATGCCAAAAGATGGCAGAGAATGTTAATTTTAAAAACTTGAGGATTGTGTTCAGAAGGAAATTTAAAGCTTTTAAGGTAGATGGAGGCTATCTCTGCAGCAAGAAGGTTGATGATTCAGACAGACACCTAAACTAATTGATCTGTTTAAAACTCGGACAGGTTGATCCTACATAATGACATGTGTAAACACCTATTTCATCAGTTTCCTGTGGGCTGAACACAGGATCATCCTTAGTCATTATCACAGGTACAGTGGGACTAACCCACATTAACTCCATGGAGAAATGAATATTAATATTTCAACACATTTAACCAAAGCACGTCGGCAGAACGTACTGCACCTGCATGAAACCCATAATGTTTTGTGCATAGCACTTCAGTAGAACGTCTGATATAAGGTCGTATTTGCGCATATAAGGTAAATAAACCGTCTGTAGTTTCCAAATATCTTATCTGAAAACATATCCTCTGCAATAGGAAAAATTCTGGTGTAACATTGACCAAACTTCCATCGAAAACAGTGAAAATTCATAGTTTCGCGTAGGCAGAACTTACGTTCTGCCGACATGCTTCTAGCCAGAGTTTTATTTGATTGCTTGTGAATATGAGTGAAGTAACAGTTCAGAGGGTTTGAAATTTAGATGTCTGATAAAAAATTTTAGGCCTTTCCACTGGAAATAAAGGCTAGGATCAGAAAGTTTTTCTAGGGTCAGTCGGAGAACGAGAAACACAACACTTTTTTTCCCAGGCCCTATACCACATATCCATTAACCCACATAGTGTTCAAACAACAGGGGACTGCAGCAACTGACACAGCAACAAATCATTTCCTATAGTATAGAGCTTGGCCTGGTTTTCTGCTAGTAACAGTCATTAAAGTAACATCAGCACACTGTACAGAAAGGAAAGTCAGATATTCTGTATCGGTCTAAGGCACGCGGCCAGGGTTTTTTTTGGCATGTACACAAATGTAGTATTTAAACTGCAGAACCCTATCTCAATTTACTGTTGTGTTAGATATGTGGTGGGATAATCTAGGCTTTGAAGTTGATAGTTGATAGCTCGTTTCTACCTTTTAACGACGGTGTAGTATTAAAGCATGATCTTCTCCTGATGTCTATCCCTGTAACCAATACTTTCATTGGTAGCATCATGGCTACTTCGGTGCACTTTAAAAGCTCAAAGTACTGAGTGGCTGCCAACAGGGCTAATTTAAAAACTTATCAAGGACTGACCAGAGTATGGCTGTTGAAGCTAATAGAGATATGGGGTTATTTTTAGCACTTTGACAGAAACTCAGACAAGCAAGAGAACCCTCTTAAAAGTTTAAGAGCCTCTAGAATAGAGCTTTCAAGAGTGTTCCCTTGCCATTATGTCTACATTTGTAGATCAGTCTGCTAGCCATACTTACATTAATGCACAGTCAGTCAAGTAGCACTAAAAGTCAACCTGCATTTCATTTCTGAATCAGCTAGCATTATACAGTTGGCTCAAGAAGCTTTCATCACAAAGCTCCTTGGTTAACTGCAGAAAGTCACTACTTATACAGAAAATAAAGAAAAAAAATCTAAAAACTTATTCCCTACATACAAGGGTCACAAAATATTATTGTTACCTTCATCTCATTTCTATCAACAATCAACAAGTAATAAAACCAGTTACTATGGTCACAGAAAAATAAACTGTAATAAAAACTGGAGATCACACAGACCAATAAAACCATAAAAACATCACAACATTTACATTCCTAAGTAACAAATAGGTTCCTTTCCTAGTTACTGAAAAATATACACGGTAAGAAAAGCCTGAGTAGAATCAAAATAGCGATCAGAAGATTACACGAACTACTTTGTTTGTAACATAAGAAGGTCTGTCCTAGATGCAGTTAAATAAAAGGCTGTAAAACGTACTAAAAGAGGACATAAAAGTAGCTGTAAAAATGTCTGAAATTGGCCATCAGCCATACATTACCGTGGAAGGTAATAAACCAAGTAGGTCAAAGATAGTAAATACTAATTACCGTCATGGCACAATTTTATGAGCTAGCAGCAAGATTTCTGCTGAAAAAAATTATGTCAAATTGGTAGAGCATAAGGTATATACTATAGGGATTTTCTTACACACAACCAGTAATTCTGTCACCTTGCTCAAGTTAAATGTCTACATGTAATTTAGACAGTTAGAAAGTTAACACAGTGGACGCGTACGCAATCGTGCTTTGACTTCAAATTGAGTCTTTCAAGTTGTTTAACACTAAATTACATGTAAGTCCAGGTAATAGAACAAACACGTATAACTATAACTAACACGCAGTTTCCATGGTTGCAAATAAATAAAGCAAACCATGACAGTAAATAGGTAAATAGAAAAGACATATTGCTGCTTATATATCATTATAAAACACAGCGGAAGTGTTTGATGAACATATTGTATGGGACACATGCTTCCGAATGCTTATTTGGTAACCTGGCAACTAAGCAAAAACAGAGGGTGAGAAAAATTTGGATATCGTTTGATGCTGCACTGTTATAATTAAGCGAAATATCAGGACCATCTGGGCAAATAAAACAAGTGATGTGCATCATGATCGGTTAACATGAAAGTGGGAGTATTATTAGCAGAGGGTCTGTACGGGGGGACAAATCTCAATGGAAAATTTAACAGACATGAAGTTTAACTACAAATTGACTGGTATATTCCAGTATGCTTGATTTTAGCATCTCAGTTCGAAAAGCTAGGATGCAAAAAGAGACACAACTGGATCGGACATGCTGTTGACTTTTGGGCAATCTTGTATTTGACTTCACGATATATAAAATTTGTTAATAACATACATTTAACAATAATTCTAGAAAACAAATAAAGTACTATGTCGGATTAAAG